GACCTAAGGCAAAAGTGGGGTATAGGTTAGAGTATGGACCATTCCTATATACTGTCTTGCGCTAGATACGACCCAAGCTAAATTTGGCTGGCGTGGTGTCCTGTACCGTATACATTGCGTGAAGATTACTGTACCCTGCCTACGCACCACCCGCACCACCCCCCCCCCGAAGCCGGGCCAATCTACGCCTATAAAAAAAGGCTGAGTCTGAGATAAGGGAAAACAAGACATGAAGGGGGGCTCCCGTCATAAAGAGTGGGTCGTTGTTGCTCGCTCAGCGCTGCGAGATAAGGGTTAGGGTCTCGATTAACGTCCTGACTCCTACCTACCACTTGCCCAAGTGACTGCAGGTGGCAATGGAGTCCCACTCTTTAACTGCTGCTTCCCAGGACCAAACACTGCCAAGTCAACCAACAGCTGCAACCCAATCGCTCCAACCATCCGCTTTCTAGTTTCCCTGGATCCTGTACGCACACCGAGCCACATTAGAGGTTAAGTTATTCAACCTTTTAATCTAGTGTTGCCTTTGTTGTTTTGACTGTCGGACTCCGTGCCTCAACTCCAAATTTAAATCATTGATCACCTCCCTCAGCTGGCCGCAACCTCCAGGAGGGATCTGATAGGGCAAACCTCATGTTATCCACGCCGCCATGATTGATGATACAGCGACACCTATTCGATCCGGCACTCCAGTAATCCATTCCATGTCGCCCGGAGCCGACTCAACAGTATTTCCAGAGCAAGGAGAGCAGGGACGGGACGTCGATGCCACTTCATCGCAATCGCGCCCTCTCCCGCCCCAATCACGGCGCCGTGACAAGCCCCAGCTCTCTTGTAACTACTGCCGGAAGCGAAAGTAAGGTATTCATCGAGAGTACCAATCTTCTCCACTAGCCCACTGACTTTTCTGCTCAGGTCGAAGTGCGATAGAAGGAGACCCTGTTCAACATGCAGTTCGCGGGGTCAGGTCTGCATATACCCCGACCATGGCACTTCGGTGTTGCTGGACAAGCCCGCGTCCGCGGCATCATCCGGGATGCATGAACGTATCGTGCACTTGGAGCGGCTGGTCATGTCCCTAATGGCAGAGTCCGGCAGACGACAGACTGTCCCGCCGAGCCACCTCCATGCCCCTGGCCCTCGCCCGCCTATGACCACCCCGGATCCGGAGACTGCGCCGGGTGTGGGAGCCATGGCCGATGCCCAGTCCCAGGATGCATCGTTTGACGAACGGTCAGAATGCGGCAGCATGCATGTCAGTGCCTCGGAAATTCGCTACGTCAACGGAAACCACTGGGCCGCCATCTTGGACAGCATTGCCGATCTGAAAGAACACTTTGACCGCGAAGAGCAACATAGGCTGGTCAGCACCCCCGATGATGAGGATCACGATAGAGGCGGCTCTGAGACCCTACATTCATCGCTACTTTACGGTTCGGCCCGACCCATGTCACGGGCTGACATCCTCGCTGCTCTGCCTCCAAAGAGTGCTGTGGATCGCTATGTCTCCCGCTACTTCAACCTCATTGACCTAGCCGCCTGTCCGTATACTCCTCATTGCTGATGTACATGCTTTTCCCTTACTAACCTACTTGCCACGTGTCAGATCTCTTCCATGCCCCAACCTTTGTCCGTGAGGCAAGTGATAGTGCCGATATGGTGGTGACGCCGTTACTGATTATAGCAGTATGAGTCGTTCTGGAACAATCAATCCAGAGCTCCCATCATGTGGGTAGGCCTTCTATACAGCATAATATGCCTCGCTGTTATCGCCTCGGGCGACAACGCCCCGGAACAGCGGGCTCTTCAGATTGATCTATACCGCGAAAAAGTTGTCCAGGCTCTTATCACCGGCGAGTATACTCGTGCAAGCCCATATACCCTGGAGACCTTGATTCAATACGTGCATATCGAATTTCTCACTCGTCCGGATGCCGAGAAAGATATCTGGTTTTTGATCGGTTTAATCCAGAGCCTTGCCCGGCGCATGGGTTACCACAGGGATCCCAGCCACTTCCCCGGCATATCCCCCTTGCAAGGCGAGATAAGGCGCAGGATCTGGATCACGGTTTTGCAGGGTGACATCTTGATCTCAAGTCAGATGGGCATGCCACGGCTGGTATCGGATTGGCAGTGCGACACGCTCGAGCCGCGGAACCTGAACGATGCGGACCTAGAAGACGCGGCCGCCGAGCTGCCCCCATCTCGGTTTGAGACGGAGCTCACACCGGCGTTGGAATGCATTGCGCGGAGGAGGGTATTACTGGCCTTAGGGAAGGTGTTGGACCTTACATCATCGGTCAAGCCGCCGAGTTATACCGAAATAATGCGCGTGGATGGAATTCTTACCAGGGCATCTTTGAACATTCCGCCTCGCTTACGGATGAAGCCAATGGCAGCTAGTGTCACTGACACGCCACAGGTTATTATGGCCAGATTATTCCTTAGCCATATACTTTACAAGGGACGCATCCTTCTCCACCGCCACTATCTCTTCGCTAAATCTCCGCCCGCGGAGCACGACCCGTTTGTGCATTCACGCAGGGCCTGTCTTGACGCATGTCTTGGCACATTGGAAATTCAGAGAATTCTGGACGAGGAGACGTGTCCCGGAGGCCAGTTGCGCGCGATGCGCTGGCGAGTCACCTCCAGCATGAACCATGCCTTCCTCACGGCCACCATGATCCTGTGTGCAGTACTCCATGGGGCCCAGGCGTCCGGAAGGGAAGAAGAGATTACCGCTGCCCTGCGACGAACCAGGGCCATATGGATGCGGGCCAGAAGCTGCTCGCGAGAGGCAAACAAGGCAGCGGAAGCGGTGAGCTTCGTGCTTGCTGCAGCTGCCAGGCGGTTGGACGAACCGCCAAGCAATGAGGGGCTCGGGGAATCAATGGCAGGAGGCGGCAACACTGGCCAGCCCCCTTCAACGGTGGGAGATAGTGACGTTGAAATGAGCCTGGACGGACAGAAAACACTGGAGGAGTTCATAGGCCTTGATGCGAGTGAGTCTTCGCCACCATGAACCGCTTTTACAGTCCCTGAACTGACATCACCCAGCGAACCGGTTCATCGAACCATCACTACTGGGCACCTTCACGCCGCCGGGCCAACATGATCCGAGTCTAGCGTTTGACTTTGCAAACTTGGGCAATGCGGACTGGAACGAATATATCGCGGCCCTAGACAAACAGTACGCGGACCTGGAAGAACCGATCAATAGGATGCCGCCCGAGGGTGCGCCATCAAATTGATGGCATACTAGCATGTGAATTGCCGAATACGGACAGAACAAACACCTTCCTGTCTTATTGGTTCCATATCATAATAGATGCCTGACCAGTTGCATGCAGCTCCCTGTATCCTACCGACGGACATCTGGTGGGCCCCGGATCGTCCGCCTGATCCTCCGACCCTCCGATGCTCCACACTCCCTCCGATGCCCCACCTTTCTCCACTATCCTCCGACCTTCTCCGACTTCCTCCGCCCGGGGCCCCACTTTGCACCCGCCCCCGTCGCGTCGCTGCCACCATTCATTCGCTCCTAGGGCGTATGCTTGAGCAATGGATGGATGGCCTGGTGGTGTGAACCACTTCGGTTCAATTCTGGGGACTCGGAGGGGCCGTGTTATTGGAAGGATCAGAGTACGTTATCTCCGTCTCTTACACCGCCGGCCACCGGTATTCAAAATGCAGTGTTGTCTCATTCGCACCTTCGTGTTGGCAATGACTTGCTCATACATTCACCAAAATACATACGCCGTTTTGAATCCCGTCTCTAATGTTGCTTGGAAACAGCTCAACGAGAAGCACCGATTCCTTACAACTCCCCGAAGCATCGAGAAAGCATGTCCAAGACTGAAAGCAGCTCTGAAACCGCCCTTGAGACGGGCATGGCAGCGATCGACGAGAGTAAGCCCGTGGAACACGACGCAAACATTGTAGACTGGGATGGCCCCGGCGACCCAGCCAATCCAGTCAACTGGCCAGGTTCTAAACGATGGGCACATGTGGTTATTGTTTCTCTCCTTGGTCTTGTTACGTGAGTCATCCATGCTCCACGAGGTCTGGAAGCTATGGGGGAGCTCATGGAAAGATGTTGTGCCAACACAGCCCGCTAACCTTTCGCGCAGGAACCTCGCGCCGACCATGTGCGCGCCGGGTGTCGACGGACTCATAACGGACTTCAACATCTCGTCGTCCACCGTCAGCACTCTCGCCGTCACCCTTTACGTGCTGGGCATTGCCATCGGACCCATGTTCACGTCGCCGCTGAGTGAGGTGTACGGCCGGCTGCCCGTGTACCACGCGACCAATCTGGTCTTTGTCGCCTTCGTTATTGGCTGCGCGTTGAGCCACAACCTAGCACAGTTCATGGTCTTGCGGTTCCTGTCAGGCTGTGCGGGGGGAACTCCGATGGCCATTGGCGGCGGAACCATAGCCGACCTAACTCCCCTAGCCAAGCGCGGTTTTGCCATGTCGCTGTTCAGCCTGGGCCCGCTGACCGGACCGGTGCTGGGCCCCCTTATCGGCGGGTTCGTGGCGGCCGCGCTGGGGTGGCGCTGGACCTTTTGGGTGTTGGCCATGATTTCCGGCTTCGTTGGTCTGATCGCAGCCCTAGTCATGCGAGAGACGAACCCCAAGGCGCTGCTTGAACGCAAGGCGAGCCGTTTGCGCATAGAGACGGGTAACCACTGTCTCAGGTCCAAGCTGGCCCGCCCGATGACGGCCAGGCAGGTCATTGCTCAAGCACTCTTTCGTCCAGTGATGCTACTGCTGCGCTCGCCGATCCTCCTGATCATCTCGCTATACGTTGCCCTTACTTTTGGCCTGTTGTACCTGCTGTTTACGACGTTCAAGGACGTGTTTGAAGGCCAATACGGATTCACAACGGCGACTTCAGGTTGTGTGTACCTCGGGCTAGGAGTTGCTGAGGTGTTTGCAGTGGGTCTCTTTGGCAGTCTGAACAACAAGGTTCAAGCGTCGCGGATGAAGAGGGACGGGGCGCAGAAGCCGCGGTCCGAATACAGGCTGATTCTCATGATTTGGTTCAGCCCTGCCGTGGCTGTCGGACTGTTTATTTACGGTTGGACGGCCTACTATAGGGTACACTGGATCGTTCCCATCATTGGCACCGTTTTCGTGGGCTTTGGGGCTTTCTTCGTCATTGTAAGTTCAGACGCTCAAGATACTCGGTGCTGAATCAATGGGGACATGTAATGTCACTGACCAAAGACGATTTAATTCGGCATACAGATGCCCGCGCAACTTTACATTATCGACATCTTTGGCTCCTCGGCTGCCGCCTCTGCCCTCGGGGCCAACATCCTGCTCCGCTACATATCCGGAACCTTCCTGCCGCTAGCCGGGCCCAGCATGTATCGAACTCTGAACTACGGCTGGGGCAACACGCTGCTTGGATTTCTTGCCCTCGCCTTCGTCCCGGCACCAGTGCTGTTCTACAAGTACGGGGAGCGTCTCCGTGCCAAGACGGAGTTGTTGCTGTGATGGGTATATTTAGAAGCGAGGGGCTCGCTGCGAGCTCTGCGAGAAGAGACATGTGCCCGCCGGTCTACGAAAGCTTCCTACTTGGTCTAGTGCGGTTTATGACCCTAGTAGCTTGGTCTTTTACATAGGGGCAGTTTGCGGTGCTCCTATGCCCTGAGGAAATGGGGTACACGGATAAACGGGATCAAACTGTTCGGATCTTCTATTTGTCTTTCCATGATTGTGGATGCGCCAATGTATATAAATCAATCCCTCAATCCTAGATAGGGTACCTAGAATAGTTTACTCCTAATTAGTGCTAGGAACTACCTATCCTTTGATCCCCCAACGGCTCTCTAGAGCAACTATCTTGATAGTGGCTTCTGGGCAAGGCAAAATAACTACCAGAATAATACAAATACCAAGAAACGCCTTCCTCTTTGAGTATTTGCCCGTCTCATCTCCAGCTCCTTGATATAAAATGGAACAATATGATGTATACAAGAGCGAAGTATCGAAGAAGATTTGCCCCTGTCCACCGTCCCGCAACCTCATCACTTGAGCTGGATATGGTACAACTATCATAGTTGAAGGTGGCTCCAAAGCACTACATGTCTTTCGAACCATAACCTAACAAGCCCCCTTAGTTTGGTCCGAAATTCAGCATCAGTTCTGGGCTGGAGACATATCATACGAATTCATCTTCCCAGAGCTTTTAAGATAGGTATTTGAGAATCCCATTGTCCCCACAGTCCTTGGAAGCCCCCTCGAGCCCCATTTCTGAGACTCTGACATGCTAGGTAGTAGATTTTGAACAACGATTCCATCGACCTTGTTGCGCCATCAGCCTTGCGCCCAACTACCTAGAGCCATCCATACTGGGCTTCTGGCTAACGGGAAAAGACCTCAAACGACACGCGTAATAGAGGCCTGAGCTGAAATGACAAGGCCGAAATGACACGGTTGTGATGACAAGGCTGAAATAACACTAACAAGGCTGCAATGACAACGCTGCCGGTTTTCACAAGTCCAAATATCAAGACTCACTTCTTCCGCAACATGTTTGTCGCTCGCTGCTAAGTGCTTGGTAAGGTAAACGTGCATTCCCTATTCGAGCGGAAGAGGAGAATGATGAGAAGTAAAGGGGGGCCAAGTACACAGGTCACACGAGAGATGTGGAAACAAGTTCACCAACTTATGACAGCGATGAGATGAAAGGACTCCCGCCCCGCGTATCTTGACCCGCACAACATTTCTACAGTGGCGGGGCATTTGACAATTTGCAGACGGGCATTGACCACCTGCTTGCCAGTACAAGAAGACTCGAAACCCCACGCTCACAATTTTCAAACTCTCAGTATTTTCTCCCCAAACCCCATTCCTAGTTCCTACCAGGCTTGCCCCTCTTTACAATATTTCATCCACCGACCGCACACTATGAACTGCTTCATTTCTATTTTCCTTCCCTTTGCTTATCAGACGCATCCAACGAATGGGTTATAGGCAATCCAGATGGGTTTATTCTGCCCCTGGGACACGCACCGCTGGATCAAGGACGCGTGGAGAGATTACGAATGGCGCCTTGATCTCTGGAAGGAGAGGTGTTTATCGTGGAAACCGCCTGGCCCAATGCGGATTTCCACCGCTACCCCGAAGACTCGGTACGTCAATCCAACATCCTCTGTCTCCCGGTGGTAAAGCTTCTAACACGCAATAGTTCACACCAGTATGGACAGGGCCACTTTCTCTCCCCATTACCTGAATGAGTACCGTTAAGTAAGTTCAAGGCTCTGGAGGCGCTCCGCCTTCATCAGGACCATATATTTCCTACCTACCGACCGGTTGCACCCGTCAACGGTCCCAACGTGAATGGATCTGGCGATCCCAACTTCGTCACAGCTCCGGTTTCGGCTCAGAATGAGGCGTCTAAGACACCCTGACCCAGTGGCAAAAAACACTGGGGCTATCCAATTCTTCCTCGCCATGGTCTGCTTCTTTATAATCACGACTACTCTCATCATCCGCTTTGTACGGTATTCAGAAACTCGCAAACCCGCCTTCATGCGGCCCAAACAGGGGATCTTTGCGGCCACATCAAACCGCGCCACGTGGTCCTCGTTTTCCACGAGTGCAGCGCCGATATCAAGTATCTACAGAGGTCGGTGAAATACAACAGAGGACGGGCGTCCAGAAGAAGGCGGGCTTACTTCGGTGCGGACCCCAAAGCACGAGACTTGGGCCTTGTTCACCGATGCCATGAATGTTCTGGACGTCGTGGACACCAAGGAGATGCACCAGTATGCGACCCAGGACCATAATGGAAGAGTCTTTCCTCGCACTGGCCGCCATGGCGTCTAGCGGCGTGGAGTACGGGCGTCTGTTCCTGGCGTCAGACGTCCAGGCTAGGCTGGCCCCGTTTTTCCACGTCGCTTCCTGGGTGTACCTCGCGGTCACCTTCCTATCCTCCATCATAAATGCCTATACCTCAACAGCTCGAGGTTCTAGAGCAGGATCGGGTCTTGACTAACGTTATACTGTTGAAAAAAAAAAACACCAAGAAATGTGGGTTAGAAAGAGGGCCCAGTATCAATGGCTTTTTACAGCAGAACACCTGGTAAGACTTCTTACAACTGCCTGTAGAGATACTTGCTAACATAATGTGTAGGATGGGAGAGAACACCAATCCCATCCCGACTGCGATCACCTCCCCAATGGGTGGCGGCGACAAAAATGGCATCATGTCTCCTAGCAGCGGCGGCCCCTTCGCGCGTCGCGCTGCCCCGGAGCCGAACAAGCGCGCTCTGTATGTTGGAGGATGGAGCACTGGATGGACGAGAGCTTTGTGAAGGGCATTATGATGACGTTGACGAGCAACGACGTCCAAGTCAAGGTCATTCGCGACCGTAAATCTAGGTATGTCTCTTGGGCATCTACACTCTTCCATAAGTTGGTTGGTCGAGGAGCAATATATTTCCCAGACCTAACCGCTTGTTCCCTATACATTCACTTCACTATCTACACCTAACCCTTGCCCTCGTCTGATTTTGAACATCGCAGAGAATGAGGCCCTTTGGGTGGTCTCTCGTGTCCAGACACCAAGCCAAGCATCGTCAATTCCAAAAGCACTATATCATGAGGTAAGGAACGCTACAGAGCCGTCCGAACACGTCTCAACACGTGCTGATACGTGCTGACGCGTTGAAAAAGTACTATTGGGCTTGGATATAATGGCAGTCCTCGACATGGCTGCATCTTCCAGCAGTCAGCCTCCAGTCTCCTGAGCTTCGAGCGTTCTCGGAATTTCCTCAGATATCATCAACATCCGAGACATGCTGGTAATCCATGATGGATCCTGTTTCCGCCCACGCTGGCGCCCCATGTGGGGTGTCCCTCCGTACTTCAACCAGGGCCCACTCAACCCGATGCGTAAGTTCATCTCCAACTCTCGTCTACTACGAGTTGAAAGATCTCGCGTGGTTTAACCCCCTGTCACTGACATTGATGGTACTTGATACATCTAGGGATGTCCAATTCCTACGAGCTGCCCGACATGGCCTGGGTGGACACACCTCCCGTCAAGTATGTTCCGGCCACAGGACGTCGCCGAAATCCACAACGTCACAGCTGACGACGAGACGAGCCACGAAAGAAACACTCGTCTAACAAGGACTCCATGGTTGCCAGCAGCGGACAGCAATACTAGTCGGTCCGTTAGCTCAGCAAACTACAGGGCACACCTCAAGCGATACTGCCCGTGGCCGACGGCCAGCAACAGCCGAATCCTCGTCAAGCTGCGAAGGTCACACACGATCCAAGAGGGGACATAGCCGTGCTCGCTCGTGCTGCACAGTTGCAACAGCAAGCACGGCTTAGGATGGTGCGGACTTGGAAGACGGGGAACGCAGTCTTGCGGGCTCCTGATCGTCCGGGTTATGACGGCCGGCTAGCACTGAGCCCGCGCAGCCTCCGCCCGGTTTGCTATAAGGTCAAAAGCCAGGTTTCTCACAAATACTTCCCGCAACTTTCTCAGATCCAACGGCTTTCCTCCTCTACAATTCCCTTCCTTCACCTAGCCAGTGGGCCAGGTTTCTTTCAACATCTTCCCTGTACCTGAATACTAAGAACAGTACCTCAAGCAGGCGCATCGACCTTGACCTGACTACGACATTGACAGGCACATCCTTTAATCCAGCCAGCTCGTCCCAAATAATGGCGTCGTTTGATGGAGAATTGCTCGTCAGTTCCGGCACCGCCGGATCCAATCCCACGGTTTCCGGCGCCGCAGGGCTACTATGTCAACTTCGTGTTACTCCTGTGACCTTGTCTACTGCTACCCACACGGCTTCAGAAACCAACTCGTCGCTTTGCAGCTTGGATTTCTCGGTCTGAGCCAGTAGGGGTGTCCCTCCCTAATTCAACCAAGACTCATTAGCCCGATGCAGCCGATGAACCAGTTCACAGATCCGATTAACACAATTGTCCTCGTCGGCGGCCTCTCGGGCTACGTCAGTGAGGACGAGCTCCGCTCCTTCTTCCAGGGACCAGTTGTTGCCGCCGGATGAGTGGAATCACTTCGCGGTGGATCAAGCGAAAGAATATCGCGGGTACGTCCGGCTTCGCTGGCTTCGGCAGGATTACTTATGCTAAAATCCCTCCCGGAAAGGGTTGCGGATTTGTGCAGTTTGTGCATCGTCATGCTGCAGAAATGGCGATCAATCAGACGCCCACACGACGTTTTGCGCGGTGGCCGTCAACTCCGGGTCGAGGCATCCCCAACCAGAACGCGCGTACCCGGTTGGGTACACGTGGGACAGGGACCCGGCACCCATTCCCGCCGCCGCGGAACGCGTCATCATCTTGGATTTCCTTGGCTGTGACTGTCCGTCCCGGGATGCAAGGTTACTCCTGATGGAATACCACGAGCGTGTTCAATGTTGGCGCACAGGCGACGGTGAGTTCATTCCAGTGTTCAAGGCTTTCGCTCCTTTCACCCCGAAAGCACCCGAAAGCCCTCAACATGATCTTTTACCTCTTGGAGCGCCGCCGCTCGATGGTTAAGGCCCTCAGCTCGTTCTGGACAAAGGTCATCTTTTCGATCATTACACCAAGCCAAGCTTTCACCGGGAAGCTCTCATTGGGGTCGTTCACCGGGAAGCATTCATCGTGGTGGTGGTTCTTTGGCGACGGCGAAGTCTTGGAGGCAATGGAAAGTCTCATGCTTGGAGAGCAAAAACGAATCGGACGGGCCCCCCAAGCCAGCCAAACGTCGGCAGACATCTGGGGGGGAGGGCGGGTTGGGGGGTTTGTGTGTTGATCGAGGTTGGGAGGATGCCATCACCACATCTGGGCCGGGCTGTTGAGCCGGGAGGGTAGGAGAAAGCATTCACTCGGGTGGGGGGAAAAGGGAGGATTGGTTCACCGGGAAGGTTTCATTGTGGTGGTGGTTTGGGGTGGGGTGAGGTGAGGTGGAGAGTGTTAGGAAGGTTGTTTTTGCTGGTTCAGTGCCGGGCGAGGCTGGTGATGATGTCGAAGGCCGGTAGCAGCCTCCGTGATGCCGTTTGAGGATATTGGCACCCTGACAGTCACTTCCCAGCCTCACCACGTAAGGCCAGAGCAGCATGATTGGGTCCCAGTTCGATTCAAACCTCAGCCAAAGTTTTGGTCACTAACCCAGGCAGCTCAATTCGAGCTTGGAAAGAACGGCGGTCATGCAGGCCGCAAAAACAACCAATTCGTCTTCGAGCGGATATACACCAGCAAGGTTCGCATGGAGGCTCTGAGGGATTACCTGGAGAGGAACTCATGTATTTCAAGCTTGGCGATGGCACCCCATCAAAGTCGGTTTACCATGCAAGACCATAGCACAACGCAAGATCGCTGAGTTACTCGATGCGTTTCCCAAGCGTGAGACTCTGACGGACGTGTGAGATGCAATGCACCGTTTGACGTGGTTGGAGCCTGCAAGTCCTAGGCAATGCACATATCACACGTATTGCACGTATTGCTGATAGATGTAGCATGGGCTATCGTGTTCTGCAAGCCGTTACTTCTGCCGTAAGGCGTTTTTAGGCCTTCTTTTCTTGAACATCACAGTGACCCCGCCTGCTTCTCCTGTTTCCCCCGTAGCGGTGGCAGAATCCGCTGTTCTCCCATTTGTCGGGACGGCACCGACGCCTCCGTCCTCTTGCGGCTCCTCCTTGATAGGTGGCGGTGATTCCTGTTTCGACGACTTTGGAGCGTCATCCCCAGGTGCCTCCTCCATGCTCTCTTCCTTCTTGATATGTGGCGTTTCGCTCTGTTCTTTCTCAGTCTTGACAAGGGGCATGCTTAATAGCGCATCGAGCTCGGCGTCCCCCTCACCGGGCATCGTCTTGGAGTCGACGCCCCATTTACGTCGTTTCCGGAATAGCCCTTTGATGGCCTCCTCTTGTTCCTTCTCCTCCTCGGTCCGTTCCCTCTCCCGTTTTACCCCGATGACACGGCCTTCAGGCGAGATGACCTCGCCACTTTCCACTTTGTGTTGATCATCTTCGATGACTCTTGTCGACGCCACGGTCCACTCCCCGGCCATTGCCATGCTCCCTCTGAGCTCCGTCGGAATATTCACGCCGAGCTCGGCAAGCTGTTCCAGCTGCTTCTGTCGCTCCGCTTGTGTGACCTGCTGCGATGACGCGCCATAAGCTCCTCCTCCTCCCTGCTTTAGTCCTGATCGCCCTGGGCCTTGCGCATTGCTGCTGCTACTGCTTCCCGAAACGACACCGTTTAGCCGTTCGACCTCTCGTTTTGCCCGCTCCTTTTCGCGCTCTTGCTGTTCGGCGCTGCGGTGCAGTTCTCGTAGAGAGCGCTTGATGGCGCTTTGGTGCTTCGCTGTGGATTCATGGTTTGCGCGCTCGAGCTTGGTGTCTCGGACGTAGACACTGCAATGTTTGCACCAGTATTTGGGCGTCGACTTCCAGTATTCCGACATTACGGTCGATCAGCGAGCAAACCTAGGTTCGGGGGAAGAGTCACAAAGAATTCGTGGTTTGTTGCAGAAGCAACTTGAAATGATGTAAGAGCAGTCCGGATGCTTGCTTGAAGTTGATTGTCGGGTGGCAGTGGCTATCTTTACAGCTGACAGGTGCCGAATCGATTTGGCAGGCCGGATAAACTCCGGTAAACTGCTCCTGCCAAGGGGTCGGGCGCATTCTCCACCTGCAGGCTTCAATCTCTCACAAACTTCCTCTGCATCGGATGATCGGACGGCCACTCGCCATGGAGCTTTATAGAACAGTCTCAATTCTTGTCATAATTAAAGCATTGAATGCAGCCATAGCCTCATTATCTGCGTCCCAATTATTTCCATCTCGAAACCCTTCTCGTCATTAGTCACCCGTTCTTTCAAGGGTGAGAGGTATTATGCCCATATCAAGGGCGAACAGCAAACCAGCGCTCCCTAAGCCCCTCCGCCCCTAAGTCCCAACTTACGTTCATAACGGTGCAGGTACCCCCTCCCCCTGTAGTATTTACTTCAGTTCGTTCTCACGTAGCAACCCTTCGGATATCATCGTCCCCCAACGCCATTCAACAGCCGCTTAGAGAATCCAAGCAACCCCAAGCCCGAGACCCAAAAGCAAGGCAGTACCCAAGGTATTGCTGACCCGGCCAGCGCCGTTCTCGGGCGGGGCGCTGGTCGGCCTTGGGATCACACTTGTATCCAGCGTCGTCCCCCCTAACGGTCCCGTCACAACCGGAATGGATGTTGACACCTCGCCGGTTGCTACCGGTGTCACCTGTATCTGGCCGTCCGAGTATTGAGACACGGGCGGGATGCTGATAGCCGGAGTCGGAATGATAGAGGCGGCCGATGTGCAAGGGGTGGTGTGGCCCTGGATTTGACCTACCGAGGGCTGCTGTTAGCTTGTATCTCGCCTCATCGGCCTGGAGGAGGAACTTACCATCGTCTATCTGGCAAATCGGCACCAACTGGGTCGTGGTGATGACCTTCGTATGGCCATCGCTTAGCGGGACTGTCACTGTCGTAGTCATAGCCGAGGTGCCTACGACATGCTGGCCCTCGTCGTTATCGCCGCCGCACGGCATCACCAGGATCTCCACCGGAGAGCACTGCATCGCCCACCATCGGTCGTACAGGTTGGAAAAGCTGCCGGAGCGGCACTGGTAGAACACGGCTGAGCCGCCGAGCGCCAACGACCCATTGTTGCAGTGCGAGAACCCAGCGGTGTAAATCGCACCCGCCTGGGGTGGCTTGTCGAATTGGAACTGGAAATTGGATGCGATGTACCCGGTCCGGTTCAGCGCGTCGGTAATGACACCGTCAGAAAGCTCGGCTACCAATATGCCGTCTCCGGAGCAAGCTGCCCGTTTCTGTGGGTCCATGCACGTTAGCAGTCAAGTTCGGCCGCATATGATGTGGAGCTCTCGGATTGGTCTTCCCGAGGAGAGCAGCCGCAAGCGCCGGATCCCGGCAAGGCCAGTCCCTTGTGGATGTCCTTTCTGAGGACAATACTCTCATACCTGCAGGATTGTATCTCTCTTTTGGGTGCTGCCAATTTCCAAAACCGCAATCTCGAATTTGCCGTCCACGTTGGGCTTGCAGCCCTCCGGTGGAGGAGCCGGGGGTGCGACCTTGTCAGTGACGCCCTGTGCAGCGGCAAAGCCCACCGCTGCGAGGAGGCCGAGTACTTGATGCCTCATATTGGATTTGCTCCTCGGGTCGATAGGTGTAAGTTCGAAGGTCTTAAACAAGGAAAGTAGGAGTTTCCGGGCGATTGTCGAAGCGCGGAAGAGAAAAAAGAAACATGCGCACGCGAAAGTCGAGGGCTGTGTTGAAAAAAAGCAGACTCTCTCTTGTTGTGTATCGTGAGAATTGCCTACTGGTAGCCACACAAATGGTGTGTGACTGGAGGTCGGGTTGTGCAGAGACCGAGGAAAGAAAGAGGGCGGGAAGGGAATTCAGAAATGGGGTATGAGTTATAGTTCTCTGCAAGTTTGTTCAACTGAACCCAAAGTGGGTTTTGTTTGAGATTGATGTTTCGATTTATGAGATGTGAAGACTGCTCCTTCCTTTGCTCGGTGAGGACCTGGCGGATGCCCTACGGTGCCAGCTTGCTGCAAGCTGTGCTGGCATGGACTTGACTCACCCAGCAGGCATACTACGCATGCTTTCAGCGATGGTACATGAGTACATCCAAGGATAGGTAGGCCATTTCTCGACCGTTCCTGCCTGGCATTTCATAATGGGATTTCCGGAAAGCGTGTGGCCAGGAGCCGGTCGACGAGGTCGAAGTGTTGGGTTCCCACAGGTACAGTACAGCACCTGAAATTTGGAGCGCGGTACGGAGATATAATACATACCATACCGTATATTACATACAATGATACGGATACAAGTACGCACGATTTTTACCGAAGTTAGGCCTACATGCCAGCGGAGGAGACACTCAAAAGCCCAATCTTTGCTAGCCCTTTTGGACGATTCCAGCTACCCTGATGCAATGGATTCCGTTGAAAGCCGGTCTCAGACGCTGACGTTTGTCGCCGAAGCTAATGCGGTGCACACTTTCTCGGACCCGCTCCGGAGAACACCTGGGAATGAAATTTCGGGGCGGTTTCTGGCGGCATCGGCTCAGGCCCAAGCTCCCGGCTGCCTGCATTCCTCCGACGCCTGGCAGCGGCATCTTCCGGGGTTGCAGCATACTACCGGGGGACTCCATATGCCACAGAACGCAGCAGTGAGCATCCAATGGTGCCGCAACGTTCGGATTAACCTAAATTATCAAGCCCAAGTTGTCCCTGCCCCGCCGGGTGCAATGTTCCGAACACATCAGTTGAACCATGCACCTCATCCTGTCTGCCCTGCAGGTTCGAAGCGGGTGCCTGCATGAGTTTCTGGTGGTTGATGAGATAAAACGTAGAATATGCGGTTAGCGAAATTGCCTTAGGTTCCGACGTAAGGAAGGCATGACGGGCAGTTCCATCTGACCTTGGGTGCTGCTTCTGTCTGTGTGCTGGTTGAGTACCTAAGGTAACTTGAGTCGTTGTTGGGACTTGGGAGGCTGTTCTTGCGGCCCGCTGCGGGGCTCACCATGAGCTGAGTGGATTCGGTGGCGCCCAGGCCCGAGCGGATGGCAGCAGCAGATCAGCGCTGCAGCCCGGCGACGGAGCCGGTAACCGAGCAGTCCTCCGGTTTTTGTCTCGGGTCCTACAATCAGCCTTAAGACATCAGATGCTGTCCCTTGCCACGGTACTGTACAGAACAGTTTCGGCGTCAAATCATGCCAGATTTTGGCTGCGGTCACTTTCCATCGATGTGGTCAGGCTGGTCGGTGCAGGTCCTATTCTTCTGAACCTCATGCTTTCTCATCAGTGCCGCTTGCTCCTCGTTGGGGTTTTAGTTGGCGCTCGAAGTCGATTAGAGTGGCACAACAGCGGCAGTCAACACTAACTGCCATGCGATATGCACCATCTGTCGCGGATATTCTGCTCTCTTTGAGCATCATAAGGTTTGCATGAATAATGCGTGAAAGCACGAGGCGCGTTGACAGATGCCATCTGCATCGCATTACGTCGTTCGTCAGCATCCTCCACGATACAAGGCTTCAAGTCAAATGCTAAAATTCATTAGGTTATCCTCTACCAACGCCAGCCGCCAAAATCCAACATTTCTTGGGCATCATTGACAGACATGTATACAGGCCATCATCCTTGACAGCCTCCAAACCGTTACAAAATATTCACCGCTGGTATCCGACCTAGGCCTCCTAGACCAAGGTCCAAACATGCCCCTGCACATTCCATGGGCGAGCACATGCCAATCTGGCACCCGGATCTCCCTCACCCAGATGAAACCGTGGATTGCTGGGGCGGGTAGTACGGCTGCCCGGGTGCTGGGGTTCCGTGCGGGCTATAAGGCGCCGGGGTGCCATGTGGACTGTAAAGCTCGGTGCTGTAGGAATGCTGGTCGTACGGCGGCTGGGACTGCGGTTGCGCTTGATAGCCTTGGTTATTAGGGTCCGGATACGCAGCATATTGCTGGGTGGAAGGATCTATCGCCGGCTGGAACGCGGGCTGCTGCGGCTGGGGGTAATTCGCAGTCTGTTGTGGATCATGATTCCCCTGAAGCTCGGCTTGGGGTGTATATTGCGGATGCAGCTGGTATTGTTGCGAGTCCGAATACTGCGGGTACACGGGGCCAGTCGTCGGCTGGGCGGCCAACATCGGTGTTCCCTGAGCCTTCATCTCGACTGTCGCGTTATCAACCGACGGCTTCTTATTCGCCTGATGCCACATGCGGAAGGAGTGTCCGTGGAAGACGAGGGTCGGTATAAACAGAAGGCTATCCGCGAAGAGCCGTCAGCCGACCTGAACTTGTTGCGTTCCTCTTATCGACAGGTCCGGGTGCACTTACAACTGCAGGGCACTCAGGCCTGCGATAGCACTTATCATGGCAAGCCCGGCCTGGTCGGCAAGAGCATTGGGGTCGCGCTTGGTGAAAGTGCAGGTCCTGCTGTTCGTAATTTGGCCGTTTTCGAAGCAACTCTGAACGTTGACATTGTCCTTGAACTGGGCTCGGAGCGCGGCATTGGCTCCCATTGACGCAAGCCAAAAGATTGCCATTAGGAGGTCGAGGGCCAAGACGGCCCAAATATTGTATGCTACGTTGGCAGATTTCACCTTTTCTGCCACGAGCACATAGGTGGCGACAACCCATGTGAACACGACCTGCGAAATCAGTCAGCAAGCGGCAACGCATGCCGAGGGCGATAGAAACCCCAGTCGAGCCCATCGTGATCCAGCGGGACTCGGAAAGCCCGACGAGCCAGGCCCAGGGCACTTACACAAGCAACTGCAAATGCGTTGGCGCCGAGGGATACCCCATGGATGAGGATGCCAGCCATTATGAGAATGGGCAAGGAGACGAAGATTTGTAATCCCCTCAATACAACAACCCAGACTGGAGTTTGTTGAACGTAAAGCTCCTTCTCACTTGCCGGGGCGCCAGCCGGCACTGGCATGGCATACTCGGGAGGGCCAGGAGGGGGTTTGACTTCCGCCATTGTTGACAACCGGCCGAGCGAGGGATGATGTTGAAGGGTGCCTGTTTGAGCGGGATGCCTGTTTGAGCGGGATAAGAGTGGAATGGTGAACGATCTAGCACCGAGGACACACAGGAGCTGGGAGCCGCAGACTTTTAAAGGAAGGAAAGCTTGTGACTGTTCTTCGTACTGCAGCGTCTCATCTACACCGCACGTGTACGAGCTTTCAGGCCTCATCCCTTGTCTAGCTTGCCTGAGCGGGTAAGGATGGTTGAAGAGAGTCTGGAATCTGGATCCTTGGATTGCACTAACAAGCTCCGCTGTTGCTCAGCCGCGCTTGGGCACGATGCCACCGCCCTTCCCATGATGGCAACCAGAACGTTGAAAATCAAAAGCTACCGCACGCCAATCTTCGTCGGGCCTGCTGCAGAGGGGGTTTTGTATGTACCGCATCTGTTTTCATCTCGGCACCATCTGTTGAAACCCAAGCCTTTCCCCTGAGACTCTGAAATCCGTTGAAGTTTCGAGTTTTGAAATGTTCAGATTCAATACTCCGTACACCCCCAACCCAAAATGCCAATAGCGGCCTTGGCAGCAGGGATACGGGATTGTTGACAGAGCCGCTAGCCCGCAAACAGTTGTGCTACGCAGGGGCTTCCCATTGGCGGTAGCAACCGAAAGCCTAGACAGTCTAAAAAAGTTGAGTTTTCATGGCTGTGTTGCTCAAAACTCGAAAATCATTGTTTATTAGCGCGGCGATTGCCAGCGTTGGACGGGGGCATCGCGACAGGTTGGTATTTAGTTGTTACCTCAATGAGGAAGCCGGGTATCAGAAGATCCTGAAATCTGACGCCAAATCTACACTATCATTGCATGAGAACGAGAGGCTTGCGGGGGAGGCTTGCGGACACGCCGAGTGACCTGCATGATGAAGGTTCGACTAAGCATCGCCAAGATCAGCCACATCTGGTTTCCATCGCGAATTTGCGATGAATGGAGGGACTCGTTCTCGCCAGCCCCTTGCTAAAGCGCTATGCGCCACTGCACCAAGTCACAAGCCGTAGTTCCTCCACGCTCGTACTTCAACGTTACAATGATACATACCGGACGTGAGACGTGAAAACTTTATTCTAAAAATAACTAACTCCAACTTCCGTTCACAGACCCAGATGCCTCCGGTCTGGCGCTGCTAGATTTTACATATTGCCCAGCATCAAAATTCTACTTTTCCGGCGCTAGTTATATCAGACTCTACATCAGGTTTCCGACTATCTTCTCAAGTCACTAGCCTTACCTGTGGGCTCGACCTCCATTGGCATTCAGGGGCCACTATTCTGGGTATAAGACCTGCATTGAGACTCAGCCAACGGACGATACTGCATTGGGGATAATTCAACCTACCTAATTAGATGAATGACAATCAGAAAGTGGTCACAGTCCAAGTTCATGCCCGTGTTATAGAAGGTAAGTTGGCCATAGCAGATTTCAGAATGCCTTAAATCAAGTTCATAGCCCAGGCTGGAGAATTTGTGAATCGATCCAGCAGCGTGACGGTCTTACAGCCTGCAGAACTTCTCCCACTCCCTTGAGCTCTGACCGACTTTGTGAGGTTGATGATGGAAATCTCTTAATACCTGTTAACCAGAACCTAGGTCCATCGCGCAGACTGCCACTGGGTATCTAATTGAAGTTCCCCTATCCAACTTTCACCCCCCACGGTTAAGACTGTATGTAGTAAAGTAGTCAAGCGGTAGTTACCCAAACAGCCACCTTCCACATCCTCCGCCCACCTCGGGCTTTCAGTTCGACCCACGAACCCGGCCTCCCCGCCCAAGGACAACTTTCTTGAACGGGAGCAGGACCCTGCATGGGAGCAGAAGTCCCAGCGGCAGTAGAATTCACGGCCGAAACTCGTTGGTTTCGCCGTCTCCCCTTGGCGACAGGTCTTGACTTCGCCTCCTTAACCACATGTGGAATGACCATCGCGATGGAAGCAGCCATTACCATGTGAGCGCAATGTACTACAGAAAACATGGTAACAACGTCAGCCATCCTGTTGACGAGTCAATGGACCTGGGGAAGACGTAGCAGGTAAATGAGACTGCGAATAACGTAATTAATAACGGTCAAGGTGACAAAACATGGGCGTATCCCGCCAGAGGCGTACCTGGTCGGAAGGGAGACGCTCCCTTCCCCTGACCACAAAACGCATTGAAGGACGATGTCAGCGCTAACGGTCGTGAGAACGGCAGCAATCATAATGCTGCTCTTGAGGCCGAGGGCAGCGGAACTCCCGCTGAACAACCGCAGAAGCCTGCCCGCCCGCCAACGACCCGAAAGGAAAGGGAAAGGCCGTTCGACAGCAGTGCCCACGCTGCCCAGCACCAGCACCGCGCCCAAGCGGAAGAGGGGTGCCTCTTCCAAGCAATTGGTATGTACCTACAGTACATTCCCGGGCCGCACAGCAGCAGAAAAGAGCGGGACCGCTGACGGTTTGATATCAGAGTAACAAGAAGCAGAGGCTGTCCCAGGATGAGATGGACATACGCGAGATTCCCTGCGAGCCCTGTGTTACTCACATTCAAATTGTTAGCCACTTACAGGGAAAGGGGTTCCTTCCATTTGAGGAGGCCATACACAGTTCGTTACCACCTCATAGGAAAGAGCACCTTCCTAACTCGAGCAACTAACGACGAATAAGCTGCTCGTTACAAATGAGGCGCTCATGACCGGGAGCCGTTCTATAGCCATTCATTTAGTTTAGTGGAACTTTCCCAGCTTATTTTTTTCGGTGAGGTGACCATGAACGCTGCCTGAACCGTGCGTCAACTGCTCGTGGAACCAACCCCCCCCACGCAGGTAAGATGGACTCCTTTGGTACTCGGAATGCAAGTTGTAAGTGAATGAGACTCTTTGCTGGAGTAAGTACCAAGCATAAGTTCACAACCGACACCGACACAGACGAGCATGATGAGCTGTATACTCCCAGCAGCAATGAAGACAGCGAGGGGAGGATGAGATTTACCAGTTTTAAATACAACGAGCATGAGCTGAACCCGCATGGAGGTGTTGATGGTGAACACAGCCCACGGGGGTGCTCAATGCGCTGGAATATTATGAGCAGTTTACAAATTGGCGGAGAGTCCTAGGCAGCCTGGAGGAGTCAGCGAATGGCCGTCCCCTCTGTTGATCACCCTGCTTACCGGCCCCATGTATCTTAGGATCACGGAAACCGTACCAATATGACACCCTACGACAGCATTCGCCCCTAGGGAAGTGACCCAATGGCCTAGAGGATGTGACTATACCGCCTAGGTCCGTAGAGAAGAGCAAGTATGCCCGCAACAAGAAACAACACGCTTTTGCTTGGGTTAAGCTATCCATCTATTAAGTTGCGCATGCAACCCCCCCGCCCGTATTACCGTGCACCAAAGTAAATGCAACCACGCCCAACCAACGACCAGCTTTGCTCTCCCCTACATAATAACCTCGTTGGCAACATCCTGAAGAAGCAGATTAGCAGGGTTCTTGACACATCGACAATCAGTTCAGATCGCAAGAAACTCACCCTCTTCAGCTCCTTGAAGGGCAGGCACACGCAGTTCTGCACGCGAACCTCGTCGCCCACCCCGCACTCCTTGCCCAGGATGGTGATGGCCTGCACCTTGACGCCGTTCTTGATGATGCTTGTGCTGTGACTTGTCACGGGCGTCGAGGTGCCCTCCACGCGCGCCCAGGCACCCACGCGGCTGCTCCAACCGATAATCGAGTAGAGCACGCAGGCGTCGTGCTTGATCTCGGCGTCCTCCAAGACGATCGATTCCTTGACGCGCGCGCCAGCGCCAATGACAGCGCGCGGGCCAATCGAGACGTTGGGACCCAGTTTGGCCGTCGGGTGTACCTGGGCGGTTGGGTGGATGTAGACAGGGGGGATGATGTTTGCCGAAGGGGCGGCCAGCTCTGTGGAGCCGTTCTGCCAGGCCTTCTGCAGGTACAGCGCGTTGGCCGGGATGGCGGACCCGGCCGTCTTGATTTGCCTCCAGAAGTCTTTGGTTTCGTAGACGAAAAATTGCTTGTTGTCGGCCATGTCGCTAAGAATGTCCTGCTCAAGCCGGATGACCTCGGTCTTTTCGCTCTCCTCGTCGTCGTCAATCATGAAGGAGCTCGCGAGATTGTCACTGGAGCGGTATGAGCCGAGGCGCGGCCTGTCGGTGCGACGCTTGATGGCGCTGCGGATTGAAGGAAAGATGGCGTCGGTCGAGAAGAGGTAGACGCCGCAGTTGATCAGGTTGGAGATGTAGCTCTCGGGCTTCTCGACATAGTGCAGCACGCGGCGAGTGTGCGCGTCGGAGACGATGCAGCCAAAGTTGGTGGCGGCATCTTCGCTGACCCGTGTCCCCAGAATAACGGCCTCGGCATCCTTCTCCTCGGCCAGCTTGAGCATGTCGTTGAGCGGGAAACTGCAGCACACGTCCGAGTTCAGGACAAAGATGTGTTCGGGACGGCCCTTGAGGATGGCATCGCGGAAGTGATACAAGCCGCCAGCGGTGCCCAGCGCCTGGTATTCGCGGAGGTACTTGATGGAGAGGTTCGGAAACTGGCTCGACGCATCCTTAATGAAGTCGCGGAAGACCGATTCCTCGTAGTAGCCGATCAGGTAAACCTCATGAATCGAGGGGACCTTGTCGATAGCGGTCAAGCAGTGCCAGATGATGGGGTGGCCTGCGACATCGAAGAGGGGCTGAAGAGAGGGGAGAGAAATCAGCGTCGCAGTCCTTGATGACACGAGGAACAACTCGCATAAGATAGCCGATGGGTTGTTGTACCTTGGGAACGTCGAGGGAGAGTGGGCGAAAGCGGGTGCCACGGGAGGCGCCGCCAACCTGCGCATCGATTCTGTTAACGTCCTTGACGAGTACCCAATCCGCCGACGACAGCTCACCAGAATTACTGCTTTGGTGGCACCAGGCACCCCGCCATTTGCCTTCTCACGGAAAGGAACCTGCAGAGACATGATGAAAAGGAAGGATGACTGCTTTCTGCGGGGGAGGATAGGAGTGATTTCGTAGGAGTCGGAGTCCAACAAGGCGAGAAGAAGATGTGCCTCAATCCTATGTGGTCCAATTCCGGTCCCTCGGATTCTTTGGGTTGGCGGCCATGTGAAGTGAACCAGCTGTCACCTGGCAGGGGTCATGCTGGTCTGTGCACAAAGCTGCCCCTCCATCTAATCCGGGGCATGCACGGGCCACATCATGGACGCCTAGGCACCTTTGCTCAATTTGGATGGTAACTTGCTGTAAAATGTATGGATACTTGGAAGTTAGTCATTGTTGCTGTAACTTTTCATTTGGAATCCAGTTTCGAATCTTATCAGCACATATTGCCTGCAATTGTGTGTCGAATTTGTTACTCGCACCGCATGGAGATTTCTAGGTATTGCAAACGACACGCGCGACACGCGCAACACGTCGAAACCATTGGGCCTCGCGTTTTCTTTTTAACTGATGCGCGTCCATGTGAACCAATGAGAGGCCGGTGCGAGTCACCGCTTTCCAAATCGCCCCACATTTCCCAACCCCCTTTCCTGGAAATGCCCCACCAACTCCCAACGTCCTCCTCGATTAGATGCAAATTGTTACTGCAAGCTCTGGTTTAGCTAGAACAGGTTAACAACAAATAACCTGACCCGGAGTCCATCGCGAGTTCTGCTCACAGCTCGGCTTTGCAAGTCGAAGCATTGGCCCGTCAACCATAAATCACCACTCCTTCCTGCCACTGACGGGCCTACTCAATCTTCTTGTCCATTTCCACTGCAACCATCGCCTTCTGTTGTTGACTTTCCTTCATCTCCCACTTCCAGGCGACAATCGCTTCCTTGTGTACAGACCACTTCGATTGTTGCCTGCTTGGGCCTTTTTGTATCAACTTTCGACCTCATATACCTGCTGTCGTGGATCTCACTTCCAAAGTCAGGATTTCAGGTTAGTCAACTATATCCAGAGCAATTTCCCTCTCGATTCCTACAGTCTTCAAATCATCCGATTTCCCAAGATGGTTTTGGTTCGACTAACTACTTGGAAAAGATTCCAGATGGCACCAAGAATTAAACAGGAGCCCGGGGGCGGCTATCGGGGTGACCGGAAAACTCCTGCTTTGGCGAGCGAGGCGCCTTCAGAGAGCTTCACCGAGCATGATCGCCTCGCACGTCGAGTTCGATCTGCAGCCCGTGAGTCTGCAGACTTCTTCTCCTCTTTCTCGTCGGAAAGCTAATTCGCTGCAGCGAGCGTTGTCACCCGCCCGGAGCCTGTCGTCAGTCAGGAATCACAGGAAGCTGGAGATGATGACGTGGTCTATATGGAGATCAGAAATCTCAAAGCTGAACAAGTTCCTGAACCCACAGCCTCTCAGAGTGTGCAGGGCTCCTTCCTCGGGGCTAACCGAGCTTTGCAAGGCTTCGGCCGCAAGCTCAAGGACATCAACGACGCTTTGGGCGAGCTTCAGGCGCGCGGTATCCAGCACGTCGCGAGCTTGCCGGAGCTGGTTTTGGTCGGCGATCAGTCGTCTGGAAAGTCCAGTTTGATGTCTGCCATCGCAGGTTTGAGCTTGCCCCGAAGCAGCGGAACGTGCACTCGCTGCCCCATTCACATTAGAGTGTCACGGGCTGACGAGTGGTCTTGCCGAGTATATTTGAAGCAAGATTACGAGTTCCAGCCGCCTAACCGTGCTCTCGCCGAGTCCGACGTCACGTCGAGTAATAAGTTCCCGCCATGGGTTCTCCTCGATCCTAGTCGGCGCGTGCGACTCGAGTTTAAGACCGTCCGAGATCAATTCGACTCTGAGGAGATCGAGACAGTTTTACGCTGCGCGCAAGTTGCAATTCTCAACCCCGGGACGCCATACCAGGTTTTCGTCCCCAAACTTAAGGGCGAGGCCCCGGAAGGCACGAGACAGCAGCACTTTGCACGAGTACGGGAGAAGGAAGACAGGGCAGAAGCACAGTTTTCGCCAAACACCGTTGCCCTGGAGGTCAAGGGCCCAGACTTGGCAGATCTGAATTTCTACGATCTTCCTGGTGTCTTCATGACGGCGAGGCGAATCGAAGACAGTTTCTTGGAGCGAGTTGTCCAGAACCTGACATACGAGTACATTTCACGGCCGAGCGCAATCATTCTCTGTGCTGTTCCAATGAATCAGGACAGCGAGAACTCGCTGGCCCTAAAGATGGTCCGGGACCTCCGTGCCCAGAGTCGGTGCATTGGGGTAATGACCAAGGCAGACCTTCTGCCAAGAGAAGACGACCACGGAGGATCACGCTGGCTCGCCATGCTCAACGGTCATGCCCACCAGACTGGCTACGGTTACTTCATCACGTCTCGCCAAGGGACTGACCTGGAGGAGCAAAATAAGATGGAAGAGGCCTTCTTCAACCGCACGGCTGAGACGACTGGTCAATGGCCGGACGTCTTCGAGCGGTTCAAGGAGAGGTGCGGGGTTGAAAAGCTCAAAGCCTTTCTGTCGCTGAAGCTCGGCGAGCAGTTTGCTAAGGTGTAAGTTCATTCCGCTGACGAGCGTTTATTTTGATCCATGTCTGACGCTTTTTAGCCTGCCTGAAGTCAAGGAGAAGGTGGATTGGCGCATTCGGGATATCGATGAGCAGCTCAAAAAATATCCCGACCCGCCGCCCAATCCAGAGCTGGAAATCATGAAGAGCTTGACCATGTTTACACTGAAGGTCAAGGATAGGGTCAATGGTCCGGACTTCATAAATAGCTGGGGCGACAGGTATGGACAGCCGTTCAAGAGGACCATCGTCGGCCTCAAACCGAAGATCAATGTCCGGGAGCACGCGCTATCGGATGCGACAAGACCTTCAGGCCCTGTGGTCATAGACCTTGAGAGCGACTCAACACCTTCGCCAACCATGCGGAAACGTCCGGCTCCAACGCAAGAAGTAGGGCAGGCAACCCCCAAACGCCCACGCGGATTGCAAACTAACGGCACAAATGGCGTCGTCAAGACAGAGCCTGTTGATCACGCCGTGTTCGCGTCTACACCATCTCATCTGAGGAATGCTACTCCTGCAGGTTCCCCTTCGCGTGGCTCCCGATCCAAGAGCCTCATGGATATTCGGAACCTGGTTAGGAGATCCGTTATTCCAGGTCACCGCCAGCTGGTGTCTACCAGTGTCCACGAGCCCCTCTTCAAGGAGGCTGTGAGAACATGGGCACCCTATATCGATCGCCTCATCAACCAGACATTTGCCTTCCTAGAGGCAGAAATCGTGGACATCTTGAACCAGGCGTTTTGGCATCTCGCGAACCGGGCTGTTTACAAACAGTCCCTCGAGCACATGCGGAGCTTCGTGGAAACGCGCAAAAAGGAGCTCCGCGACCAGATCTTCCTGCTCTACAACCTCGAGACCCAGCGGATTTGCACGGCGAACGATGACTACCTCGAGGGTTACTCCGCCGCCGAGCTGAAAATCCTGGTCCGCCACCGAAACCACTTCCGGATCGCTGCACACAACGGCGAAAAGTTGGAGGCCGTCCCTAAGATGGAGGACCTCACCCCGGAGGAACTGGCGCAGGAGACGGCCAGGATGTCCAAAGAACTGAAGAACCTCGGTCCGGATCCGTTTGAGTCCGAACTCAAGGTCGCCGCATACCTTAGGGGCTATTATCTGACGGCGGCTGCCCGCTTCACTGACAATGTCTACATTCACGTCATCTCCGGCCTCTTGCCACACGTCGCCTCAGTCATCGACAGCTATCTTCACGAGAAGCTTGGTCTGACAGGTCCAGTTGCCAGTAAGTATCTTGATTCCACCCTCCTGTACTACCGTCCCCCTAACTGACTGACAAAACCAGCCCACCAAGTCCTCCGAGACCTCATGTCCGAAGGCCCCGAAATCGAACAAAAACGCCGCGACCTGCGCGCCGAAAAAGAAACTCTCGACGGCGCCATGAAGATCATCGAGGACCTCGAGCAGCGCGAGCGCGAGCAGCAGGCCGCCCTGTCGCAGGCCGCCGCCAGCAACAGCCAACACTACCCGGGTGACCTCTCGTCGGCCTCGACCGTCAACCACCACGCGAGTGGCGTGCACGACGTCGATGGCGTCGGCTCTCCCTCCGTCGACCGGCGGACTGCCTACTCCGCCACGCAATACGGCGATGCCTGACTGAGCCCGACGGCACAACCGAGTGAGTGAGTAACTGACAGACGGACTGTGACCTGATTGCGGTTGTGAATTTTGGTGCTTGAGAATTGTGAGGGGAAGAATCTGCGTCCGGTTGGTGTGCACTTCTATCTAATGAGTGCCTCATAGGGGTACTACTTTCGGTCTGTTTCCCTGTTCTGATGGGCGGACGGATACATACTGTTTACCTGTCCTTCAAATGGCGTTTGCCAGCGCATGTATTTTCTCTAGGCCCTGCTGGCGGGGCAGATTTTTTGTGTATGGGGGCCATTGGCGCCCGGAGGCGATATTGTGCCAAAACGGCTGATAATTCTCCCAGCTTGAATTTGGAGCCCCTGAGTGATTGGGAGTTGGTGGGTAAGCATTGTCTGCAGGAATGTCACGACAACAAAAAAGTCTTGGCAGGGGTTGCCCCTTTTCCCAGAACTGTTTACTGACCCCTAATTGCTTTATTTACATTGGCGCACCTCCCAGCGGCGCGGGCTTGTCACAACCGGAAGATAGGTAGCTTCTAGGCTAGGTCACATGTAGACAAGCGCAACATAGCTGCGCTCTCAGAACGTGATACATTCAGTCTAAGGTGGCATGAATCTTGCGGTAAGCTCCTGTGACAACACCTTTGGCATCGTTAGATCCAGTATGTCCGCCCTGCCTCATTCATCATCTTCATCGCTGCTTGGAAGATCGTACAAAAGCATTCTCCGCCGATCTACTGTGTTTGGTGAGAAAGTGATGGTGATTCCTGAATCTGCCTTGGGTGTTGGAGGCCGAGGTAACGTCTCCCTTAGATCCGGCGCCGGCTCTGAGTCCCGCTCCGAGGCGGTTTCCCCGCCCTCGCCGTCATCACTGACAACTATTCCGAGCATCGTTTCGGGCGGGGACGCCCATGAAACCCACTGGGTATTGCGAGGAGCTGAGGAGACACTCAAGTGCTGGGGGCGTATGGATGGGTCTCCAGTACCCTCCATTGGCGTCCGCTGAATGGCCGATGGTTGAGAGGTCCGCACTTGTCGAAGAAGCTGGGGGAGCTGAGGAGACGTATGACCGGGGGACTTTCCATATGCAGAGGTGGTTTCGGATGACAGTGATATGCCATCCAGCAGCTTGAGATCTGCTGGCGAAATTGACCGAGGGACAGAAATGTTCATCCTCTGTTGCTGGGCCAGAGCAGGTCCCAGGTCGCCATCATGTGTTTTTGTAGGCTGATTTGTCTTTCCGAGAGACTGGCTTTCGCCAATTAGCTGCGTCGGCGGCAGGCTGGACCTAAGATCCTCGAATATTTGCTACAACTGGTCAGAACTTGCACATGGAGTCAGGAGAATGGAGGGTGGAGGAGTGCAGGACATGCTTACCAGAGGCTTCTTCGGTTTTCTCTTCCGCACCTGGTCCGTGGGTCGCGTCTCGTTATTACTCTGTGCGGTGTCCTTGCGTGTAGTCTTTGCACCCAGTTCATGTTCGCTCTGCTCATTGGTGGTAATTTGGGCAGAGGCCTTCACCTGGGTGTTGAGGGTCCGCGGCGGAGAGAGTTGTGTTCCGGTGACAATTCGGCCCTGCGACTGTGACAACTTCGTGACTCTCTTTGCAGTCTTTTGGGTCGTCTTCTGCCGTTTTCGTGCTTGGCCTACAGTAGCCCTGCCCGCTTCGCCCGATTGTGCCTTATCGTAAATCGAAGGTTCATGCTCTGGATCCGGACATGTCTCAGGAACGACTTCCTCATTCTGTTCCAAAGGACAAGGCATAACACTGCATTAAGTCAGCAAGTGACTCAAATCCGAGCCGGGGAATACGAACTTGAAGTGTGCCACCCGTTCGTAACTGTAATCATCCTGCTGCTGCAAGGAAAGGTTGGCGTCGTCAAACTCGGTGTGATCAAACTTCCAAACACCAATGGGAGGATCCTCGGGACGTTCAGTAGCGTGAAAGGCCAATGTCCAGTGCGTAGACTCTGCTTCGGTCAGTACTCAAGTCCAGGTGGCGGGGCATAAGACAGGCCGAACCTTTCCACAAAGGGAGACGGCTGAGATAGTCTCCAAGATCCCATAGTTTGGAACAAGTCTTTAAGATGTGTTGCCTACCAGTCCCCGCCCTCCAGATATCGAGGCCACACCTTCCGTCAGGCTCGTACTTGAAGGTGATGGTGTAATATTCCCTCAAACAGTTGCTCTTCCATTTCTCGCCACACAAATAGTTTATTCGGAACTTGACCAGACGCTCGCTTTCAAGAAGGGGAAAGATGTCGGATTGCTACGAGTATTGTCAGCTTAGGCCGTGCAAAAAGACGGAATATGCTCACCAAGATGCCGATGAAGCGACGGACGGCGTAGTCTTCCGATGCCCGCAGGTACACTGTGTTGCTTTGATCCCTCGATGCTTCTCTGTCGTGAATTTGGAGACTGGACCCTGAGGCGATGATGTCCTCAAAGGAGCGGGACAGCAATTGGTTCAATGGCAGAACCTGGAAGTAGTCTGGGGGGAATCCACGCCTGAGCTTTGTCAGCAGGAGTGATGCAGTTGCGAGGATGAGCCCAAGTCGCCTACCTGGCGTACAGGATCTGACTTATCTGAGACCATCTGTGAGCTGACGGCAACCAAGCGGGATATCCTAGGGACTAGACTCACTGCCGCGCCAAAGACAGACTTGCAGAGCTGGACATCGCGTTTTGGCGCATGTTGGAGTGCATCCTGGCGTACTGATGCTGTGCGTCGCTTAGGCATGGCGAAGACCGCGTACCAGTCACGGCTCGTGTCGAGAGCAGATATAGTCGAAGTTAATGTTAAAACGTTGGGACCATCAAGTCATCGTTATTTATGCTTGGACACTGAAGAAGCTTTTGGAGCTTTAGCTTGGATTGTGGTGCGCTTCTTCTAGGAGAACCAAGGCAAGTAGGTTCGGCACCAGAGGCAGGAGCGGCCGTGAGGTCGCCTCGGCCGACACATAAGGTATCACCCCCAAATGGAAAAAGACTCTCATACCATGAAACTAGGTCGTCTTCTCTCATGAAAATGGCACACTGGATACCTGCACTCCATCATGGTGTTGTCAGCACCCCGGGCTTGTGCCCGCATGGACAAGACCTATAAGACTAGGTGCCTTGGTAGTCCTAGCCAAACTGCACTGCTAAGGTCTATATTGTTGCAGGATAAGCTTGGAGATGGCTGACTTAGAACACAGTCAGTAATGAAAGGGCCAGCAAGGCAATTTACATAGGACAGCGCATCCTGTCGATGTTCTTTTCTGACTTGACGAAGTTGACTCGGCGTTCGGTGATCAGGCAAAAGACTGTCGATCGCCACCGTGGACAGACCAGGGCTGCACAACCGATGATGCTGAGTGCTCCTTATTTCTGCCAGCAAGAAGAAGCTCCGAGTTTGATCTGCTTGGTCTTCCAAGTAGCATATATGCTTATACTTGCTTACCTGTTTGGGAGTCCTGCTGTGTGTTGAGCAACCTGAGTTGTTAGAGATGGAGCTTCCCGGCGCTAGCCGATTCAGGCCTTCCGTACTTCGTACTCCGCAGAACTGTGGCTGGTGGAGCATTCGTCAACTGCCAAGAATACAGTACTCCGTACCGGTACTCCCGTACGGTTATGGTACCAAGCAGGCGTTGTTCAAGACAGGACCGGACTGATACAAGAGCACAGAATGAGGAGTTGTGAGGTTGAAGGCATCGGCCTACATCCCCACGGAATACGAGCAAATTCAGGTGTTTGGAAATTGGCTAATAGGAGAAGCTAGATCTTGTCGGCGACGCCGCTTCACGCGTCTGTAGGTACAATACCTCTGTACTCCGTACCCTCCGGGGCTGGTGACTTGGTGTTGACAGTTCGCGAGGCGCGGTCCAGGTGGCTGGTGCCTCCACTCTTCTGACATCTGTGCGTGTTGGGACTTCGGAACCTGGCCGGAACGGGCATTTCCTCCATTGGACACAGAAACTAAGGAAAAGGGCATCTGCCCTTCGCACATGACAGCAAAGAGATAACTCGGTTTTGCTGGATCAGAGTTCATGGAGCGTCTATTGACCATATGCCGAACGAAGTAGCTATTGAACACAGCTGTTATTTGTAAAAGTTCAGAGTTTCGATGTGGCTGGTTTAGAGTATGCGCGTTGCAGTGACTTTAAGGCTGTTCTTGTTTTTCGGTCCCCACTTCCCAGGGGAGGGATGACAGTGGCACGGGCTCACCGAGCGGAACCGATTTCCAGTTGGGTCTTGCCTCTCCGCTGGCTCCTTGATCTCGACATCGCCTTACCTCACTCAGCACACGGCAGGAGGAATCAAGGGCACGACGCTGCCTCCTCGCCAGTTTTATTCTTCTTTTCCTCAGTACAATACGTATCGACCTTCTGCTCGCAGTCCTTGGGGCAGGTTGAAGACCGTTTCACCGATCGGAGTCAACGTTTTGCTCGCCTCGTGCTGAGGTCAGCGACGCTGGACTATCGGCAAGAGCACGCTCCTGACAAATCCTTGACCGCGATTTCTGCACCGCAAGAACCTCGCTCACTCGATCGCGAACTGCAGACAATGATCGTGGGATTTTGACTTTGTTTTACAATCGGCATCTGAGGGGGGCCATCTCCCCGGGTCTGACACGCGTTGGAACCACAGGCTTTTGCTCTGTAGCCGCTACGCGTTGGACAGGATTTCTGGTGTCATTCGTACGACGACCAACACACGAGCGGGCGAATCTGAGTAGGATTTCTTACTTGGATAACACATTCATATCCCTTTCCCTTTTCGACGCCAGTCCCTCTACAGACCCCGTCGAACCAGAGCCCCGGCACCCGCGTGTCTCCAACCATGACGTCCTCTCCAGGCCAAAGCGCCATGGACGTTCGCCGGCCACGATCTAGTCACAAGGTTTCGGTGACTTGGGATGAGGATGAGGCTACCGTCACACATAGGATGATGCAGTTTGCCGACGAGTGCATCGAGACCAGGACCGTGACCACCACCACTACCACAAAGCGGTCGTATCCTCCCCTCTTTCTCCGCGAGCCTCGCGCCTTGCATTCACTAGACTCCAAAGAGTACCCGTTGGCATCGAGGCCGACGCCCCCGGAATTGCGGAAGCTGATTTTCCACGTCGACGGCTATGAACCCGAATACTGGCAAGAGGAAGACGAAGTCGATAGTCAGGTACGTTGACCAACTGGTCCATTTCCCGTGCTGGGCCCGTTGCTGACCCGAAGCACTCGATATAGCAGGTTCGACGATCTCAAAGCACGGATTATGCTGGCAACATCAAGTGTGAGCCTGGGGTCGAAAGCCCCATCTCAAGCTCATCTCACCGCCAACTACCTGGGATGAATCCTCGAAGGTCTCAAAGATCCACTACTAGGGCTGTTTCGCCGAACCAGACACCAGTGGCAGCCAGGAGCGCTCGTTTGCTCGCAAAAAATGGTAATATCTCGCATGCTGTGTCGGATAAACTGCGTCGAGCTGTGGCACACGGTTCCCGCAAGGAGGCGGACAAGGCAAAAACGCAGTCGCTGGGATACCTCGCTACCCCTGATACCTCTGAACTGGCTCCGGGCCACCCGGACCGAACCTCTAGGTTAAGGCACCTCCACCTCGAGAGCTCAGATGTTGGCACCAGCCAGTCAACCTCGGTGTACGACGCGGCAAGCCCAGCGGGTAGCGATTCGCAGACAGTCTTCAGCAATGTTGCCACACCGCCTATCACGGATGCAGACCTTCAACCATTCGACGACGTCGACGAACCCCTGTCGCAATTAACACGCAGCTTCCGTCCAAGACCGAGTTTGAATACTATTGCCGCACAAGATGTCAGCCTGCCCAGTCCCCGACTATCTCCCACCCTAGCAGCCACGCAGCTCCAGCCCGACCAGGTTGACGAAGAAGAAGAAGAGGATGCGTCGTTCTCGACCCAACTCGCACGTTCAGCTCCTAGGCGGTGGATGGAAGAGAGCCAGACAACTGAGGAAGACGACGCCGAGTTTTCTGGCGCAGCCGACTTTTCCCCTGCGCCTTTCGACACCTCTATTTCTCGGCCCCAAGCCCCATCGTCCGGGTACATGGATCCGCGCTTGATGCTGGAAAGCTTCGATGCCATGCCGTCCGAATTCAAGACGTGGATGATGTATCAATTTCTACGAAGGTGTCCACGGAAAACCCTTCACGTGGTCGCCGATGTCGTCAATCCGGCCCTCAAGTGTGACTTTCTCAAACAGCTTCCCCTCGAGCTAAGTCTTCATGTCTTGTCGTATCTGGATCATCGCGACCTTTGCCGCGCAGCTCAGGTGTCCAAGCGGTGGCGTGAGATTGTGGACACTAACGAGACTGGCTGGAAGGAGCTGTTGGATCGTGATGGATTTGTGCTTCCGCCAGGGGAATTACAAAGAGCTATCAACGAGGGCTGGGGGTGGCAAGACCCCGTTGGGCATGAGGGCTGTGAAGTCGATTTGAGCAAGCAAAGTCGGTACACGTCTAGCGAGACCGAGCTCATCCGTTCCGCCGTCAAGACGGAGAGACCGGAACCCCTACCGAAGACTAGAGGCGCAAAGCGGAAACGCGGTCTAACCCACATCAATGCTGACAGGGCTAAGCGGCGCGCTGCTGCCCAAGAGCTGAGAAGTGAAAGAGCCTCACCTCTTAGTAAGACTAGCAAGTCCGAAGGGCCAATATCCGCCGCCAATGCTGCGGCCCTTGCCGTTCCGGACCCACAGATCGGCCTACCAAGCCTGCGCCAACTTCATCTTTTCAAGTCGCTATATCGAAGACACTACATGATCCGGAAGAGCTGGACGAGTGGCAAGGTGAAGCCGGGTCATGTTGCGTTTGCAGCCCACCCGCGGCACGTTATCACGTGCCTGCAGTTCGACGACGACAAGATCATCACAGGGAGCGACGATACTTTGATACACGTTTATGATACCAAGACAGGCAAGTTGCGCACAAAACTCGAGGGCCACGAGGGCGGCGTCTGGGCACTCCAATACGAGGGAAACACGCTTGTGTCGGGTAGCACGGACCGCTCCGTCCGTGTGTGGGATATCCAGAAAGGCATCTGCACTCAGACATTTTATGGCCACACCAGTACTGTTCGCTGCCTACAGATCATCATGCCCACCGATACGGGCAGGGTCCAAGATGGCCAGCCGGTGATGATGCCGCCGAAGCCCCTCATCATTACAGGTTCACGCGACAGCCAGCTGCGTGTGTGGCGGTTGCCCGAGGCAGGGTCTCGGCGGTACATCCAGACTGGCCCGCCGGCCAGTGACGATCAATGCCCGTACTTCATTCGGATACTCTCTGGGCACACGCATTCAGTCCGGGCAATTTCAGGACACGGCGATACTCTTGTCTCGGGCAGCTACGACAGCACGGTCCGTGTCTGGCGCATCAGCACCGGCGAGCAGCTGCACGTCCTGCACGGTCACCTGCAAAAGGTGTACTCGGTAGTTCTGGACCACAAGCGGAATCATTGCATTTCGGGATCGATGGACTCGCTTGTGAAGATTTGGGATCTCAATACGGGCACATGCCTCCATACACTGGAAGGACATAGCATGCTAGTCGGTCTCTTAGACCTACGCGATGAGAAGCTGGTGTCTGCTGCGGCAGACAGTACCCTGAGGATTTGGGACCCGGAGACCGGCAAGTGCAAAAACACTCTCGAGGCGCATACCGGAGCTATTACCTGCTTCCAACACGACGGGCGCAAGGTCATCTCGGGCAGCGAGAAGACGGTCAAGATGTGGGATGTCCAGACCGGCGACTGCATCCAGGATCTCCTCACCGACCTGAGGGGTGTATGGCAGGTCAAATTTGACGAAAGGAGATGCGTGGCGGCAGTGCAGCGCGATAACCTGACGTTTGTGGAGGTGAGATGCTTAGGTCATTGGTATGGGAGACGTAATGCTGACAGCTTTGTGAACTCAGATTCTCGACTTTGGCGCGGTCCGTGATGGCAAGCCGCCCGAGGAGCTGGGTAAGCGCAAACTACTAAACGAAGCTGAAGTTCAGCGTCTTATTGCGGAGGAGGCATGATGACGCTTGGCGGGATAGCGTCGCCTTGATGTTAGATTTGGGCAGCGAGAGCCTCGACTTGCTTCTCGAGGCCGGATATTTCCTGCTGAGGCTGTACGGGGTATAGGACTTAATCATGAGATATGACACTGGGCAAAAACGTAAACGAAACCAAACAGCAGCAGTCTAGCGGGGAGTTATTCAAACGTCATTATGGGCATTCGATTTTTGCATTGTTCTATTGTCCACTATCCGAGGGGGTTTGGGTGTGACAAATGATTGTGGCAGATATCACGGCATACCGACAGGGTTGGCTGCCACATATGGTACTGCAAACCTTATTAGTCCATAGTCTTAGTGTTCGGGTCTTATGCATGGAGATATGTCACGCGACATTCGGATGATTGGATGTGAGGACGTTGGAAAGGGGGTTCTGGCGCCGGTACAGAGGCGGCGGACTCGTGTCCGAGGCATGTTCACAGCACCGCAACAGAACCCTCTGTGGCGAGAACTATGACAATGCCCTGGATATCCAGCGGAAGCTTAGATACTGGGACCAGAACTCAAAGGACCACTATGATGTTTGATAGATAATTTGAGAGATATACGGTGCTTCTGAAGCAGGTTCACAGCTCCCTAGGGGGACAATGGGACGGGAAGAGCCGCCGTTCGATTAAACAGTGGATCGCGCTTCGACAGTGACAGTAACACCGATTCCATGACACGCTGCAGCGCCAAGCCTTCACCCATGCAAATCCGCCCAGTATCCCAGGGCCCTGGGTGCACACGTCAACACCAATGCCCCGGATATCGAGTGTCGCGTGCCTTGTGTCCTTCGCAGGCCCGATGCAACGAATTTTGTTCAAGGTAGCTCGACCGCGGTGACTGATCGCTAATATGGCCCCTTCCAGGGCAAATTCGGCTGGGGTTACGGCCGGCGGTGTTCTGGGCTCATTGTCACGGTTCTGGCGTGCAAGTCACTCCTGTAACTCAATGGCAGACGTAAACTGACCAAGAAGGATGTTTAGAGAACCTACGCATCAGACTATATTGGTTTCGTTCTGCTGCTGACGGGCTACCTTCTTGTGTGTTGCCATTACAATAACCTACCGGCGGGTGCGACCAAGCTAACCGAGCACCAGGTACAATTCCTGGTTGAGCCCTTCCATCGCATGTTCTCACTCAACGACTTGCGCATCTCGTTCCCCTATGCAGAGACAGAGCGGGTGCCCCTTGGTGAGTATCTATCTTGCGTAGTTACTTACCCCCTTACTTGTAAGCATCTAACAAACTACCAGGCCTCGACTTCATCTACGCCCTCTTCATCCCCCTAGGTATCCTCATCCTCTACAACCTCGCCAAAAGCGCCTCCGTCCACAAGCAGCACGTAACAATCCTCGGCTTCGCAATCTCCATGATCCTCACCTCCTTCCTCACCGACGTCATCAAAAACATGGTTGGCCGCCCCCGACCGGACCTGATCGCGCGCTGCCTCCCCGCCGCCGGCACCCCGCGCGACGTGCTCGTCGACATCGACGTGTGCACTCAACCGGACCACCACACGCTGCACGACGGGTGGCGCGCGTTCCCCTCGGGTCACGCCTCCTTCTCGTTCGCGGGGCTGGGCTACCTGAGCCTGTTCCTGGCGGGGCAGGCTCGCATCTTTGCGCACGGAACCACCGGAAGCCTGGCCGAACACACCGAGAAGCTGGTGCGCGGGGACCTGGTGCGGGCGCTGCTCTGCTTTGCGCCCCTGCTGTGCGCCACCATGATCGCCATCAGCCGCTGCCAGGACTACAGGCACGATGTATATGACGTCTGCGTCGGCGCCCTCCTCGGCTGGACCGTCACCTACTGGAGCTACCGCCGCTACTGGCCCCGCCTGAGCAGCGGCCGCTGCGACGAGCCCTATGCCGGCCCGCCTGGGGGTGGCGGTGATGAAGCTGGTGCCGTGCGGTACGGGAGGATCAGGGACGAGGAGGAAGGCGGCGGCGCTGGTGCTGGTGCTGGTCGAAATGTAGGCATTGAGTTGAATGAGATTTAGCTTGCGTGATTGCTGACTTGGCCGTTTGATAGGTGACTTGATGCTGTGAATATGTATGCATGGGTTCTAGTAAGTAATTGTGTGTATGGTTTCTCTGCTTGGAGTTATGGCGCATTTTGGGTATCAGGCTGGGAGAGCACAGCGCAAGGAGTTATGGTCCATTCACATGAGTATCGGCCCTCTATTGGTACAATGCAGCGCTGGGAGGCAGTCCTATCTGCAGTCCCATTTTCCTGTCCCATCTATAGTCCCTAGCCTACTTATCCTCCGTCGTTTCGTCCTTGGCCAGGTCATGCTCCTTCAATAGCGCTGTAATCTCTTCCGCGTTCCATAGTCTGTGGTAGATCTTGCCATCCTTGGTCTGGCCCACTGTCGCAAACTCGACTGTATCCGTGTCAGCTGTTGTTTACTTCCAGCCACAGGCGATATCAGTTAGTACTCACTCTTTTCACTGCTGAGCTTCGTCGAGTCCATGGTCTTGCTCAGAACCTTAACGGCCATGCCGCAAGCTTCCTTCAATGTGCAGTCCTCCTTGTAATCTTGCTTCAGCAAGCTCTGCGCACTGGCGTGGTTCGCGCCCGAGCTCGTCGCCTTCCACCCGCCGTAGTTTCCCGAAGGGTTGCTGAGGTACAGCTGGAACTGGCGTTGCGGGTCCCATCCGGCGTAAATGAAGGAGACACCAAACGGCCGCAGACCACCGTGTTGTGTGTAGCCTTGCTTCAGGTCACAGAGCCGGCGCACCAGCTGCTCGCAGGGAATGTCTTCGTTATACGTGAGGAGGTATCGTTGGGCGGCCTGTCGAGCGTAGTTGATGAGGATGTTGGCGTCGGCCGTCATGCCGGCGACGGCACAGATCATGTTGCTGCCCAAGGGAGTGGAATTAGTAAGTTTGGTACTAGTACGACCGCATATCGCACAGAGAGTCCTACTCATTGAGGATGTAGAGCTTCTCGGCTGATGTATCTTGCTCAAGGAGCTTCGAGGTGACTTTGCGCTCGGCTGCAAGCACGATGCCGTCCTTGGCCAGGATGCCGATAGCAGTCCCGGCATGGGAGATAGCTTCGAGCGCATATTCAACCTGGTACAGACGGCCGTCCGGGGAGAAGATGGTTGTCTGTGCAGATGGTAAGCTTCATGGCCGGTCAAGCTTCCTGGGCTCCTCGGGTTCAAGAGTCTTGGTGGAGCCAAAGGGAACGCCAACTCACTCGGGAATCGTATCTTCTCGACATTGTAGCTGGCGGTCGATAGAATCGGACGGCGGTTGAGAGTTCTGGAGAAAGTACGAAATTGAGGAATTTGGATTTGGTTCAAGATCTTGTTTTGTCGGCAGTAACAAAAGCTGGAAGCCTGCTGTGATTGATGCTGAACTCACTGATGCAGTCGAGCCCAGCTTCGTAGCTCCAGGCAATCGCTCACACGCGTACGGTCCTGTACGTATGGAAGTACCTTCGTACCTGGCTCGTCTGATGCCTTGAATTTTAGGTTATGAGATTCGAAATTCGAAATTCGGAGCGCACGGGCCATTCGCTATGAAACGTCCACGCCAAGCCGTGCGCATGCTTACCTAATGATCATGCCTCTTGGCTTTCTCCATTCAACCCGCCACTGCGATTGCTCCACCTCGCAAACTCCTCTTTCCTCCCCCATCCAACCGCGACATTCCGCAACAACACGACAGTGAGCGCCGACGTCAACGGCATTGATAACTTCGTGTTTCATTGCCAAGTCTTTGCGCTTGCAATCGAATCACCGTTTTCTCGGTTTAAACCATCTTCGGCCGCATATAAGTGCATTCGCCTCCCGAAGCCGATTCACCCCATCACGCGCCACGGTTACAGTGTTCCAGGAGCTTGGACCGACAGCTCTTCAGCTTCTTTTCTCGGCGACAGAACCTCAACTTTGCCCGGGTCAGTATCAGCAACCTTCATCTCGCAAGGGGTAGGAAGGTTGGGAGATTCAGGCGCTAGGGTTTTCGCGGATAGCTTCAGGGATTTTGTTGTCTGGTCATCGTTTTGAGACGGGGAGCATCTGCAAAGTCCATCATCATCATTAGTCTATGCGTAAAATACCTTAAGTGACCGCGTGAACCTTTCACGCACTCTTTGAGGCAATCTGCAGTAGAGACTTGCAGCACAAGCAGCACAAGAAGGGACACAGCCGCAGAACTTGGCAACAGTCAATTGCCTAGGGCCCTTTCCATCTCATCGCGACAATGTCTGGTAAGCAGCACCACGCGCGCCAGAACCCTTTGCACAGAACAACCTCCCCCAGCCTAGCAGAGTGTTGGCGTCAAGCCAGCACGATGGCGCGTGGGCGTCGCCCGAATCCGGATTAACAGCTGACAACCAACTTGTCTCCAGAACCTGAACCCCGCCGATCGGTCAGGGCCACCAAAGGCCAGCACAAAGCTTTGGAGCAACTCGACCAGGCCATCGAGGCCCCGAAGCGGCGAGGCGGCGGCGGCAAGCGGGGCAAGAAGACAGCACCTGAACCCGAGGAACCCGAGGAGGAAGTCATCCGCTGCGTGTGCGGCGCCACAGAGCAAGATGAAGATTCCGGCGAACCATGGATTGCATGCGATCAATGCGGGGCGTGGCAGCACAATATATGCATGGGCATGAGCCAGTACACAGAGGATCTACCTAAGGAATACTTCTGTGAAATCTGCCGGCCCGAGAATCACAAGGAGCTGCTTGCCGGCGTGGAGAAGGGCGAACGGCCGTGGGAGGCTCGCCGCAAGGCCTACGAAGAGGAGAAGCTGGAGAAAAAGAAACGAGGTCCAAAGAAGACCAAGAAGAGAACTAGCGACCTTAAGGAGGATGCCTCTCAGAAGTCGAAGCAGTCACCCCCTCCGGCCCCCGAGCCCAAAAGGGAGTCAAAAGGGGCTGGCCAAAAGCGTAAAAATGTGGATGGCGCGCAGGACAAGGAGACCAAGGTGAGTTTCCCGTTGCAGTCTCGTCCTTAAAACTAGTTTCTGACTTGGCGTTACCGCCGGCGTCACAGAAGATTCGGAAGGTCAACGAGACTCAGTCCGTCCCTGCGCCAGGATATTCCCCTCCAGCAGATGTCCCCGCCAAGATCACCGAGCTGCCAGACACGCGTCAGGGACCTGCAAAGGCCTTGTCAAAGTCGCTTGTCCATGCACTCACTGTTGTGGAAAAGAAGGGCACCCCTCCGCCCTCGGACGGCATGTCTCCAGCTGAGCGTGCCGAGCGGCTTGCGCTCCAAATCGAGCGTGCCGTTCTTGACAGCCATCCTTCTCAAAGCGCGTATGCCAGCCAAATTCGGACCTTAGCCTTCAACCTCAAGAGCAATCCCGAGCTATGCTCTCGTCTTCTTGAGCGAACCTTGACTCCGCCAATGCTTGCGGTCATGTCGACAGAGGAGCTCGCCTCAAAGGAGCTGCAGAAGGAGACGGCCGAGATGCGGGCAAGGGCAGAGAAACAGGCCATCAAGATTACGGAGGACGTCCCTCGCATCCGGAGAACCCACAAAGGTGACGAGATCATTGGCGATGATGGCTTCACCCTGGCAAGTGACGAAGTTCCATCGGCACCAGTTCGTCGGCCATCTGCTCCCAAGCAGGAGCCAAAGGACACACCAGAATTCCCTGCGCAAGCTGTCCAATCTCGGTCACCCAGTCTGGCCGTAGATACACAGCACTCGCCGAACCGGGCGAATTTCGACCTCAACAAAGTCTTCTCCAGTGTCAAGTCGCCGACGGTTCCTCAGAACCAAGGCCTGCCGCCCCTCGCCACTGCTCCAGTCGGCGGGCCCGGAGTCGATCCTGATGTTGACCGCCTGCTGGAGGACGGTAGTCAATCCCCACCGTATTCACCAAAAGAGGAGCACGATCCTTATGTGGTGTGGCGTGGGACCCTACACATGAACGGCATAGCCAAGTTGCAAGTTGCCGCCAAGCATATTGGCGGTGCCAACCTGAACGAGACAATCGGGCTGCCATGGGACAAGCTGCTTCCAAAGACTTTGACTGTCTGCGGGCGCATCGATGAGCAACAGGCCACCGTTTATCTTTGCAGCTTACGGTATAGTTTGCCCACGGATATCGTTGTGGTCAATCTCGAGCCTACATCGCAAGCGGCCAGAGCCGACATGCGAAAGCTGGTTGACTATTTCGTCTCAAAGAAGCGGTATGGCGTGGTCGGTGACAAGGGAATTGCCAACGTCCGCGACACGTACCTAGTGCCTGTCTTGCCTGGTGGCATCGACAGCCAGCCAGAGTTCATGTTGAACTTAGCCGACAACTACATTCCTGAAACGAGGACGGAGCCCATGATGCTTGCGGTCTTCGTCTACCGCAACGATCCAGAGACGATTCAGCGCATCCACGGCGCGGCTAATCCGACTACATCCCAAGCCGAAACCCATGCCCAAGGCCCACCCATTACGAGCTCTGGATACGTGCAATCACCTGGAACTCCGACGCCGACCCAAGCAGGGTTCCCCCTTACCGGTCGGCAGTCAGTTTCCGGACCATCTTTTTCGCCCACATCTCCCCAGGGCCCGTTGCCGACGTACCCGTCGCCCAGGAACAGCATGCCGCCTCAGCAGCCACGGCCAGTGCATACACCTGCTCCGCCCAGTCAAAATCTTGTAACGCAGACTCCTGACAAGAACGAGTTGCAAAGACAGGGGGAGGCTATGGCGCGAGAAGTTTTAGGTCACCTCATTAGTAGTCCGACGGTTGCCTTCCTTCTGCCACAGGCGCATGCGATGGCGCGCAAGGAGTGGGAAGTCATCAAGAGGATCTACGACCAGGACCCGAGGGCGCGGGATGACCTCCCATATTTGGGCAGCGTTCTGGAGAAGTTGAATAGGGAGCACCCTCCAGATCAGTCCCAACAGCCACCAACTGGCGTGCCCCAAGCGTCACCACCACCTCCACAGCAACCACCCCAGCAACAGCCACAGGCACCCCCGACACAACACCACCAACAACCACCGCCTCCCCCAGCACGCCATACCAACCCCATCCCACCTCCCCCTATCCCGCATCTTGGTGGAGTGCCCGGTGGCGTCCCGCCAAGACAGACCCCTATCCCGCCGCCGCCGATTCCCCCTCATGCCGCGACTGCCGGCGCTGGCCCCCGGGCATAGGATGCCGTCGGTGGCCAGCCCAGACAGACTCCTATCCCGCCTCCCCAAGTTCCCCCTCGGTTTTGAATGGCTTCGCCATTGCCGCTAATGCTATTGGTGCTCCTCGTTGAGAGCAATGAAGCTTGCTCTGTCTGTTTAGTGAAAGGGTGGGAAGGCGGAAAGCGGAAGGGATAAAGTAGATATTTTCGACGGGCGAAATAGGGTTCTGTGTCGGGTGTTGTTTTTATGGCTACGTACGATGAGCCAACGCGCTGAAAGGAAATGGCGCGGCATGGTAGGCGCCCTGGCATGAAACGGTTACCCCCAGAGAATCACGAGTCTCCAGGGATATTGGAGAGAATTTCCACTAAATGGAGAGGAAGGGTTATATTCTGTTTGTTTTCAGCTGCTCTGCCTTTCTTGGCGAGAGATGCAGCACAGGGTCTATTAACGGGACACTTCTCGGGCGGTATCGCCTGGTTTCTTTTTGCTCCGGAGAGGGGCGGCTTGCCGCCATCTTTGTGCTCGGCGAGTAATGGGTTTCTGTTTGTCAGATACTGTGTACATACATACTCCTGGGCTGATGTTGCTCGTTCCGGTCGTTGGGCCTGGGTTAATGGGACGGCAATGAGGGTCACCTTATTGAAAGGCAGGACACATGTCCGGCTAGTAGTGTAAGGTAGTCTAATATCTGATCTCTGAAGGACGTGGACATTGTATTGTGTGCGGCTGCAATGTATTGCTAGCTCTTGTGTTTTGCCTTTGACTTAATCCAAAAGAGAAAGAAAATTTCCCAGCACCGTATCTACGAGTAATAGGAGTGTCAGTCATTTACCCGTCGCTCTTCGCGGTCCGGGCAACCCAGACATACTACACACTACATACCGTACCTCGATCATATTCATGCCACCTCCCCATCCAACCGTACCCACCCAGCGGACTCGAGCTGCTGCAGCGCGTCGGCGGCCCTTGCAGCGAGCAGCGACTCCTTCTCGTTGGCGTTGGCGCCGCCGGTCTCGAGCAACCGTGGCACCTCGATGCTCGCCAGCCCCTCAATCATGCGCTTCGCCTTGTCCACCACGCTCCGGATGCCCGCCGTCTCGGCCCGCTTGCTGTCCAGCTGGTCCTGCATCAGCTGGATCAGCTGCTCCCGCGCCTGGTGCGGGCGGTACTCGTTGAGGATGTGGTGGAAGTTGAGGAGGAGGGTTTTGAGATCTGCGATTTTCTCTCCTGCCTGTGGTGTGATGGGAGTAGAATGTCAGTGGTGGTTTTACTAGGAGAGGGGTGATGGGGGAGGGGAAGGGGTTGGCTCACGTGTGCGGGATTGTGGCTCATTATTCCCACTAGTTCAAGGTAGTTTAGGAGGATTGACTTGGCGAGCTTCTTGAGTTCGAAGCCCCGGTCTAGGTGCTTGCTGTCTTGGTCGGTCTCGGCTACGGACGCCAGGCGTTGTACGCCCGCCTCTTCTAGGCTCTGGAGAGTCTCGGTGAGCTGTTGAGTGGTCAGCATGATGCTTGTTTGCTTTGGTTGGGTCGGGTGTTTGAGGTGGTGGTTCGGGGGGCACCTTTTCGTTCTCGCCAAACAGCCGCCATTTTCCATCGGCTGGCTCGGGTGGAGGCTGGAGGTTGATGAGGCTGTCGGGGATGTTTGGGATCCGGATCACCGACTCGGGACGGACTCCCTGCTGATGGGCGTAGTCGTGCTTGAGGCTTTCGTATCGCGCAAGGTTCTCGGGAGTAAAGTCCTTCCAGAAGGGTACCGGGTCCGGCCACAGAGAGGTTACTCGCGATGTCTCGTCGTCATGGTTTTCCATTGTATGTTTGAGCTAGACAGGGTGTGTTTGGTGCTGTTTGCGATGTAATTGTGTAGCGGCCGAGGAAATTGTCTGCGAAAGGCGGTTGGGAGCTCAGGTTTCGGGGAATTGAGTGTGCAGCCATCCTCTTGTGCAAAGTAGGACTGAGTCCCGTCCTCAAGCAGGATGGCGGCGGTTTTGCAAAGCAAGCAGCCGTGAATGACTTGAAAGCACTCCGAGTTGTTGAACTTGACGCTTTGTGCAGGTTGGAGGACCTCTTCGGCTGTGGCTGAAGCTGCCTATCCTGTGGCTGTGCATTAGTGCGTCACTGCTAGGGACTCTCTGCAGTAGTTAATTGTGGCTGCAAATGGGCTTCAGCCCAAGCAACTCCCGTCTCCCAACACTTCAAACTTCCATGACGCTCTTCGCAAGACCCGAGCCAACGCTAGTTGCCTTCGGGTCCATTGGTGACTCGAAACCCCATTTCTAGGTTTCAGATCAAAGTCGAGGTCGTCAGTTCAGCCAAGGATCATCAATTCCACCACTCGGAGAGTCGGAGCCCACACCGACAACCTGGACCTACCCCTCCTCGAGTCCAATCTCACCGCCCTATGATCAGCACGACCCCAATTCCACCTTTCTCGCCATGGCTGATGTCCGCGCTCTCCTCCGGCAGCAGCGCGCCGCCCGCAGGATAGAACATCCCCACGCTGCCTACTCGGACAGCGGCAAGCTCCTGTGCACCCTGTGTCATGAGCACGTCAAGACCGAGGCCCTCTGGGATGGTCACCTCAAAAGTGCTTGCCACAGGCAACGGCTGCAGAACCTACACAAAACACCGTCAGACGGTGGTGGATCGAATGGGTATGCTGGCTTCGTAGGCGAGGGCTCGGAACGGAACGGAGACGGCCTAGCTCCATCAACCAAGCGGAAGCTGGCCGATTCAGACGAGGAGATGGGCGACCACGCTGGGGAAGGCACCGCACGGAAGAAGCGTAGTAGAGCGGAATTAAAGGCGGTAGATACAAGCCGGGAGGATGTGGCAGCAGCAGCAGCAGCAGCGAAGAAGGACGACGTCAGCAGGTTGGCCAAGCCAGTGACGCCCCCGCCCGCTCGCCGAACGTCGGGCACTCCCACCATCGGCGTGGAGATTCAAATCCCTTCACGGCCAGCTACACCTGGCCCGAGTTCAACGCCAATGGCCACAACCCCGATAGCGGCGCCCCTTGGTCGGTCCCCGCTTATACCCGACGAGCCAAACGCGCCGCGGCAGCACCAGAAAGCGCAACCCTTGCCAGCAGAAACCGATGCGCAGCCACAAGAAGCTGACAAGGCCCCGGCAACAGCACCACCGGTAAACGAAGACGAATGGGCCGCCTTCGAAGCGGAATTGGTGCACGGGACTGCTACCCCGACCAACAAACCCGCCAAGCCGGCTATAGCGGCGCTAGACAGCGACGCAGTCATCTCGGCGCCGGTAATGACCGCTGCTGAGATAGCGGCCAAGTCAAAGGAGGAAGAGGCGGCGAAGCGGCGGGCGCTGGTGGATATCCAGCTCGAGGACGAGAAGGAAGAAGCCACGCGGGCGTTGGAGACCGAGTTCGAAGTCATGGAGGAGCTTGAAGCCCGAGCCCGGAAATTGAGAGAGCGCCGGGAGGCCTTGAGGTTACAAGGTGGTGGCGGCGGCACTGGAACTGCTGTGACAGCAGCTGGCGATGTTGAGAAGAATGCGCCCGTTGGGAAAGAGAACGCCGCCAACCTGGATGAGGAGGAAGAGGAGGAGGAGGAGGAGGAGGAAGACGACTGGGATGGTTTCAGGTTCCGGGCGTAGGGGCGACGTCTGCTCTGTCCGGGGAAAGATATACCTTGTACATTATACCTGTATAATCCGGTACGTACGGAGATGTAATAATACAACGGCGTGAGCTGAACCCACAAGACCAACCCTGCGCCGTTATCGTGCCCGCCGCTGACCTACGTTTCCCTTAAAGCAGCCCATCCAAAACTCCCATTCATCACAATACAAACCCACCTTAGCAAAGCAAAGCAAAGCACACACCATTACCAAACGCCCATCAACCTACCCAAATCAGACCTCCCCCTTCCCAACCCGTTCCCAAAACCTCCTCAACCTAGACACCCTCCCAACCCCAGCCCTTTCCGCGCCCTCAGCCCTGCTCCTTACCTCCCCCTTCATGACTGAACCAACCCAACCCCTCAGACAATCCTTGATGCGCTCGCGCTCGACGGCGCGGCGTTTGGCCACCAAGCCGGGGGCGACCATGGCCTTGGAGGGGAGGCACTCGGCAGGAAGAACACACCGCTCGACAAGGGCCTGCGGGGAGGGCCGCGAGGCGAGGTGGCGCGCGAGGCGGATCGACGCAAAGTGCCGGGCCAGCCGGCGCGACAGGGCCACCGTGTGCGTGAGGAAGATGGACCGCCGGACCAAGTCGCCTAGCGTGGGGCGTGAGGGGGATGAGAGTAAGGGTGGGAGGATGGTGCGTGTGCGTCGCAGCCGCTCGTGGTGCAGGTGTGGTGCTAGTGAGAGGGCGCGGAGGTGATGATTTGTCTGTTTTTTCTGTGGTGTTAGCCACTTCTTACCCCATGTTGTGAAAGGAGGATGGAACGGGGCGAGGGGTGAGGGATTGGCAACTGTGTGCTTGTTGTTCGAGGGGCTTAGGGCCGGGGCTGGGAAGATGCAGCGGACGAACGGTGGAGATGGAGTTCGACAGGTTGGACTAGCTCGTGGGGTGGAGTGTCGGCGATGTTTCTCCTTTCATCCTCAGCTCCGAGGCAGAGCCATCACAAAGCCCCCTCGACAGCTAATGATCTGGGGGAATGGCACCGTCGAGGAATGTCTACAACTGGAAAGGGGTGTGCAATGGACACTGGAGGCGGCCAAGGGGGATGATTGAACGCACCCTGGAGGTTGCCAACAAATCACAGACGTCGAGGTAGCTTAGTATGTGGAGCAATACCTCGTTGGGGAGATCAGAGAATTGTCTCGGGGTTCTACACGGGCGAACCACTGCAGTGGCGCTTGCAAAGTCCACGTCTTCGACTTCTTGTCGACCTCCCAGCGTCGACTGGACCTCAGTGGCGGAACTGCTGGTGATCATGTACGTGCCAAGGGCTGTTTCTGGCGACGTTGTCAAGTCATGTTCTCGCAACTCCTCGGAGCATGCGCCTGGAGACCGTTGGGCATCGCCGAACAAGGTGCCGGTGTGGGCTCCGGTGATCCTGCAAGGACCGAGGGCGAAAAGGCTAGGGTCATCCCTCGTGGCAGGACGGTCTTCGATCTCACTACCGCAGGTTGAGATGGTGAGGCTGGTGGTTCTGTCGATGAGCTGGGCAGCAACGGCTTCCTCTAGGCGCACGCCCTCGCCGCCCGTCTCACGCTCAGAGTGTTGCCGATCTGCTTGCCCCGGCAATGACGCCATCGATGGACGACCCTGATCAGGAGGCGCAGCCATATTGCTTAAAGCAGCGACTTGCGTCGGGGTTTTGTTACACCCTGATGATCTGGCAACACGCAAGAGTCAACTCATACGATTCCCTCTCGGGGTGTGCGCTGGTCTGCTCCCAGGACTGTTCCTTCGGTACCGAGAGCGGTTGACAAAGCCAGCCTCGAGGCGTCCACCGCCTCGAACATCCGTATGCCAAAAACTGGTGCACCGAAACTTGGGCAAACGCGTCACGTAGGGTAGGGTCCCCCTCGCCCTGGCTAACCAGTCGCCAAACGCGGGTGGCTTAAGCAGATAGCGTGGTGCTCGCGGATTTCACGAAACTCTGCCGGTAAAGGTGTCCTGGCGCGCAGAGGAGCGGCGCCTCCCGCTGCGAAGTTGACGTCTCACTGTGCGCTGCGGCTAAACTGAATCGCGTCAAGCAAGAAAGCAGCAGACGCCCGAGCAGGGTGGCCGCCGATTTGGCCTGCACGATGGAGTCTCGAGGGAGATCTGGGGGCCGGCGGGGCACCGAGAGAAGGCTGCCCTCTTTCGGCCGCTGTAATGGAGTGCTGTGAGAGAGACACGGTTTTGTTGCCCAAAATGTTAGACGTGTCGATGCGGCTGCGTAGCTACAGGTGTGGTAGTCGGCTGGGTAATTGTCGTGTGACGCGCGGGATCATGATCCCTGCACCCGCGGAAGAAGAAGCCGGTGAGGAATGCCGCTGGGTGCGAGCTATGTTCGTTCCGTCGTAAAACTTTCGTTGGGTAATTTAACTAACGATGCTCATCGGTACATGGCATCAACGGCGGTGGTGTGAGGAAAGCATTTGGTCGGGCGATCAATTCTTCTGGAACGGTGAACTGGGGTTGAAGGCTGAATGAAACATGCATCCGTCAGCACTGCAAAAGCAGAGGAGACTGGCAACAGAATTGCTGGCTGGCGTGCAGCAAGGCCTCGAAAGCTGGCATGCAGCCACCTCAGATACCTAAGCCACAAGTACCCAGGTAATTTAGTAGCTCACTTAAGGTATGAAACATCGGGGAATCGAGACGCTTTGCGTGCTAGAGGACGAGTTTGTGCTGTCCGAGACACGAGGCGGGCTCTGGGTAAGGTGAGGTAAGGTACGCGTACATACAGCACGGGGATACCTTAGGCGACATGCGCCAATGCAACGGCGGGGTGGCAGCAGTGTAGACAGATGCACATTTCTCGCTCTAACTCTTGAAAACAGTTGTACAACACATCAGAGCCAAACTATAACGGGAATGATTTGGACTTTTCAGTGTTGCTTGTGATCATCACACATACCGTAGGTCCGTGATGTACAGTGTACTTGTACAGTGGTATTGTAGGTTTAAGATCGTGTCCGAAACGGAAGGCGGGGTAATGAACCCTGGTCACTAACATCCTAGATGACGATAAGGTGCTTGTCAGGGGTGAACGGGTGGCAGTCGAGGCAGTGACGTTCCTAGGCAGCGGGGAAGAGCCACGCTACGTATTTACCGAGACAGCGGCTTTTAGCAGGAACGACAGATAAAGTCATATCGTGCTTGCCCAGGAAATATTATCTGATGTTAGACACCTCGAATCTTTCCATCCCATTTCCTTTCACCCAATCTAATCTCTGCAGGCCATTCATTCGCGCATTGGACGAACCGGCATCGTGGATTCAATTCCCACAACCAGGGACTTGTTGCCGGGCCGGGAATGATGTGCTTGCGTCTTGCTGCGATGCAGCCCTGGCTAACGTTAAATTCGGCAACACAGCGCAAGGGAGGAAGGAGCGCATTCCACTGTCATCCCTGCTCTCTAGCTGTCAAGGCCGACCAGGGTGAGCTGCAAGCCGCCGAGAGGGCAAGGACGGCATTGCTCCAACTCCAATGCCAAGAGGACCGTTTGGCGAAAACCAGAGCCCTGTGGTGCAAGAACCATGCTGCTGGCCACGCTGTTTCTGCTGCTGCTGCTGCTACTCTGCGGGCGCTTTCGCTGCTGGGTCTGCCACTTTGCCGCGTCTAGTTTGCTCTACCATGTAGCATCTTGCGTCGCTCAACTGCGGCGGGAGCTAATGCCGCTGATCACACAGCATCTCGACCTGACCGTCGAGAACAGATGCCTGGGATCGACATCGCCGCGATTCCATCACGAAACCGGGCAAAATTTGTTCGGCATCCTCACGGTCAGTGACGTGTTAGATGGCGGGGCATGGCCTCCAAAGATGCGGCCATGTCCTGCTTATCACTCGCTTGTTTCCCCTTCAGGAACGCGGCAACGGCACGATGAGTTGGGCGGACAACAACACGAGCCTTGAGCCCGATGAGCTCTCTCTGTCGGTTCGCAGCGACGAGCATTGAACTCGCCTTCTGTTGTGGTTCTCGAGGTCTGGAAAACCACTGGACCTAGCAATTGGCTCGTATCAATTGAGTAGAGATACATCTTTGTCCGGTCGGCAGAGCATCGCCTCGATCGCTGCGCAGCTTCATGTACCCCAATCCTCTCGTCCCGTCGAAGAGTCACGAAGCTCAACACACGCCCAGCCCTGGCCACGACACCAGCCAGCTCACCATTGCCCGTAGTGACAGCATTTTCCTGCCAAAGGGAGGACAGGAAAGTAATCCATCCGATGCAGTGTTGCCAGATAGAGCAGGAGGTTGTGGTCCCGGAGCAAGGATCTACCCGCACGGCAGCCGTTGACCATGAAAATACCTGCTGGGGTCAAGCAGTTGCGCCGAGAAGTTCCGGTTCCGCCAAAAACGAAGTGACAAATGTCGGCCGATTCTTAGACATGTTCGCCGATGTTTGCAAGTCTTTTGAGCGGTTTTATGGTGGACAATAGCTCGAAACAGTCTCCCGGTCGGTTCCAGGATGGTCGACGAATGTCGTCGTGTCTGATCCGGGATGTGGTCCTCTGTGCCTCAATCCCCATGTTGATGCCAGCCAATGGGGTACTTGAGGCAGTTCCGTTGAGGCTGCTCCCAAAACATGGCCGTCTGTCTCCCGCCGCTCCCGCAGACCGACCCCTGTCAATTGGGGTGAATCGTCAATCGATCGCATCAGGCCGCCGCATCCCGAGCTAAATCAGTCTCCCTTGGCAATACTATGATGTACATACGTCTAATCAGTGACAGCACTGAGAACTCACAGTTGACAACACACAGACGTTCGCCATGAAATTTCAGGCTTCCAGCCTTGCCATAACGACTGATAACGCGATGGAATCGTGTTCCCCGATGTCTCCCAGAAATGCTCTTTGCCATTGGGCAACAACTTTGCAAGAGGCTGCGGCTGTTTTTAAACGGCCAGGCTTAGTGTTACGTCAAACCATAGGTCAAACACGAGGCGCCAGTCAGGAGCCGGTTTGCAACACCTGGGTCCCTAACAGCAGGTTTTCGACCTAGAGACATAGAGATCTCATCGAAGCGGCCCAGAGTGGTACCGATGTGTGCCGCGAAAATGCCGGTCCCCACGGCAAACTGTTAACGTGCCGCATCACGGGCGTGGCCGGCAAAACGCACAACATCTAGCTGTAGGTGTGAGATGCAGGGAATTGGAATCCCCCTGTCGAAGGGGACGGCCCGCTCCCGGGTTTAGAGAATTGACTTCCTGGCTGTCAATCATCAACCTAGGAAGGAGAGTGATATGACTACGGAAAAAAGTGGCTGAGGGGAAAGGTCGCGACAACACCTGGCCGCCCCAGCACGGCCATGTTTACACACATCCCTGCCTCCTTCTCCTCTCTTCTCGAGCCGGTCACCAGGGCGCGGCCGTGACGACATTGACTCAGTCTCGTCCCGCTGATTCTTCCCGTTTCTCGCTTCCCATGCCTCTTTCGCCTTTCTACTTTTCAAACGCGTGTAGCAGAACACAACATGTGGCGCAGCAGTGGCAGCACCCTGATAATTTGATTCTCTCAGGGAAGCTCTACGTGCTTAGGGGTGGTAGTGCCAGCAGGTCTTGGCCGTCGCCCGGGCGCTGCCGGTCTCCTTTGCTTGGAGAAACAGAGCTGTACGACCCAGGACACACACCCATCAGGCACCTGCCGCCCAATCCGGCCTGCGTTGAGTGACAAGGAAGCAAAGAGGGGCGGCTTCTCCGGAACCATGTCCGGATACGCTGTAGCCAACTCAGGGGACGATAGCCCTGCCAACCCACAGCAGCCTGTGATCATTCTGCTTGCATCACCCCACAGAAAGCAAGGTGAAGTGTAAGTCACCGCCCCCATCAACCGAGTTAGACCTGGCAGCACCGACAAGCCTAATCATCGACGTTCCATTCCGCTGCGCTCAAGGCCAAAAGGAAGGGACAACAGCCTGAAGGGCAAGGCCGAGACGAGAGGCGGAATGGCTTGCATCTAACTTCCATATCCTTCTCGGGCTGGTCTCTTCTCCGGCGGCCCACACAACCGAGAACTTGATCGGCCCTTGTTCTTTCCACGAATGCGGCGTGATTTACGCCTTGGCTTCTCTTCCCGCCTTGTCTCTGTTGCAGGGAAGAGTTGCCGAACAGAGGCGGCCGCCTTGCAGGTAGTAAGGTCTTCCCTTCCCGGCCGCTTCCCGGCTTCACATTTTCAGCCTGTTCCATGTAGGGGAACCATGACGGGGAGCATAGGCTAGGTCGCGTCTACACGCGGAAGCCCAGGTGCTCTTCTAGAAGTCACTGAGACGCGCCGCCGAGTATGCCTATCTACTGCCGCTAGTGGCTCACTTTGCAGTCGTGTCCGGTTATGGATACGCGGGACAAATACAGAAACCTAAGCGGCATGGCAACTCACCAGTCGCCACGTCGCATTTCGGCTCAACTGACCACCCGGTACGGTGAGCCAGCCGTTGCGGAGTTGTCCTAACTCCCTCCGGTTACTAGACTCGAACCATAGCGCGGCTGGCGACAGGTCGCCATCCCTGGGGTTAACGTGTTGTGATTCATGTGAGAGAAGCCTCCTGCGCGCCCACCCCGCTCATCCACTCCGCTGCCCTTACTGCCGCCAGAAGAGCGGAGTATGGTTGCAGCCGAGGCCCTATGGGCTCGACATGGTCCTTCTCAGGTGGTCAACCGAAGAGGCTATCGAAACAAATCGTGGGGGCAGTCGGTTAGCTAAGACGGGTCGCGGCATGGACAAGATATTGCGCATTTCGTCATGGCCAATGGCACGGCTAGCCGGTACGCTGTCAACACACCACTCCGGGACCCGTGCCTACCCAAGGAAACCATTCACACCCTCGTGGTCGGTACTTGGACGCCATGATGGATCAACATGCTTCGTCCCAGAGTACAGTGACCAGAATCTGAATGCGAGTTAAAGTGATTATCGGTCCCAACCTCCATTCTAATACAGGATTCCTTTCCGACTGGCTGGCCTCTCGTCGATCCATTGTGTAAGGGAACACGGGAACCCAATCAGTCTCGCGGCGGAGCAGAACCTATGCGGCAGAGCATCCACACCAATAAACGTTTTCGGTCAGCGACGTTAACCCTTTCAGCGAGCACATTGGCAGCTTATTACTCTACTCGTAGTTTTGAAACGCTTTTGATAGCAACTGCCCGCTCCATGTGTCCTCCAGGGGAGGATAGTCGGTACACAGCAGTCCTCCGATAATGCCAAGAGACAACACTGTTTACCCCCTTACTGGCACGCAAGGAACCCGACGCCTCACACCCCACCCCAGGTACCCCAAGTTGTACGCAACAGGAGACTAAAAGAAGGTTTTTTTTTTTTGGTTCTGTTTATGTGGCTGCTGCGACCCTGGCTTCTGACACCCCCCCTTTCCCCCTTTCTCTACCCCTCGGCGGCCTGGGCCGCGACCACCCCGACCCAAGCTAGCCGGGATACTTGCTGCTATGTGGGTCGACCCGGAAGGAACCTTACCGGCGGCCGCAATGTAGATGAGAGTATGTCTCTATCAGACGGGCCACCAAGACGAACGGTTCCCGGGAGGTGGCGGGGTTGTAGAAGGACAAAAGCCGCATCAACGGGGATAAACAGGGGTCCTTGTGGTCATTGGGCTTCACCCGAGGCGCGACAACGTGCGTGTATGCTGCAGGCAGTGCCGCGCGGAAACTGAAGTGCACAACGAGGAGCAAGGCGAGCTTCTGTCCGCAGACTGCGCTTGTGGTTCCCTTACCCTAGCAACCAGCCAGGCTCGGCCCAATGACACAGGGCAACGGCTGGCACACGCAGCCAAGCTCCGAGTTTGTACCCCTCAGACGTCAATGGGCAGTTCCTGAAGTTTGGCCACCGCACCTTGCCCAAGTCGAGAATAAGTTCTGGCGCGGTGGGGAAAGCGTGTGCTCGACCCTGGCTATTGAGCCATGAACAACGTGGCTCCTATGGAGGCCACTCCACTCCGGAGGACCTGCGCAGACCAGAAAATCTGGCTAATTTGCCGGCAGGGGTGGCATTTTACACACCCACGGCCGGCTAGGTACTTGCTCTGCTCGACGTGTGATCGTGAGCGTGATTTGGGTCTTGACTGACGGGGGGGAAAGATATCCGGAAGACCGGAGACCGTGTGGTACTGTATGAAAGATAGCGGGCGGAGGCTGAGCGGGAAAACAACCTTCACCTCAACTGCTTCCCCTTTTCCCTCGATAGTATCTCTACCTTCGCCCAAGATCACTTGATGCATGACCCGCTATCGTGTGTTAAGGGGCGACCACCCTGGAGCCAGAGGAGACAGCAGAGCCCGAGTATAAGTATTGACGCATCACCCACCGATGGACCATAGTACTCGAAGAGCGGCCTTCTAGTGCCCATCAGTCTCGAGTAAAAAGAATCACCGGCAGATTTCAAGAACCTTGTTCTCGACTACCCTTAGGTACACGTGCGCCGGCAACCTTATTCGAGGACGACGACTTAAAATACACAACGCCCCCATTTCCCTCGCAGTCGACAGACATCAAGACCCCTAAATCAAAGCACTCTTCCACACCGGCAACTACTGCCCCACCCCCCTGGTACTACAACGAGCTCTTTCATCCGGGGTAAGTGAGAGATCTTCGCTTGAGGGTTATGCAGCAGAGGCTGCCGTGACACCCCCAACGGCTTTGGTTGGTCCATGTTGCCACCAACTGGTGGAAGAGTACAACCAGAAAAGGGGGGAGGGTGGGGACCTGGGAAGTAACAGTTAAAGTTAACATCTAGACCTTTGAATCAGATCGGTCCGTGGTTAGAGCTAGACGCAGACAGCACAGCATTCAACGACCAAGAGCCTCTCAGGTGCTTTGCCTTGCTCTATCAAAGAGCTTGAGGGAGAGGTGAAGAGGACGAAGAGACAAGATATTGAATCTCGAACACAAGACTGGCCCTGAAACACCACGACTTTATCCCGGGCCCACCTCACATCCAAGCATCTATCGAACCACCGACCTGTTCGCTCCTCGTTCCTGATCTCTCCGTGTCTCCACCCAAAACCAAGACTACAACACGCCCCCAGACCCCTAAGATCGACTCGAGTACATAACCAAGCAACAAAAACCCAAAACAAAAGGAGAGAGAGCGAAAGGGCTATGTGCTACTACGACCAGACGCGGTGGATCTGCCAGTACTGGAAGTGGGGCAACTTCCGGCAGCAGTGCAACAAGGAGCACCGGACGGGCGAGACGTGCGGGCTCAAGCTGATTTACGAGACTGAGACGGTGGGCGAGCAGTGCAAGGTGTGCGACGCCATCAACAAGAAGCAGCGCCGCCTGCGCAAGATGATGGACGACGTCAGCCGCTGGCAGCGCGAGGGCGGCCGCCGCGCCACCATTGAGAAAACCCAGGCCGACATTAATGATCTTGAGCTCCAGATCAACGAGCTCTGGAGGGGACATGTCGAGAGGGTTAATAGCATTAGCTATTAGCTAGCTTGCTGCTGGTTCTCTACCTTGGCCTTCACCCCCCTTTTCTTTTCCCCCTTAACCCTTCCCTAAGCCCCCGGCATATCATCTTCAGTGTCTCTGCCTTCTTTCCCCCCCTCCTTTCTCTCTCCTTTCTCCTTTGTTCTCACTCCGTGGGCGGGGTCTGTGTTCGCTTCGTCACCTACATGTGTAAGTAGGTCGGAGAGGAGGCATGGGAAAAGGGGGAAGCGGAAGAGGGGGACGGGGGGTGCTCGTCTGGGTTGACAATGCCTGCCAATCAGCCGGAGAGGAGGGGAGAAAACGGAACGAGGGCGAGACGGAAGGAGGGGGACAGGCCACTGCCCTGTCGGTCGTCCTGTTCGCCGGTCTGGCTCGAGGAACGGGCGGGTGGTTGATTCTTCCCTCTTTCCCGGGAAGGAAGCTGCTTCGAGGGAGAAAGGGGGTGAAAAGGAGCCAGATGAGTGGTCAGAAGAGGGATAAAGAACGGAAAGTGGCGGAATTTGGGACGGCGTCAGCGGAAAAGTCGGTGTTTCCCTTTTTATATTTTATATTTTTCCCTTTTTCTGTGGTCGTTTTCTTGCACCAGGGTTTTAGAGAGAGCGGAGTCAGCCCGCCTAGCCTGTCGACGCGACTGGACATGTGTAAGTGAGAAGCAGGGAGGACAGGGGGTCTCTCGCCCTACCGTATGCAAGCTTGATGGGGCCAGGTCCGGGAACGGAGAGGTTATTTGTTGACTCCTTTTCCTTTATGCTTACCCTTTTTTTATCTTGCTGTTGCTGTTGCTGTTTCCAAGATACCTAAAGTAGTAGTTGTGCGTATTTCTGCCCACGAGCCGGAGTTTTCCATTTCTTCTCATGGGCTTTTTGTGGCTTGCGGGATGGAAGCAAGAACCGGCAAAGGAAAACAGGACTATTTCTCCAGCAATGGGGCCGCCGACGGGGCATGAAGAAAAACCCACTTTTTACGAGTAACGAAGCTACAGAATTTCCCTCGCTCACAGTTCCACGTCAACGCCAGTTCACTGACTTGCAGGTGAATCCTCTCGCACATGTCCAGTAACGTTAGGAACCAGACGACAACCAGCAGATCAAAAAGCCGAATACGGACATCTCAGGGGTCTTGGCCCCGTCCCTCCCCGGTCTCCTAAACTCCTCCACATCTGCCAGCGGGGAGAAACCGTTGCAAAAGCCGGCGATTTGGTGCTTTCGGCGTTAGTTTGCCGTACATCGGACCGTATATGGGCGGAAAAAGGTTTCTCATTGCCTCGAAAGCAGAATTCTAGCATGCAGACCCGCGGAGAGTTCCCACTGGTCTATCCTACACACCAGCATGTTGGCCGGGAGCAGTATGACGCGGGGGTGGGTGAAAGACTCGACGAGAACGCGGAAATTGAAGGGCACAGCTGCAGTTTCCGAGTACCGTGCGGTGCAGAACGGTCGGCAGAGCGGCTGGATGTGCTTATCTGGCGAGTCATCGTAGAACCTGCAACCGAGGCAGGAAGAAGACCATCGACTTGTCTCGGCGAATGGGAGAAGGCAAAGGCAGCCGGGGGGGTTAGGTCTGCAGCGTGTGGAAGCGTCACGTCCCACGCGAAACGTACTGTAAGGGGAGTGGAGGGCGAACGGAGGCGAATCTTGCTCGGCCCCGAAACGAAGGGCGCCTAAGAGAGGCTCCCCTCACTTCGTTTTCGCTGCTGCTTAGGGCCACCGCTCACAATCCCGGGCTTGCTGTGTTAAGGTGCTGATAGGCGACTGTTGCCCTATGAAACTCCCGTTTGGGCAGAGAGGGTTCTCCAAACGAGGTTCTGCCAGCCCAGGTAAGCCCCACAGAGAATGAGAGTGTCCGGGATTCAGGCCGAGAAAGTGCCAGGGCGGGCTCGAGAGGGGTCCAAGCAATCGCAGGTTGCAGTTTTCACCGGTCTTGTCGTGGAACCTCGCTGGGTGCGCTCCGTGGTGGTAGCTTAGCCATTGCAGATGATGCGACGTGCTTCGTTGCGCTGTACGTGTTCCCTCCCTGCTGCACATCCTTCTTCTTCTGGAAGTGTTGCTGGGCCTCCACCCTTAGGCTGTCCACCCCTCAGTCTCTCGGTCGATTCGTGGCGCCCCCCTTCTTCTCCGATCCCGTCAGAGAGCTGCAGGCGGGCCCAATGAGCCGGCCATGGACACCATGGCACCCACAAACTCCCGATTTGAGTCTCACCATCGTAGCCAGTCCCGTTAACGCGGGGGAGATGTCGTGTTCCGGAACCGCTTGCAAATTGGAATGTACCGAAACTGTACACCGTGGGCACCTGAAACGGTAGGATGCCGAAACCAAAACCGCTGCAGAAACAGACTGATGCTGATGGCGCTCTGAAAACTCATGAGAAACCAGGATAGACGGCTTGTTTATAGCAGCGTTTCCCACTATGGGCTAACATCAGCAGTTCCAGTGCACGTGGTTTGCTATTGACGGGGCGTGTGACCTGTCCAGCATGCCGTTTTCGGAAATACACGATGGCGCGTCTTGATTGGCTAGCCGTGAGTTGGAGATGGGCCAGTCACAGACAAAAGAAAGCTTCTTGATTGAGACTTCTCGTCGCAGTACGGAGCACAGCGGTACAGAGCGCGCAAGGCCAATTTCTCCGCATCACCCAGCCTCCCCACACTCACGGCGTCAAGATGCGGCGCCAGGGCTCTACCATCCTGTCGGGTATGAGACAGTGTAGGCGGCCCACCGGCCCCCATGAGAACCCAAGTTTGATGACGGGCCGTCCCACAATGCCACGTTGGCCATCGCCGCACTCATGCTGAAACCTTAAGTCGAAAGCCGTTCCTGGGACCGCGAGGAAAGGGTGGGATCAAAGTGGGCAATGAATACCGAGGGAATGGATCAGGGGTCAGCGGGCAAGGTCATCGGGCACCCCCTCCCTTCCAGTCGGGCCTAAATCAGGCCGCTGCCTTGGTCAGATGACGGCGTTGGGAGGGTGATGGCATCTCAGCGCATGGCGGCTGCAGCGTCGGCAAAATTGCCGACGAGAACCTCACCGCCGTCGATCTTGATGGGAACGGGGAGTGCGTTCTGCTGCATCTCGATGTTGTCATCGTCGGGGGTCCCCCAATCAACGCGCGCCACAGATGCCAGGTTGTCTTGAGAGGACAGTTTGGAAAGGAGGGTCTGGTACCGGGCCATCGTCGCGTCGTGGGCGGCGTAGGTGTATGGAGCCGCGGACGGCTGCATAGCCTTATCCTGCGGCACGATGTCATATATGTCGACCATGTTGCTGTGCATCCGAGTCAGTCAGCCATGGGCGGTCCCATTACCACAGACCTGGGAACGGAAGATTCCGGGGGGTAACAGGGAAGCCAAACGTACTCGGAGGTCCGGGCCACGACTCTCTGCAGGGCCTCAATCTCTCGCTGGACCTCCTGTGGGTCTTCTTGGCCCATCATATGCGGCTGGTCGAAGCTGCCATAGTGCAGGTTGTTGGGGTCGTCGAACAGATGTTGGGCCTCGTCATCCTGGTAGACAGACGACAAATAAATCAGTCAGCTCGGTCTCTGCAGAGTTACGAGGCGCGGCGGTAGAAGTGAACAGACGAACCTCGTCGTAGTCATCGCGACGGCGGCTGCCGAGGCAGGACGAACAGTTTCCCATTTGACAATGTGTGGGGGAGCGGAGCAAGGCGAAGGCACAGAGAAAGCAGTGAATAGCAATACAGGTAATAAAACAAATCAGAATTCGCGCCTAGATCCCTCGATGGGACAAGCTAGTGAGGTCCGTTCATAAGGAAAGAATGAGCGACAAAAGTGAAGATCGATGGAAGCCTCAAGGTCAAAGACGCGGATGCGACTGCCGCATTGTCGGCGACTCGGCTTGCGCTGCGGGAGAAGATTTTGACGTAGCTCAGCTTATCGCATCCGCTGCGCCTCGGCTAGCCTCGAAGAGTGGTTCAATGCGCCACATGCTCGAGCCACGTCTTGGCACAGTTTGTGGTGCCAAAACTAAGAAAACTTCAGCTTCAATGTTCAACAATCAACAACCATTCAACCAACCGCTTAAGAATCGGCTCCGGCTGGAAGCACGCAACGAAGTTCATTGTGTGAGATTCACACATGTCAAGAGAGGGTCAAGGTACATACAAATTGGCCGTCATCCCGTTCTAGGGACAATGTATCACACCTCGTACAGTGCAATACCATTCCAGTCCTCTTTCAGATGCATCACACCAGACAATGTCGGGACCATGGTCATGCTTACAACACATCGCGATGCCCAATTAAGATAAAGACTACCAATTGATTCCAGATTGTCGGTGGATGCACACCCGCTGCTAATTAGATTCATTTTTCTTTTCCAGTCAACAGTTCATTCAAGCTAATTATAAACACGGTAAGGGTTAGGGTTGTCAGCAGGCTGGGCCCAAGCCGCCCAACATAAAGATGGCAAAAGTCTCCAGGAAATCAGCTGCAAGCCATCTCTTTGGCAATTCAACACTTGCTCCTGCCAACTCGACGCGAGCGAGCATGCTGCATCATTGCTTTTGTTGGTTGGGGCAGCTCAAGCTCCGCCACTCACTGCAATGTACATAAATGCACCAAGGAGGATTTTGGGCCTGAGTCTACGCCGGCCTCCGTCAATCGAGGACAAATTGAATTTGAGGACGGTCCGTGGTCCTGGGTCTGACTCCTGTCACACGATTGACTCACGCCGAAAGCGGAAAGCCTGGCAAACAAGATGACAAGATGAAACCGTCCTCACTTATTTCAGTGTATAAGTGCGACCCCAAAGACCAGACAAGCCCGACCACCTGATGAGACTTGGTTTCAGTGAATCCTCTTCAAGACTTGAACCGGCTCGAGTCTTGGGTGATCATTTCAGCGATCAAGATGGCAGCTCCAGTCAGCGAATCCTATGACCTGTTGGTCATAACCGATGCCACTTGGTCTATGGGGACTTATCTCATGTCGCTCAACAGCTCGCTGCAGGATATCGTCCGCATCTCGGCGACGACGGCATGCTTTGATCGCGTCGGCGTCCTGGCCTATCGTGACTATGTCGCCGACCGCCGCAACCTCATCGAATGGTCAGGATGGCATACCAGGGACGCCAATTCCGAAACCTCTCAGGACCGCCTGCTATCCTTCGTCAGAAGCCTCCGGCGCCATGGAGGCGTCGACTGGCCCGAGGCAACCAAGACCGCTCTCGCTCATGCCTACGAGCTCATGCGCCCTAACGCGAAGACCATCATCCTCCTATATGCAGATGCCCCTCCGCACACAAAAGAGAACTCGGGTCATGGCATGTGGGAAGCCGAGCAGCGGGCACTGCTAACGCCGGGCGCCTACGGTGGGACGGCCAACCTCTTTGCCGACTGGACATCGGCCGTCACCACCCTTAGCTGTGGCGAAAAACGTGCGCAGGTCTTCACCATCATTGATCCCGGCCAGAGCCTCACCTCGACGCCTACCTTCTTCACCTACCTTTCCGCACGTACAGGGGGAGTCTGTATAACTGTCAAGTACCCGTCGTCGACAACCATCTCCAAATTGACCGTGAGCATTCTCCTGGCGTGGATGGGCGTAGACAAGCGGGGCGCTATCCCAGAATCCGCCCAACTTGCTACCGAACTGAGGTACAAAGACGTGAGCGGGATCGATGAGCTGGAGTCCGAGACGGATGAAAAGGCCGCCAGATTCCTCCCGTTAGCGGCCGAGGCGAAGGACGAGGCCACCACGCTGTCGGGACCGACACGCAGAGAACGTCTCCTAGATAACCTGGAGCGGTCGCCGCTCTCCCTCGAAACCTTGGCCCAGGTCATCCCGCGCCGTGAGCACCCTGTCATGGATTTTGCGAAACGATACAAAGCGGACCCAGAATATCGCGAGTTTGTGCGCCAACAGCTAGCCGAGATGATCCAGTCCGACGTGACCGTGATTGCCCTGAATCCGGTCTTCGGTACTCTGTGGCGCACGGTTTGCAGTGACAGGCTCAACCCTGCTCGTGACGCGCTGATCTCAGAGTTTGGACTACAGGTAGACAGGATCATCGACGCGGACAAGAGGGAACTCATGAAGACATGGCTGGAGGAGTCCTATAACATGACGGGCGAGATAACCGAAACCATCGAGTCCGTTCCAGCTGCCGCACGGTACCCCTGCGTCTTCCTCGACCCTACCTTGCGATTCCCTGCCGATGGAGGATCGAACGAAGAAGCCTCCATGAAGTTCACTCGCAGTGAGCTGCTCGAAATCGGTCGTTCTTGTGATTATCGCATTCTCCGTCGTCTGGGCTCCGTCCTTACCCGCCTTACCTATGTGAGGTCCGAGGAGGAGCTCCCGGCACATATAGCTGACGTCCCAGTGAAGGACGTGCCCAGGATTCCTATGGCTCTCGCGCAGGAGGCATACGGCCGTGAGTTTTGGAAGATTCTGCTCCACACCGTCCTCCCAGGCACCATGCTAGCAGCTCGTCCCGCGGCCTTGCTGGCAGCCCTCAGCCTGCGGATGGGGATGAAGCCCCTGGAGGACGCCGCGATTTCCGAGCTCCTCGCCTACAGGGACTACTGGAACACACTCGACATTCCCGAGACATGGAATACCAACTGCCTCGGTCTGCTGCTAGAGGCGGACCAAAGGCACCAGCAGTATCTGGCGAGCCTCCAGGGCGGCACTGCGGGACAAACAATCTTGAAGGCCGAAGACCGCAGACTTTTCCAGGCCCTCGTCGACTACAAGCTGCTGGAGATGAACCTGAAAACGTGTCTCACCGCACATATTGGCTGGACCCCCAACAACAGCAGGGTCCCATTAGGCCCGGTAGTTGTCTGCAAGGCCTGCGAGTTCCCTCGGTCCGTGACCGTTATGGCAGACAGCGGCGTCTGTGGACTGTGCACGGTGCCTAAGAAGGATATCACCACGGAAGGCGGGCGCGATGCGTTGCTTCGGAGTAATGTCTCGCAAGCCGACGACAGCGGCACCGAGGGGTGGTGGTGGGAGTGCTCGATGCAGGATTGCCGGGCGCAGTACGTCGTCTACAACCCGCAGAACCTCAAGGTGCGCGCCAAGTGCCACTACTGCCGACAGAAAGGTAAGATCTCGGCCCAGGATGCCGACTATCACCGCCTCACCACGGCTCCCTGCGTCACCTGCACCGTGTGCGCCAACCGGGTGATCTGGCCCGAAGCTTACCGCCCGTCCGACTTCGACCCGGCCGCGTACAAGTGCCCGGCATGCACCAGCAATCGCCCAAACACCATTGTCCTGGAGGAAACCACCCCTCAGAAACTCATCGCAGAGAACGGCACAGAATGGTGCCTGCGGAATGAAGCCGGGACCATCCGCGAACCACTCACCGAGCGGAGCCTCTTCTACGTCATCTCGGACGCTGCGACATCTACCACGAACGGCGACGCCCGCGCCTCCTTCGCCGACAAGATCCAGGTCCTCCCCGTTGCCGAACCAGCCCTCACGATCCGCGGAAAGCCCGTGCACAACGCTCGGGAGCTGGTCGCGTCGCTGGGCGAATGGATCTCGTCGCGGCGCGTACAGCAGGGGACCTGTACGCTGTGTTTCTCCTCTAAGCACAAGCGCCGCGACCTGCGCCCCGCGTGCGGCGGGCGCAAGGGCTGCCGCGAAGTCATCTGCGCCAGCTGCGTCGACAGCTGGTACGGCATCAACCGCCCCGGCACCGTCATCAACGTCGCCGCGCTGAGCTGCCCGTTTTGCCGCCGCCAGCCTGTTCCCAACGCCCTGCCCCGGCAATTGCGGTACTTGGGCGGGTTAAGGAACGCGGTTGCTGACGCGGGGGAGTGGGTCTATGCCTGGTGTGTTGGCTGCGGGTTTGCGAAGCGGTTCGCTGAGCGGGTGTGTGCCGCGGGGATGATAGGGGAGGGCGTTGAAGGTTGGAGGTGCGAGGAGTGTCTCACTGCTCAGGGTCAGGGAAAAGGGGTGAGTGGTTTGGTTGTTAAAGAGTGTCCTGGCTGTGGAGTGGTCACGCAAAAGACGGCAGGTTGCGACCACATTGCCTGTCCGAACTGTGAAGCGCACTGGTGCTTCAATTGTGGCGAGAAGGTGGGCGAGCGGGAGATTTACACCCACATGTCTGACAAGCATGGTGGGTGGTATGGTGGGAGGGAGTATGAGGAGGAGGAGGAGACGGAGATGGGGGGAGTTGGGAGACGGAGACGGAGACGGGGATGGGGGAGGTGGGTTGCATTGATGAGGTGTCGTTAAGGTAGAAGATATTAGACCTATTTGCTTTGAGCTCAGGTTTGAGTATTATCTGATACTCGTGAATGGTTACTAATCGTTTTAGTATTCAATCTGGCATTCTGGAGATACCTAAGCTTCGTTTTCAGGTCGAATCTCAGCTGTGGCGTTGCGATTTCATGCAGCTACAGTAGTCAGTCCCCCTGAATGCCTGTGATTCTTCTACTGATATTAGACACTAACAGTTGATTCAGTGACCATGGTTGGGTGACTTTCTTAAGACCACCTGGATGAGGCTTTTCAGGTACTGCTAGTGCCTTGGAGTTGATTGAGTCTGAGTAACAGGTAGGGATACATTGACGAAGCAGCAACGATGTTGTCGTTAACATGACACTACATAGCTGGTTCCGGGCATACATACGAAGTAGTGGCTTGATCATTGACCTAACTAGGACGCCGTGATATGATTGGATTGACACGCTCCTAAACACGCCAAGAACTACGCCTTTGAGACGCCATCCGTAACTTTGGGGAGGAAGGTGAGCATCGACTCGGCTTCGCCTCCACGAGGGCCTGTTCATTGGCCGTCTCACAACCCTCAGCCGCACTGAAAGGGGCTAGCTTGGCTGTTTGTAACCGCCCAGAGCTCCGAAGACGTACTTGAAGGCTTTGGCGTCCTCGTCAGTGCTCACTTGCATAAAAGGTAGGGCGGTTGCCACTTGCCCCTCCCAAGGCTCCCTCACGGTGTGCCTGGGGATTCTCTCGCTGTCGCGGGACGCTGCTCACTCTATCACTACAAACATATGCCTAGGCAAGAACCATGGTTCGTTAAGCTTGTCCCAGGATGTTTTGCCCCGTTTGTCGACAAAATGATTCGCTCACATTGTGGAATCCCAGCCTCTTCGACAGCTTGTCCCTCCACCTCCGCTGACCCCTCCAGGCCGGGGGGCCCGGGGTCACGTTGACACGGCCAAAGTCGAGTATGTCTCAGACTATAGCCGGCTGGTGGCGGTTAGACTTAGACATGGGGTAACTAACACGATAAACCTCAAAACGTTAGCATCTTCGCCGTCCACGGTTTGAATCCGCTGAGCAAAAACGACGCAGACCACGCATGGGATACGTGGCGCACCCCGCCCGGGCCGAAAGGCCGCCTGTGGCTGCGGGACGATCTTCCGCAGTACCTTCCCGAGGCGCGCATCTTTCTGTATGAGTACAATTCGACGGCCGTTTTCGGCCGGGATAAGGACAACTTTATTGGCAAGGCAAACGAGTTGCTTGAGGCGGTCAGGATCAAGCGGCGCGAAGCGCCTGACAGGCCCATCCTCTTCCTGGGTCACAGCCTGGGAGGGCTGCTGATCAAGCAGGCACTCATCAATGCTCACAACAACCCCAAGTACCAGCCAATCAAGGATGCCACGACGGGTCTAGCCTTCTTCGCCACGCCGCACAACGGCGGGGACTGGAAGCTGCTCAGTCTGGGGTCCGTGGTGGCTAAGATTGCCGTGGCCACTGGGTTCCAGCAGGGCGATGACATCTTGGAGACGCTGAAGTCTGGGAGCATCTTCTCGGACATCATGCACGAGCTGTGGAGGCAGCAGCTGATGAAGTACGACATCATTTCGTTCTGGGGAGCGTATGACAACGTATATTTTCCCCCTGAGCCCCTTGCCGGTTCTGTTGACTAACCCGCTCTAGGCTGTGCCGCGTGACAGTGCTCGCCTGGGGATGCCTGGAGACCGAGAGAATGTTGTCAAATTGAATGCAGACCACAGCAGCATATGCAAGTTTGGCTCCAGCCAAACGGACCAAGACAACTTCGAGCACGTATGGGCCAACATTGAGGACATTTACAAGGAGGCGCTCAAGAAGGCAAAGCCTGTACAAGTGCCCATCATCAACCAGCCTGCTCCCCAGAGCTGGGACGGCGCCTCGCCGCCAGTAGAGGGGGCATACGCTCCACCACAATCAAACCAAGGACGTGTTATCAAGTTTAGGAGGCCCGATGGAGAAGAGCGCTTTCTCGATGATGACAGATTTTTTCTACGATCGAACCAGCCTGCTAGCCAGGGCTGGAACAACGGGGCCTCGCCGCCAGCAGACGGGGCATATGCTTCACCACGACCACCGATATCCACCCCTGGGACTCCCCAGCCGCCTTCTGTTCCCTCAAGATTTCCCCCGCCGCCATTGGGCAGCACATCGCCAAATCCGGACGGACAGCGTCGGTTTACAGGCTTTTTGTACTCGCCGACGACTCCAAATGACGCCAATTCGGCCAAGGCGGCCGACCACAAGAATGCAGGCCGTTGGGAGCAAGCCCGGACGCTCGAACAGCAGATGTTTGAGGGGTATCAAAGCACGTTAGGCGTCACTCACGTGTCAACCTTGACCGCCGCGGTCGATCTGACCCTCACCACGGCCACGCTCGGCTACCTTGCCGACGCCGAGCGGTGGGTAGACTGGGTGATTCAGATTGGCGCGGGCACGCTCGGGATGAAGCACCCCCTTTTACTCAAAATCAACCGCATCAAGGGGGAGATTATGGCCTCGAAAGGCCAGTACGCCGAGGCCGAGAATCTGATCTCTGGCGTGCTCGTGGACCAACAAGACCTCTTGGGAGTCGACCACCTCGACACTCTCGAAACGGAGCGCGCGCTCGGCGACGCCTGCCAGCGCATGGGGCGACAGCAGGACGCCGAGGCGCGGATGCGGCACCGAGTGGAAACGCTAACCAAGCGGCTTGGACGAGACCACGTCCTTGTTGCTAGGGCATTGCTGGACCTGTTCCTGACGCTGATCTACCCAGAGATCACGGCGTCTTCGAATACCAACAATAACAGCCCCTGGATACCCACCGTATCCGGCAACCGCCTGCAGCTCGAACAAGCCGCCTCATCCGTCGGCGAGTTGCACGGCCGACTCAAAGCCTGCTTGGGCGCGCAGCACCCCCTGACCATCCACGCGCTGCGGGTGCTGGGGCAGGCCAAAGCCGCGCAAGGCCAGACCACCGAGGCATCGGACATGTTCCGGCGGGCGCTGCACAACGCTGAGGAGGTGCTGGGCAAGGACAACCCGGAGACGCTGGCCATTGTGTGCCAGATCGGGCTGCTGTACAACAAGCGGGACCAGGAGGTAGCCCAAGTCACTGCAGTGCAGCAGGTTATAAACCGTGGTAGTGGTGCAGGAGGCGCCCCGTCGTCGACGGCCCGTCCGTGGTTCGAACGCTACGCCGACTGGCTAGACAGGCGGGTCGGGCTGGTGATACCCGCCACAAGGGAGGTGCTGTGCGTGCTGGCCATGTCGTACATGGCCGAGCAGAAGCTTGTCGAGGCGGAGAAGTACTTGGAGAGGCTGGTGCGCGCGTACCAGCAGGACCCGAAGGTGGCGAACTCGCCTGAGGCGGTGCAGGCGGCGAATCTGCTGCAGTCGTGTAGGATGAATACGATGTGGATGCGTGGCATGGGAAATGGGAGTGTGAGTGGGAATGACGGGGGGGATTTGGTGGGCATGCTGGGGAGGTTGGGGTTTTATTCGGATTATTCAAGTTCGGATGGGTCTAATTATTTGTGGTAGTTCAAGTTGGGTTCGTTACTGTAGGGGAAAAAAAGGAGGTATATTCTACGTATCTTTGGTGGGTAGGCTCAATGTATGGTCATGAGAACGCGAGTTGGGAAATGCTGGGTTCGCTTCAAGGAGTTGCGTTAAGCAGGTATGTACCCCCTTTTAAATGACAATAATCATGATGCCTATAAACTCGGTGTTTTTGAGCTAGGAAAGAACTGCCAGTTGAGTGGATATGAGGTGTAGCCCATCGTCTTCGCTATTCCCGTCGTAGTCACCCGGCCATGGCATATCCACACACTATCAATGTATCCAAGTACCAGTAGCCAAAGGCCGGTAGGCCTCTCCTGAGGCTCTACTATAGGTCTTCTCAGGCGAGGGAATTGCTCTATGTCCTTACTGATTTACTCTGATGCTTGACGTTTTCTCTCAGGCATTATGTTTCGAGTTCTAGTAGCTGGCAGCCTTAGACTACAGCCTTGTCGGAGGTCCTGTGGGGATTGGGCCGGGAAGGGGGTGGAAAAGGGGCTCGTGTATATCCATACCTAGTTTGGTTCGCATCCCTTCGCCATTCCCAGAAGTCATCTGAGTTCAAGAGAGAGTTAAGAATCCCCGCTCAAAAGCAACATTAAGCAGCTGTGCACTCATTCCCGGTCTCATCGCTGTTTTTGTTGTTGATGCTAGGGCCGGGTGCTACTAGATTTGGAGTTCGCGTCAAACGAGTATACGGGTAGCATATATGGGCGCTCCTTCCTCTCAATACCCCCAGTAATAGGCAGAATAGGGAGGAATAATCTGGTCTGATGTATTGATAATGCTTGATTGGAGTTGATGGGTATAATAGCTGCTCTATCTATCTTCCTGTCCCGCCCATTGTCCTGCACACCACTTGCAAGCATCAAGCGTTGAAAGTTCCCGCACTTTATACCCCGATTCTACTACTAATAATAGACTTTCCGTCCCCACCACTAGTGTTTCCGCGCTCAACACTGCAGCACTGCACAAACTGTTATTGAACCCGCCTGCTGAAGGTCTTCGGACTTAGACGGGAGCAGCTTACTAGATCCAGATCTAAGCATTTCGGCCAGGCCCTGCCAAGATTCCTGGGGACCTCAGGACCTGGCCGAAGCTGCCCATTACTATATGCCGGCTGTGTCCTTGGACCGGCTGAATCAAGTTCATGATATCGTGCCGCGCCATACCTAATCAAGAATTGATGTAATCAATCATATCATGAACATCATCCAGAGAACCCATGACCGGGTTCCTGGGAGGACACGAGAAACGGACAGAAAACGGCTGTGGCCCAACTCTAACCGTCGGACTTAAGGGAGCAAACTCAACATAGAAATATCAACCACCACCCCTGACTTTTGGATGGCTTCAGCGTTCAGCCGAGCCCAAGTATTCGCGGGTCAAGGCCAGTGAATAGCAACCATGATGCGTCTCGTCAGCTTTCTCTTGGCCTCGCTGGCCTTGTTCCTGGCCAATGCCTTTGCTCAAGACGACGAATGCAGCTGCACCGGGCTCGATTACACCAATGGCGGGTCATACCTGATCGATGGCAACTCGGAGGAAGACTTCACTTTTACCTCTATGTTTGAGGGTATTGTTCCCTTCACCATTCCCGACAAAGACCGTACTGACCCCTGAAGGGTGCTTTGAGTCCACCATCACTCCTATACTGGTCTCGCCTGATGGCGATGGCTACGAATGCTCCCCGCTTGAGTCACAGCCGGATGGAGTGGAGCAGGCATCGTCCTGGTAGGTGATGTGAACTTCCAGCCCCTGAAGTTATAGTCAGACACAATAGTAATACTGAGTAAACAAGCCCCATCCCGTACTCAGAGATGGGGTCAGGCACTTGGACAATTATCATTGAGGCCCCGGAACACAACTTCTTCGCTCAGCGGCAGTTCAACCTAACAGTTGGAGGTGGCGACATCAACACGGTAGTTGTGACGGTGCGTGTCCGGTTCTTGGTTGTCCAAGATAGCAATAAAATCCAAGCTGACTGAGGACTAGGTCACCCCTACCGAGTATGTCGGTGTCACGACCACACTGCCGGGAGAGAGTATGCCATGAATCCTCACGCTTGGGGCTGACATCCATGGATCAATGAGTTGCTAACCTGGCTCCCAGCCATAACACGCTGGATTGCCGAAACCGAAACTGAATATTTAGAGCCGGAGACCGTCTTTGGAGATTGCTACCTCCAGACAGACACCGTCTTCCAATACCTTCCGGGACCTACTACCACCATGGTCTCCGAGATCGAACGCTGGTCCACGGTTGGCGTGGTCACGCAGTACCATGTAACCACGGTGACGCAGCACGCCTCTTGTCGCTGGCCAACCGCAAGCAGGGACCAACCACGGCCGACATCAACACGGAGGCCTACGCGGACGTCGTCGTGGACAAGACCAACGAGTCGGCGGACGTCTACCCGCCGGCAAACATCAACAAGCAGCCGGCCAGTAGTAACGACAAGAATCACAACGATTCCAACCAGAACGTCAACTCGTTTGCCTACCGTCTCTGTTACCACTATCACCCGGAGACCTACCACTCGGGTCACTACACTCCCTAGGCCTACAACGACCACGCGGAGAGTCACAACTCCCACAGTGATCTCAACAGTGACACGCAGACGCACAACCACCGTCTCCCGCCCGACATCGCGGATCACAACCCGCATCACCACGATCCCTACCCGACGACCCACGACCAGTAATGATCCCCCACGGCCAACCGTCACCACTCGCCGCGCAACGAGACCGATAACAACGAGCCAGATCACCACCCGCATCACCACAATCCCTACTCGAAGGCCCACCACCACTAGTAGGGATGATCCCCCCAGAACCACGCCACGACCAACAACCCGCATCACCACGCTTCCCACGAGAAGGCCTACTACTAGCAACGACCGCCCACGGCCAACGGTCATCACGACGCGACGCACAACACCAAGCACAGCTCCCCGACCCACGACCCGTCGTACCACGCAAAGCCCGCCCCCTGCCGGTGGAATTGTGACGACTACCATTCGAACAGGAAGGCCGGTGGAACCTACTTCTCGTCAGGGTGGTGGGAATCAGTCTACACCAACCTCACGCAGAGGAGGTGGTGGAGGTGGACAACAACCTACTTCTCGCCAGGGTGGTGGTGGGAGCCAACCAACACCAACTGCACGGCGGGGAGGGGAGCCCACGTCTCGCGGCAGCGGCGGCGGTGGCGGTGGCGGTGGTGGTGGAAACCAGCCGACCTCGCGAGGCGGCGGAGGGCGGGATGAGCTGGAGCCCGGGCCGGTTGTCACGGCGTCGCCGGATGCGAAGGTTGTTAGTACGTACTATCTAGTACTTATACTACTTATGTCCGGAGGCCTTGCACATACTAATATGCATCCTCACATACAACATAGCCGCCCGCGCAGTGGCACGCTTAGCCGACGTCACCAGGACGGTGTACGAAACCACAACGGTGACGAGGACTGTGGTTGAGGTGGAAGAGGGTGAGACGGCGACTGAGTACAGTATGTTTGATCGTTTGTTTTCACACCTGCCCCTGAATGAATCACAACATGATATACCCCAGCATCACATTACCTACCTTATACCAGTACATGCTGACAAATACCCACCTAGATCACTACACCACCACATGGACCTACACGCCCCCGGCACAAACAGTCTGCGACGCCGAGACCACCGAGACAATCTTCTACCAGGGCCCGCCGCGGACCGTGTACCAGATTACGTATGTGACGCATTACACCCGGGCAACGGTCTGGGTTGGGTAAGTGTGCTTCTTGATCTTCCTAATTTTCACATATCCATGACAACCCTCGCATACTCCCCTGGAACATCAGTTGTCACAGCAGTTGGGACTTGAGTCCGCAATGCTAATGCCCAGTAACTAGGCAAACGCAATACACCACGTCGACGGATTATCCGGCCATGACACGGTGCTGGCAAAATGGTGGTGATTACGGGCTTTGATTTGCATGTGGATTGTGGACGAGTAGCATTAATAGGGGTAGTACTAGTATCGGGACTAGTATAGTAATAGGTTCGTACTTGGAGCTGGCATGGGATTAGGACGGAATAAGCACATTCGCTACCTAGGTCCTCACCGCCATCTCCTACGGTCCTACCCCTTTCCGCCCTTTCCGCTCTTTGTTGTTCAAATTACAGAGTCGACAGCTACACGGGACTTGAAGACCAAATGTCCATCGCTCCAGCCGTATCAAGAGATTCATTCCGGCCGGTTTCAGCGTGCCCACACTGAAAGCAATAGACGGCCTCCCGTACCATGACTCGGCCGATCCGGCACACTCTGCAACAGCACCAACCTATGAGGTTCGTTACCACCGGGACGGATCACGTTGGTCAGCTATGCTGTCACAGTGTCACCTTGGCCCACCACCTGTACAGCGTATCCCGGCCAATCCTTGGCTGATTCCCTTAAAAGACAAAGCCTGCATGCCGAGAGGTAGCCCAGCTTGCGGTTCCGTTTCTTCTGCAGCATCGTGAATCGGACACTGGGATTGGCGCTTGGCGGAAGCTCTCTGTTCAAAACAGATGGCTGAAGTGACCCAATCGGAGTCGATGGGCTGTTGGGAGTAAGCGTCTTCCACAACGTGGCAAAGTGCTCTAGGTTGACCTTTTCCCAAGCTGGCTTGCCGGTCATGTTGCACATTAAAACCGGTCTTGTATCGCGATACCGCCAGGGCCCGATCCGCACCATCCCGGTTTCGTTGGGTCTGTCGGTCACTTAGAGAGCCATGATCCGTGGTCACCGGCATGCAATGCCCTTGTTTGAGGATAGCACATGCATGGGAGCCAGACCGCCATTGAAACTGCGAGGTCGGAGGAGACGCCGAGCGGTAACGCGGCAACTTGATAGGCCCCGGGCCGGTTCCCAGCCGAGGATCGGCAGCGGGCACACCTCGTGCGAAGGGTTGGCATGCCTCAATGGCATGTGGCATGATCTAGTGGAGGTGCAGGGAGCCGCATGAAAAGCACACCAGACTTCGCCGGTCATGACTGCTGCTGTACAACGTGTTATGGACCAGGGGGCCGGCAGGGGGTACAGTACCCCTAATAAGCCCGCTGGTCGACGCGGCTTTGACTTCTTTGAGATTGCTCCCCCATTCATGTCTGTCATCATCCGCTCACCTTTCTCCTGAAATGACCACCTGCTCGCAGTATAACACAACAACACCATGTCATCGTTTGACATCAAACCCGTGCCCCCAAGCACGAGCGGGGGGATCTTATTTCATTGTGTTTCGACGGCCAGGGCTTTGTTCTCATCCGTGATTGCCTGTCGTGATACCTCTACACAAACCAACAGCTTCAAGGAGAAAGAATCATCGAAAAATGGAGCAGCAAGCATTAAAACGGCAGCCGCGAGGCAGGCAGGGAGACTTGCTCGGGCAGACAATTCGCTCCTGCAGCAAATGTGGCAGCTCCTGCACCTCGACACGATACACCGTGCGGTTCCAGAGAAAATGTCACGCACTTTCAGTCGTACGATTGGCCGCGAGCGTGAGGAAGCCATTTTAAACGAGACAGCCGAGACCATCAAGGGGCTCTTTCGGGATGGCGGGAACGTGGAAGGCTCCATCGGCATCTTGAGCGGCGGAAAACAGGCCTTTTTGAGCATTGGCACTCGAGACACGAGCCCATCGCGCCTTCCTCCCGACGACCACACCGTGTATCTCATTTCCTCCATGACTAAGCCCATCCTCGGCCTGGCCATGGCAGTTCTGGTCAACGATTCCCGGTACAACATTAGTTTCGACACCACAGTCAAGGAGGTTCTGCCTCGCCTCGAGAGGAAAAGCTTCCTTTGCCACGCAAACCGCGAACTGACCGTCGGCGATCTGCTGGACCACAACTCGGAATTTCTGCGGACAACAAACCTGTGGGAAAGCCCCTGCGGCGCCGTGCCATGGCAGACCGAGGATCCCATTGTGTCCCTGCTGGAGCATCTTTCACCCAACGCCAAGTACAGCGAGCCAAGCAGCTTTGTCTATGGGCGCAACTATTCGAATGAATGTTTTGCCCTGGCCGCCGCCATCATTGAAAGGACGACCGGCATGCCCTGGGCGCGGTTTGTCAAGGAGCGAGTGCTGCAGCCTCTGGACATGTGGTTTACATTTCCTGACGTTACCAGGGAGGAGCAGCAGTCTCAAGGGAACTTTGCAGGCACTTACTCTGTGAGGGTGGACGGCACTCTGCGGGAGCTGCGCGAGCAGATCGGGGAATATAAGGACCTCTCGTACCAGACAATCTACAAGTATCTCGAGGGCTGGCCGCACGAGCCAGGATCGATCGAAGTCCTCCCCTCCCAGGCCTCCAGACAAACCATTATGGGCGCCGCCGCGGGAATTATGTCGTGTGTCTCGGACCTGCTCATCTTTTACAAAAAGTTCCTAGCAATATACAACCTTGATGAGCAGACAAGAAAGACAGCTGGCAACAAATTATCAGAGATTGAGCGTGCCATGCTCACCCAGCAGGACTACATCTCCCGCAAGGCCACAAATCTCACCTGTGTCTACGCCGGAGGATGGTAAGTAACCCACTGTCACCCCTTTCCCCGCCTTTGACTCCCACCAACACAGGTACTGATTTCCTCAGGAACATAACCCACATCCCCTGGGACCCGACAACCCCGGGAATCCGCTGGCCCGGAGCAGACGGGGACAACGCCCGTCGACTCGAACTGGCCATGACCGAGGGACTTGGCAGGGACTCTGTGTCTGCCGCCCGCGCCTGGCCCTTTTTCCAGCAACCATCCCCATCCCCATCACCAGGGACCACCACCGATAACATTCAGAATACAACAGCATTGTACCACGGCGGCAACATGACCGGCGCCACCTCCTTCTGCTTGTTGCACCCATCAACAAACACCGCCGTCGTCGTGCTGTGCAACACGCGCGGCTATTTGCTTGATGCAGCCAACCTGGCGGGGATGCTCCTTGCCGATTGCCTCATTTCATCTGATCCTCGTACAAGTACCGCAACTAGTACTCCAGTCAGCATTGACGACAGTGACACAAACCGGCGCTGCGAGGCCGTCCGCCAAGTGTCACGTCACATCCGCGCGGGCTACCTCACCGACGTGGTGCACTACGAGCAGGAACTGCACGACAACTGGCACGACCCTCTCGAGTCCGCGTCTGGGCGGGTGGTGGATTTTGACACCCTCTGGGCCTGCGTGGGCAGGTATCGGTTGTGTGAGGGGGTTTTTGCTGGCGTGCAGTTCTGCCGGTCCCAGCATCCTGCTGATGATGAGAATGGGGATGGTGACGATAGGAGGGTGCTGTGGTTCTGCATGTACGAGACCGGGTTCAAGTATCCCCTGCGCGTGAAAAGGGATGCGCCCAGGCCGCACGATCCTAAGCCTAATAAGGGAGAGCTGACGGTGACGTTTGCCATGCCCATGAAGGACTTGATTCCATTGGGTGTGGGAGGGACAAATCGGCTTGCGGTTGAAGACTTTGTGCTGGTTTTCAGGAAGAAGGATGAGAGGGAGAGGTTTGGAGAGTTTATGTGGAGGTTTGATCGGTGTGGTGTGCCGGAGGGGAGTGGTGATGTGGATATGGATGCGCTTGCTTGGAAGCGGGTTGAGTAGGTACAAGTAGTACTAGTATAATGCCAAGTTATCTAGGTAGCTAGATAGCTTGGAGTCTGTATTGTGGAGGAAGATTTGGCCCTGTTAGTATAGTTAGTATAATGTCAACCTCTATTCAAGGGACCTAATCATGATCAAATAACTCACAGGCTACCGTTTTCCTTGCGTCTTCTTTAGATACCTTGGTGCTTGACATGGAGACAATTCAACGCTCGTCTGAGCCCTGATTCGTTTCAGACTGTCCTGATAGCTAGTGCTGGTAGTGGTTACCACAGTAATGGATCTCTCAAATCCCAATGGTGGTTGGTCCTTGTCCGGCCACAGGAACGTAAGCCATCGGGTTGCTGAACAGCTTCCTTCCGCTTTAGGACGCGACTCGAAAGGATGGTAGGATTGGCGAAATGAGTTATGAAGAAGTGTTTGAGCAAGTAAAGCATTGCGATCCCGATAATGGATGCTGTGCTCGGTAATACTATCCCAGAGGTCCAAGGCGTCAGTATATCTCACTTTCTACCAACAACACTTGTCAGTAATACTGTTGTCCTAACTCCCAAGAACATGATAGTCAGCCGCACACTTCACATTCCTATATGATGCAAGATTCCAGACCAAATCTTTACATCTAGATCATATCTTTACATGTGATGGCCCCCTGGTTTGTCAGGTTCGCGCATGCCTACTGTTGAGTATATATGGCTAATGGCCATGCCTCGGTTGCAACAAGCAATCGGGGTTCCTGTTTTTATCACCTACAGGCACCCCCAGCGGCACAGCATGTCGTTCCAACTCGACCCAACTTGACAGTTGACAGCAAACATCAGAGCGCGTCGAGACCCTACCGGCATCCAGGCTTCTGGGGGCCAACATACACGACCGTGCCGCACCCCTGATAATTGTTGGCAGTCCCCTGTCTCCGTCACGCGAATTCCCGGCCGAATTCCATGTCCTAATGCGATAGCCTCATATCAGCTCAGGGGCCTGTACAGTACATGTATCAGCTTCAAATCCTTCCCTGGGTCTGGATCTCGATTTTCGAATTCGAGTTTTTTGCTCTCTCGAACCCGCTAATAACTCACCCTCTCCATGTCACCCAACGCTGGCCATGAGGGGTCCCAACAAACGCCGGCGATGGCATCGTCCGAGTCCGCGCCAATACCCGTGTCATGCGAAGCGCAAGACGGTTTAATACCAGCTGCCTCGGAGAAGAGTCCCACACTCAATGCCGACGCTGCGGGGCCCGAAGTGTCCGACCATCTCGAAAAAAGCTACCCTGAGCTGCTCCCGCCAGGGTTCCGCTCACAAACGGCACACTCGCTGCGGCGAGCCTGGAGCCCGTGTGACGAACAACAACAACAAAACCGTGACCGCTTGCCGGCCGTGGAACGTGGTGAACCTGTCCCGCTCTGGAAGAGGCCCATCGTCTGGGTTTTGGCAGGCTGCGTGGCGATTATCGTAGTCCTGATCGGCGTGCTGGGCGGCATGGCTTCCGGACGGATCCCGATAGCCGCCGCGGCGGGCTCAGCGGTGTATGTACTGTGCTTTCCCTCAATCTGTGCCCTAGAAGTTCCAAACTCACCAACAAACCAAACCAGCCACAGCACCACCGTGACCTACACCACCGAAAACCCGCCGACCTGCCCAACCGCACATCACGCCAACTTCGTCCTCTCGATCGCGCCCTATAACAACGCCCAAATGGAACGAACCTTCCACATCCAGTGCAACACCAGCTACCTATCCGGCGGCACCCTCACCGTGAAAGCAGAAGCCCCGGGTGCGGGTGACTCGCTCGCAGCCTGCCTGACGGCGTGTGCGCAGGACGCAGAATGCGTCGGGGCCGTGCGGGTCCGGCCCGAGGCCGCGAGTCGTAATGGGGGTGAAAGCGGGTGCTTTTTGAAGGAGGCCCTTGAGCTTGCCGTCACGGGCTTCGGAGTTGAAGGCATCGAGTCCGGGGTTTGGTTGCAGTGACTGATTCGTTTGTGTGTGCATGTTGCGCTGGGCTGTATTGGGCTGTACATACTGTATGACTAGACGAGGTGTATTTTGGGGGGTGGCCAAGTGTGTTTTATCGCTGGCTGGAGGCCTGGTGTGATTGTACGTTGCGATGCTGGGCATTGGGAATGTTGCTGTGGTCCTATTCCTAATTCCCCCTCTTTTCTTTACCCCTTATTCTTTTTGTCATGAGGGTCTGCCGGAGGTGTTATTGGGTGGAGGTCGAAAAATCACATGTACTACCTGAAGACTGGTAGGGCGGCTCCGCGGCTGGGAGTGATACCTTACCTATTGCATACATGTACTGTACAATACCATGACCGAGCGAAGCTGCTGCTGGAATCTTCAGAAACGGTGCCGTCAGTGTGTTCGGCATCTGTGTCCACTGTCCAGTCACCAGGTCTTATGCCTAGAGAAAATGAATGTATTCCTGGTGTTCAGCCCACTCTCAGAAGGACATACGCTCACTGTTTGATTTTTGAAAGAGATCTATACAAACCGGGTTAAACCGCCGTGCTGCCAAACTTGGCCAGGTATTCCTCGTGCAGCTTCTTCTGACGGTCCCATTCCTTCTTCAGCTTCTTTACCTGGCTCTTCGGCACCTCGCTTCCGTCGGCGAGCTTGCTCGGCAGCCCGTCGGCGTCCCAGTCTTGATACTTGGGGTCGCCCTTAAACATCTCCTGCGGGGGCACCTTGGCCTTGGCCCACTTCTCCTCTTCTGCCTTCTCCCTCGCTTTTCGTGCTGTATCGAATTGTCAGTCATCCGTGGAGCTATTTAATAGCTGGTCAAACATACCTTCTTCCTTCTGCCTCGCCTTCTCAGCTAGTTGCGCCGCTTTTTCTTCCCTCGCAGCAATCAACTTGGCAGCAGGCACAAACTTGATCAGACTAGGCTTATCGAGCTGGTCGTCAAGTTGCACGCCCAAATCAGTAAGGTCGTAGTCGCGGATACGATCACTCAGAGCCAGCATTGCTTGCTTCGTGCTGGGTTCAAGAATCGCGGACGAGACAATCGCCCGTAGCTCGTCGCGGAGGCGTGATGTTGCACGGAGATAGGGCAGGGCCAGCTTCTCCACATCCCTCTCGCCTTGCTTTTCCAACTCAGCGAACTCAGCCTCCGGCGTTTGCTGGTGCAAAAGAGTCTTGATGGAAGCCTCGGACAGGTTAAGAGCTTGAACATCGGCCTTCACCTTGGCAAATATCGCCGCATATGGCTTCACGGCAGTCTGGGGATCAACATGGGCGGGAGCAGCCGCTCCTGCGGACGACCAGCCAAGACCATCATAGGGAGGCTTCGCGGTTGCGTCCAGGCCAAAAATGCCGACAATCTTTGTCACCCACCGTGCCACCGCCTCAAGTGCTTGCAGGCTGGGCTCAGAATTCTTGTCGTTCATGTAGATATTGGCATTCCTGACAAGGCGGAGGATAACCTGCATGGCGCTAGGCGTGTCGAACGAGTTCCTGAGCGCCGCATCCAGATCCTTTTTGGCCTGCTCGAGCTCGTGTGTTAACCCCTTGCCAGGGCTCTCCGCTAATGACAAGTCCTTGATTCCGTTTGCGGCTGACTCGGCTTCTGCTAGCCTTGCCTTGATATTGGTGAAGAAGTTCTACTGCCGTTAGCCGTTGCCAAAGGCCCTGTGACTGACAGAACTCACGTCAAGGGTATTCTCCCAATTATCGGCTTGCTTCCGCATATCGGGCGAAATTTCGACGCCGTCGTTCCAGCGGCCCATGAGGAACACGATACGCATGTTGCGTGCCGTGTAGGTTGTAGCTAGAGCGTCCTGTATTGTCTGGAAGTTCTTCAAACTCTTGGACATTTTGCTCCCTACCATTGTTAGACGGAGAATGAGCAAAGGATTCCCTGCCAGACTTACCCGCAATGGAAAGATGACCCATGTGCTGCCCCGGCTGTTAGCGTCTGATCTGGTTGTCGGGCTTCATTGGATAGATTACCAAAAAGTAGTTAACCCAGGTATGCCCCCCCTTGCCGCATTCGTGAAAGTAGGCCTCGCTTTGCGCTAGCTCGTTATCGTGATGTGGGAAGGCAAGGTCAATACCGCCAGAATGGATATCCATCTGCTCGCCGAGTTTGTCGGAAGCCATGACCGAGCACTCGATGTGCCAGCCGGGACGGCCCGCGCCCCACGGACTTGGCCAATACGGCTCGCCAGGTTTCGACTTCTTCCACCTATCGGGGTCACATTAGTGAGACGGCATGAGCTGTTGGGGAGAGGGACGCACAAGGCAAAGTCCCCCGGGAATTTCTTTCCTTCCAAGCCCTTGGAAAGCGAGCCTTCTCCCTCCTCCTGCAATGCCTTGTCGTTCCTGCTCTCAGGCCTCAGCCGGGCATAGGTGTTTCCAGCTTTTTCAAATGCCGCAATATCGAAATAGACGGAACCGTTGGCCTCGTATGCAAAGCCCTTCTTGATAATCTGTTCAACGAAGGAGACGATCTGCGGGACGTATTCCGTGACTCGCGTCACTGCATCAGGGGGGAGGACATTCAGCGCCTCCATATCGTCGTTGAAGGCCCTTTCCATGGCTTGTGTGAGGTCGGTGAAAATGGTCTGGTCGCTGGTATCGATTGTCTCCTTGTAAAGAGAGTCCAGGTATGGGAGAAGAATCTCTTCGGCACCCTCAAAGCCAGAGTTTTCCTTCAGAGCCAGCGCCGCAGAGTCCATATTGTTGAGGTGCATCTTCACTTTGGCCTCGGCATCGCTGGGTTTCCCTTCTCCAGATAGCGTACCGCCAGCCAGAACACTGCCATAGGCCTTTTCTTTCTGCTCCTGGTAGCTGTGCTCATCTAGCTCACCTTGGCCTGTCCCGGCGAGAAGGGGTAGGTTACTTTGTGCGTATGCCTGGAACGCTCTGAAGACGAGATCCCGGGCCTGGGCAGGACTGTAAGGCTTTTCCTTCTCGAGGTCAAGGAGGCGTTTCCTTCGGGCTTTGATTATGATCTAACAGCATGAAATCAGACGAGAATCGGTGTATGTTGGCAGGGTCGATCAAAACCAACCTTGTCATCTATATCTGTGTAGTTCATCTACGACTCTGTCAACGCTTGGCCAAGTGAAACGATCTTCCTCTGGTTATGAAGACAATGACTAACCACAAACTTGACCTTGAAGCCAAAGTGATGCATCAAGATGCGGCGGATGATGTCTGTGGAGACATAGTTCCGGGCATGGCCCAAATGGCTCAGATCATATGTCGTGGGCCCGCAAGCGTACCACGAAACCTTGCCCTCCTCCCTTGGGACGAAGGGCACCGGCGCACCGGGCTTCAGGGAATTGTGGACTGTGATGGTCGCCATTGAAAATGCCCGTATGAATGATGACCGGGGCCGGATCAAAAACGGTTTCAAAGAAAGGGAAAATGTTCTGGCTTCAATGAAGGCGCGCATTCAGCCTCGGGCATGGAGTCTTGCACTGCGTCGGGCGACCTATAAAAAGGTCAGCGTGTCAGTTTGATTCGGAATGAGTCAAAATCGACTTCTCGCCAATCGCCGGCTGTTGGAGCGGGGCAGTTGCACAGCAGAAACGAGTGAAATTGAATCAGTGATGCTCCACCACTCCCGTTTGCAGTGGCAGTGGCGGGTTGAGATGACAAGCCACATCTGAAAGCATTGACCACATCAGTTATCGCAATTTGCCTATTTTGCACCTCTCGCCGCTTTGTTGAGTCGTAAAAAGGAAATGTCTTCAATCCGTCACCGGCTAGCTGGATGGCGTAATGTAACCTATGAGTCTGTTCATTCGATCGAATGTTGCAGTGCATTTACATTGCCTCATCGCTGTTGAGTGAGTCCAGAGTCAAGACTCGGAGTTATGAATTCGATTACATGCACCAACGAAATGAAAAACCTGAAGACTCATCTAGCTCCAAAAAAAGGAGTCATCTTTCCTCGAGTCGATCACACATCCATTCCAGCCAACAAAGCCCCCAACATCCCGAGGATAGACGCAGTGAAATCCTCTCCGGCATCGTAAAACTCAATCCCATACCGCTGGCAAACAATCTCAACATTACCCCGCTTCCTGTAATCCCTATGACAGACCACCACAACGCCCTTCCCGGATCGCGCACACAGTCCGAGTTCCAACAGGCTGATGGGCGCGTCCGTGGCAGGGCCGAAGTACACCACGACCATGTCCGCACGCTCCTGCATGTCCAGTTCCCAGTCCACCTGCTCCCGGAACGGTGCAAATGTCACATCCTCCTTCCATGAGCTGTCCCAGTCGGGTCTGAGCGGGTTGAACACGGTCACAGGAAGGTGCGAGATGGCGTCGGTCAGCGTCTCGCGCCAATCTGGGCCGGATGTCCTGCTTGTTGTACCTGCGAGGAAAACTAATCTGCGGCCGGTGATTTCAGGACGAAACGGCGCTTGCACCAGCTGCGCTTTTCGGTTGTGTGGTGATTCCATCCTCCGCGTTTGAAAGCTGAAGTACCGGGCTTTCAGGTTGGTCTAGAGCGATCGAGGAGCTAGCATGAGCGCGAGCTGAGTATGGTTGCTCTTAGTCGGAGACTCGGAGATGACTGCGAGAGCTCGATCTTCTCCCAAACGGTGAAAAATCCGCCTTGTGCTACTGCACGTGTGACGGCGAATGCCAATAGAATTACAGCTGAGAAGTTCGGCAGCGCCTCAATTGGTCAGGCCGACTCAGGCCCGCCTCTCGAGCGACAGAGAGCTGTGAGTGTCCGGCGGGTATGACACGTCACGCTTGCAACTTCTTGAAAGCCTGTCTGACATTCGGACGCCGCCTGGTATTGGCCGCTCCTGACATCCGTGGATCTGTTCTGTGACCTCTGATTTTGAACCATTACCGACCGGATTCGCGGATAGGCAACTCCCTTGACGCCAACTGGCAGTACAATTCGGCCCCAAGTTCTGACGGCGGTCTTGCAAGTATGAGGATCAATGTTTACATTATCCTGTGGCCCTGACTAGCTAGATCCGTACAGGTACAGCAGCCTACAGTACTCTCCAAACCGGATAAACCAGAGGATAAAACAATTACTTGTTCCCCGTCCGCCTCCTTAACCTCTCCAGTAATCCATTCAACCTTCCTTTCAACCTCCCCGTAAGCGCGCCAAGCCCAACCTCAGGCCCCTCATCAGCCGCCACAAATCGCCGTACAATGATGTTAAACATGCCTCCGAAAGCAAGGGCAATCGCCGTGGACGTAAAGATGATCACATTATAGGGCATACTGAAGTCGGGGGTGGGTAGGCTGCACAAAAGCGAGGTTGTGCGTAGAGTGTAGACGGCAGACCTGCCGCCGGCTGCGTCCTTGTCGGCGTTAGAGTTGAGAATCGTGATGACGGCGGCGGCGACGTCAAAGCCGCGGTTGGCGTCGGGAGGGTACTCGGTGTAGCGGAGGATGGACTTCTCAAAGTCGTACGTCAAAAAGACGGTCGAGGCGGCGGGAACGCGCATCCGCACTTCTAGCTGAGTGCCCCGCGCGCGGTCTAGCGCGGGACGGTACGAGACTTGCTGGATGAGGGATGCGTTGTGGGCCGCGTTGTGGCCCGCGATGCGCGCCTCCATCGTGTGCAGGTAGATGCGCATGAACCACGGCAGGGTCTCCATGTAGACAAACTCAACTTCTCTGTCTGGGCTCGGGTTGCGTAAGATCGTTTGTACCCCACCGCGCTCCTGTCCATGGCCCGTGAAGCTGCGTTCGGCGTACAGGAGCGGTGTCTCGGGTTGGAGTACGCCGACTGCGCCTGGAGAGGTTTGAGCTGCGTCGTCGTCGCTCGGAGGTGTGACGACCATTTCAAAGTCGGCTGTGGGAGGGATGTCGAAGCAGCGCGAGTTGCGATCAGGGTTCTTCTTTTCGACCACGCCATCGGAAATGTAGACAGTGCGAGAATCTGGGATCTGAAGGCACACCGGCGGGTTGGTAGGATCCATCAGGGGACATGTGCCTTTGATGGTCTTGCCAAAGACCTGAGAGAGCGACCAGTCCTGGTTGGCTTTGTAATCTGCGGGAAAACATGTGTCATGCGAGTGATATGGCTTGGAGGTGTCGCAGGGCAGCTCATGGCCCGGCGGAGGCCTGGGAATGGGATTGTCTAACACTTTGGTGAGCATATCAGGCTGAAAGGAGAGGAAGGAATCGGGGCCTACCCCTTGGTCGCTTAGACCGCTCAATGTCGAGCACCATGTCAATGGTTTGCTCGATCTGCAGGACGCACTCCCCGCCCGAGGGGCATATTGGGCGGATATCAATGGCCATGCTCTGCCACGACGCATCAAACAGCTTATGGCCGTCAAGCAACGTCGCGATTCCCGCCTTGCCCTTGCACGGCAGGAGCTTCAGAAAAGGGGTCAGATTTTCTGTGCAAACAACCTCGTGTGGCAGCACGCCGTAAAGCAAATGCATGTTCGTGACTGTCGAGTTCGGGTGGTCGCCTTCAGGCTGGAAAGACATGACCGGCCTCGTCGTCCTTGTGGCATCAATGAAGTTGAGAGAAGCGCAAAACAGGCCCGAGAGGGCGTTGGTGAGGATCAGCCATTTATGGTCGGCTCTATCCCGTCTGTCAGCAGGATCCAAGATGTGGTGGAGGCAGATCTGGAGGGGGTTATCTTCACTCTTCGTCCGTGTCGGCCTCGAGCCACGCCCACAACTCGACACCGGTCCCGCCTTCGCGGGCGCCATCCCACGGCCTTGCGCCCCAGCTCTCGGCATCCCACCTTCCCAGGCTGAACCTCAAATGCAGCTCGCGCGTGCCGGCATGTTGCAGGATTTGAGCGAGCGAGCGTGGAAACAAGCGGAAGTTTCGCGCCTCGAATTCGGAGAATGTCGTGTTGGATCGGAAGTTGAAGCTGGCTAGGAGTGCTGACAGAGGCAGCGGCCGCAGAACAAGCTGCTCATGGTAGTCGGACGAGCTAGACGATGGGTGGACAGAAGACACAGAGAGTGATAGTAACGAAAGGAAAATCAAGGAAAAGAGTTGACGCATCTTTCTCTCTCACCGCGGTCTGGCCATTGCACATGGAACCGCAAGTGGAGGAAACAATGTGTTCAGACTTCAGAGACCACGCCGACTCAACTCCTGGCTTGGCGGTCCCGGAAGGTTGCAATGCGCAGCGCAGCGATTGCGGCAGGGGCAAGGTAAAGGGGCCAGTGTCCGCCGCCATTGGACGATGAGGAGTCGCGGACCCACTTCCCCAACGCCCTGATTGCAGCCTTGCACTCCACTGACGATAACTTCAGCGCGGCTGGGCGATTGGCGCTTTACCATCGAAATTTCACTTCTTCAAGCGCATTCCTATTCGGTTGCAGACCGAACCATATCAACTCCCTTTGCACAGGATACCTGATACCAGACAAAGTTCCATCATGGCTGCCGAGCAAAGGAAGCTGCTAGGTAAGTTCACAGTCTAATACACCTTGCGCAATCCATTCATTCGGCAGCTAACGCCCAAGCGCAGAGCAGCTCATGGGCGGGGGCATGGCCTCGCGCAGCGCCCAGTTGCCCATCACCGATCCCAAAGTCTGCCGCTCCTACCTCGTCGGCACCTGCCCGCACGACCTCTTCACCAACACCAAGGCCGACCTGGGCGCCTGCCCGCGCGTGCACTCCGAGGCTCTCAAAGCCGAGTACGAGGGCCTTTCCGAAAGCGAAAAGAAAAAGCTCGGCTTCGAATACGACTACATGCGCGATCTCCAGAACCGCATCGACGCATGCAACCGCAACATCGACACTTTACAGCGGCGACTCGAGAAGACGCCCGACGAGGTGCGGCAGACCAATGCCCTCCTCAAAGCCATCTCAGACTTGGGCACGACCATCGCCAACGGGCTGCTCGAGGTCGAGATTCTGGGCGAAATGGGCGAGGTCGGGCGGGCGTACGACGAGTACTACAAGGTGCGGCACGCGCAGGCGGCCAAGGCGGAGCGCGAGAAGGAGCTAAAGGCGCTGTCTGAGACCTCCGGACCTTCGGGCCACCAGAAGCTGCAGGTCTGCGACGTCTGCGGCGCGTATCTCAGTCGTCTCGACAACGACCGCCGTTTGGCCGATCATTTCTTTGGCAAGATGCACCTCGGCTTCGCGCAGATGCGCAAGGCCTACGATGCTTTCCCCAAGGAGATGCGCGGGCGCCAGCGGCCGCCTATGCAGATGGCCGGTGCGGATGAGGATATGGGCGGTACGCCAACAGGGCCTGGTGGCGGCTATGGCGACGGCGGCTGGGGCAAGGGGCCCCGAGGGCCGAGAAGCGGTGGAGGCTTTCGCCCGCGTGGGCCAAGGCGCGGATGGTAGAGGTTTGCTGAGACTGTACGAATATCATGTTGTGGAACTTGCATTGGCAGGGCGTTGGGCGTTTTGGTCACAACGGGGAAAGGCGATATCACAAACTGGCACACAGTTCGGTATTAGAAGCGTATGCACCGCAGGATGCTCTCAGTCTAGGTTTTGTTCAGCTGCACGTTTTGGCTGTAAAGCTATCAAATGTCTGCATATACATCACTGATAATCCGTCAGAATCTCGCCCAGCACAACAGTGTCCAGGTTCTATAATATCAATGATTTTATCCCAGATCCTCGGATGTTAGTCATATGTGTTGTGGCATAACCGGCCCCAAAACTTGTCGTTTAATCGATACTATAAAAGGCGATAGATTTAAGCGCAAATAATAGGCGTCCATGGTGTCGCCTGTTGCGCATAATAGCCACCTCCACTTCCAATCCGCCAGGATCAGTAAAGCGACTGGCTACCTAGATCCAACGCAAGCGGCGGCTCAGGACGGCGGCGACTTGCTGTCCGCGGCAGCCTGGACTTCCTCATCCCACCTCCCAACTGGTGATGCTAGCGGGAAGTCTGCGGCAGCACTGCTCGGCTTAGCTGCCCAGGCGGTATCGACCTTCTTTGGTGCAGTACTTCCCGGCAGCGCAGGGAAGTCTTCCGCCTTCAAGTCCACTTTCTTCGGGGCGAGCTGCCCCGGGCCCCCCGTGCGGATCTGCTGCCGTTCGATAGCGTCTCGAGCATGATCATGCTCACCATCACGGTCCGAATACTCAAACAGCCCGCGCCCGCCCCTTCCACCTCTCCCACCTCTCCCCGCTCGGCCCCGTCCACCCCTCCCCCTCCCCCCAAAACCATCAGCGTCATCCCCGGCCCCGTCAGAGCCCGCAAACCGACTCCCTCCCAGCCCCGACCCCTGAGACTGAGGCGACCTGTTCCTCCTAACCCCTCCAAACGCGCCCCTAAAGGCCGCAAACCGCCTCCCCTCATCTCCCTGCCCGTCTGCCTTACCCTCATCCCACCCGCCCTCTTTCATACTCATAGCCTTGAGCTTGCGCTCACGATTCTTAGCCCTCTCCTCATCAAGCCGGCGCTTCTCTTCGTCGGCGATTTTGCGCCGCGCGGCCTCCTCGGCGCGCCGCTTGCGCGCCTCCTCCATGCCCCGCGCGTACGCCACGGCGTGCTCGCTCTCATCGCGCTGCGCCTCCTCGAACCGCCGCGTCTTTTCTGCAGCTAGCAGCCGCATCCTCTCCATCCGCGCCGCAAGCTCCTCCTCTGTCAGTTTTGTTCGCGGGTTTGCGCCCGAGTTGAGCCGCGCGGCGGATACGGCCGAGGCTGTGTTCTTTGACGGTTCGCGGGGCGCGTTGCTGGGGGGTTTGTTGTTGTTGTTGTTGTTACTACTGTTGTTGTTACCGGTGGCGGCGGTTGCGAGGGCCGGGGTTGGGGTCGAGGTTCGCGAGGGAGTTGTTGAGCTGGCGGCCTCCGAGGCCGGGGAGGTGTCGGTGACATTCAGTTTGGGTAAGGGCTTGTGGTTGGCACTGGTGTTGTTTTGGTTGTTACTGCTGGTGTTTGAAGAGTGCCGCGGCTTGTCCTGCTGCCGCGGGGCATGTCTTGATTGTGCTAGCGACGACTTGGGTGCTTGCGCTGGTGGAATAGCCGTGCTCGCCGGCGGTTCGCTAAGGGCTGGAGGGGTAGGTTCCTGTTGGGTCGATGCATCCTGTCCTGGCGTTTTGATGCCGGTAGGAATACTTGTCGCCTCGTAATCCACCGGTTCAATGTCGTCGGAGAAAAGGTCGTCGTCGGTGCGCCCGCCGAACTGGTCGTGATCCATGGCTGAATAGTGTTAGTGCTCGAAGTATACAGCAACGAACGCAGTGTATACTGGTGGGGAGGAAGCGATGTCAGCCAGGAGCGATATGTAAGGATAAAAGCCGAGGTTGAGCAAAAGGGTGCGAATGCTGTTGGCCGCTGCGTGCAAGTCTGCGGCGGAAGTGGGGAAAGTCAGCCTTGCGCTTCATCCCCACGAGCAGGAAGGAGTTGCGATCGGTTTGGCGGGGTAGACAGCTGTCCGCCAGCTGTTCACTTGTTCTCCCTGTAACACCACTGCAGAGCTGAGGGCATCGTCGGGCAGAAATCTCAAAAAATGGAAAAGGGGTTGCTGGGCTGATTCTGTCATTGTCCGGTCTGTTCGTCCTTGTCCCATTGTCTCTCTGCTTCTGAACATCGGGCGATTCGGCGAACAACTCAAAAGTACTCCCACTTAGCACCATGAGCTTGATTACTGACAATCTTGAACAGTTTGCACTCTTGCTGTATAAATAAGCCGGTGTCAATGCCAACAATATGTCATGTTCTTAACTGACTTGGACGAAACAGTATTGCACATCGCACCTCTGACCCACACAGCAGCGATGACCCAGCCTGAGTTCCGGTACCGTAGTCCGACTTCGTTCACGTACAGGTGCGACCTCTACGGAGGACGGGACCCAGATCAAGATCCACACTCCGAGGAACACTCCATTATGAAGCTCGTGCTTGGCAAGCTTGGCATTGGCCTTGCGGCGGCCTTGCTGATGTGGGTTTCCATTGTTCTCGTCCAACTCACCTGCTTTTTCGTTATCGACATCATTTTCTTCATCCTCCGGCTCGCTCTCGAGGGCTCTGTCGGGTTGATGATTTTGCTAATCCTCTGGTGGGTTTGGCTTGAGTATGTTGAGCTTGACCCTCTAAGGCTGAGGCCGATAGCTCTCTTCGAGGAGTCTGGGGTGGTAGATTTCATCAGATAGATGGGAAACACGTCGAGTAAGGTTGGCAGTCCCTCTTCATCCCCACAATAGATTGAGATTCATTCTTTGCCATCGTCCATACACTTAGAGTTCAATTTTCCATCATCGAGCACCTTGTAAAATCTGGTAAGCGCAATGCTGGATGCATTCCTCCATGGGCCGTGAGTCGTGCATGTTACCGTCGTTACCGATCTGAGGGTCCGGCCACTTTGATAGGCCAGGAAGTCTTGGCATCGCAGCACACTAAATGTCTTGGCAACGCCTGACAGCCCGTAGATCAGGAACCAAACTTCGATGTCGAACACGCCCACAAATTGTCCACCTCCTGAATGCGCTAATCACCGAAATGGTGGAAACAGCTCAATCTGGACCTTCGTATGTCTAGTGTGTTTCAGTGTTTCAAAATTGAGAGCATGATCCGCCATTCACTGTCCAGAGATGCCATTGAGGGCGTTTGGGAAGCCTTCCAGGTGGTTTCCCCGTTCCCACAAGAGCCAGGAACGCGGCGAAACAACCCAGTTGGGAGTGGGAACAGGCCATGCCATGGAGTTCAGTCGAGGATCCAACAATGGGACGGCGACATGTTATTGGCTTATTGTTCAAGCACAAGTCGAAACAAGTAACAATAATTTCTTTGATCTTCACCATTCACAATGATGGCGAATGACCTTCGGTGACACATCCCAGCTGTTCAATACGGTTGTTCACACCGTAGAATCGTTTCTTAGGGTATATCAACCCCAGGCCTTGGCCACTTTCCTTTACACCATTTCTCATCCCAACAAGACCTCTCTTTCTTAACGAAAAGTCCGCTGGCGGAAACAAAAACAAATACTCTTCCACAAGCGTGATTGATTCACTTCTGACCTGGAGTCTGAACAACACTTTCCCAAACTTTACACTCCTTCGAATTTTCAATAAACTTACAGCCAACCGTCATGACCACCATGACCACCAAGTCCATCGGGGCCGCCCTGGCCCTCCTCCTGGGCGCCGCCAATGGCCATCTGATCATGAACACGCCGACCCCGTACAACCTTCACGGGACCGCTAAACTCCTCCAAGTCGATCCCCTCGGCGCGAGACTGCCCTTTCCTTGCCAGGGCGCAACCGAAGTTGTTTCGGTAACCCCACTCACAGCCGGCAGCTCACAGCTCGTCAAGTTCACCGGCGGCGCCCAGCATGGCGGCGGATCCTGCCAGTTCGCTCTGACGTACGACTACCCGCCCCCGGCCGACGTGTCGAAGTGGAAAACCATCTACACCATCATCGGCGGATGCCCCGTCTCTGCAGCCGGCAACCTTCCAGTTACCGGCACCGACCAGGACGGACGCGCCGACTCGGTTCAGTGCGGCAACGATTCTGGCACCGAGTGCATTCGCCAGTTCGAGATTCCCGTCCCCAAGGACATTCCCAACGGCAATGCTACCTTTGCTTGGACGTGGTTCAACAAGATTGGCAATCGCGAGATGTACATGAACTGCGCACCTGTGACCATCACGGGCGGTTCGGACGACCAGAGCTTCTTCAACGAGCTGCCGACAATGTTCACCGCGAATATCGCCGGAGCCTGCACCACCAACAACGGGGTGCTGAATATCCCCAACCCAGGGAAGTACGGCATGGTGCTCGAGCAGCCCGCGGCAGATAGCGAGGGCACTTGCGCCAAGGCGTCCGGCATCCCGACTTTCGAGAATGGTGGCGGCAGCGGCGGCGGCGGTAATGGTACCGTCAGCACCTCTGTCGTCTCAGCACCGCAGCAATCCCAGACTGCGAGTGCGACCGCGACCGCGACCGCGACCGCGACCGCGACCGCGACCGCGACGGTCAACCCTCCCAACCCAACTACCACGGCCGAGTCCGATTCGGCTTGTCCCGCACCCAGCGCGACGTCTGCTTCATCCGGATCTGTCAGCAAGACGACTGCTGTAGGCAGTGCCCAGCCAACTTCTGCGTCATCCGGGTTCGTCACCAAGACGACCGCTGCTGGAGGCGGTGGCGGCGCCCAGCCAACATCTGTTGCGTCCTCGACGATCCCGAGACCCACGAATGGTACCGGTACCGGTACCGGTTCCGGCTCAGGTTCCGGGTCATCTGGCGGCGCACAGGCTTGCTCCGCAAATGGGGCCATTGTCTGCTTCAGCGAGACCTCCTTTGGGCTCTGCTCCAACGGTCTCGCGACTCCACAGCAGGTAGCAGCCGGCACAGTCTGCATCGATGGAACGATCGCCCATGCGAGCGCCAAGTTTAGGCGCTGGAAGATGTGGTAAACAGGCCATCGTGCACTTGCACTGATCGTTGAGCGGCGGTGATTTTTTCTTCTAGACTGTAAATAAGAGTGTTTTCTTTTTCTTTTCCTTTTCTACTATCTTAGAGTAGACCAAGAATACCCACATGTAAATACTATCTTAGTGAAACTCAAAAGCATCCCTACCATTATGTATTCCACGTGCAAGTGCCGCCGTTTTTGGCATGCAAGTGATGGTACTCTGTTGAACAAGCTCAGTTTGCCTCTTCAGAGGCGCGACAGGGTCGGGGAAGGTCTGGTCGTCGCGGAGGGCAGAAACAGATCTGGTGTGTGTGAGCGGCTCGGCGGATCAGGCTGGCCGCTAGTGTTCTGAAGCTGTTTGGCGCTGAAGTGTCTGCCGAGCTCTCCGCCGTCCCAGCAATCTTTGAGAACGGATCGCTTTGCCGGCCGTGACCGCACAGAATGACAGGCCGCAAGCCATACTCCGTACATCCTTCCATATGCGGGGACGCGAGATCGTCTCAATCAAAACGGCGAGAACGACTGCATCGCTGCGGGCAGCGGACTGCATTTTTGAACCAGGCCTCCCCAAAACTGTTCAAGCCCCAAGCCCATACTGTCTGTCTCGGCGGCACGGTAGTTGCGCGATAGAGTCGTTGATGCGAACTTGTTCCTCTGGTGCGTTTATTGCCGCGCGTCAATTTGACCGGCTGAGGGATGACGCGCTACCGGTATCCGGCATGTATTCAATTAACGCAGCTTGCAAGTAAACTTTATTTCTGACCCACAGAGTCAGTGGCACAGACTCGGGCATCTAAACCTAATTTAAACTCCTAGAGAAAAGAATGTAAAAATTTGACATCCCCGTCCCTTCCACGTTCCATGAACTAGACACTCGAAATATGTGGATTTCGGAGTATTTTGGTTCTGGATGGATTTCGCGACACTGATCCAACTTCCACTCGCAGAAACGCAGTGCACCTTCCAGGCCTGCAGCGGTACTAATCAGGCAGATGGCACCCCGTCGCTCCCCTCTGCTTGCACTTCCTCTCGAGCTGCTGGGTGAAATATGCAGCTGGCTTTGCACGCACTGTCTGTGCAAGCATGCGCGCTCAAAAAGTCGATTTTCTCCGTATTTGCCGATTTGTTCCGGCGGGAGAGACGCTGCCCAGAGAGCAAGCTGACCTTCTCAGTTTCAGCCAAGCATGCAAGGCTCTACACCAGGTGGCAGAGCCTTTCTTATATCACTACGTTCATGTTACTCAGAGGCACGATATATACGCCGTCATCCGGACCCTCTTGCAGCGACCTGACCTGCGGCTGAAGGTGTTCAATCTGGAGATTGAACATTTTAGCTGGCTGCCCGAGCCGAACTCCGAGTCGGATTTGCCGCCCTTTCTATTCGATGCAGTGCAAAGAGAGTTGGACCACCGGGATCAAACGGCTGTCGCGGAATTTAGCGAGACTGACGTGCAGGAGTTGGCCACTCGTGGAGCTCTGGTCTCACTCCTGCTGGAGCTCACACCGAGACTCGAAGATTTTCACTTTCGCCTGCCTGACACGGATAGGGGTTTGGATATCCACCTTCGACCCATTCATCCCCTTGAGCTGCCACCGCCAGATGATTGGCTGTCCTCTCGATGGTTACTATCCCGTCGGATTCGAAACTTCCCTACGAGTCGCTCAAGAGGCTGGTCTTCAGCTGCTGGGAAACTGATACCACACTTGACCGAGTTGCGCCCATCCTAAAGCTGGCATCTAATCTGAAAATCTTACACTGCCACTCTTACACTCAGACCAGCGATCTTTTCAGCGCCTATCTAGGCCGTGAAACCCCGGCCGCACCGCCTCCACTATGGCATCTCACCGAATTAGTCCTTGTGGATTCCCACATGGCGGCTAGTTCGTTGAGAAATCTCCTGAACGCAGTAGGGCCTAACCTGTCCAAGGTCAGAATCCGACGATGTGCGGACCCGCACACTGTCTTCAGTCCAGATGAGGTGGTCAAGGTCGGTGACGTCGTTACCGTGCTTCGCCCGTGGAGCCACGTGCTCAGAGAGTTAAGGTTTTCCGTGTTCTGCGAGAATGGTGACGAGTACGCAGTGGTTCTCTCAACCACCTTGCGAAACGTGTCGTCATTGCGAGATTTCAGCGCGCTTGAAGTCTTAGTGACAAGGGCGGAATACTTCGGCTTCTATGGAAGAGAAGTGCGAGACGAAGAGGATGCGTTGGTATCGAGCCTTCCGCCTTCCCTGCGGTACCTTAGGCTTTACGCCAACGCCAACTCGCTCAACTTTCTCCCCTCTGCGCTATGGGACTTGTCCGAGGCTTCGAAGAGAGGCCAGTTCAAACATCTTGACCCCATTGAGATTGGTTATGTAGGCGTTGACGAACTCGCGGATGAGCCGGGGTCAGAAGCGGAAATTTTCTATGATCTCAACGGAGTGTGGTGGGGCCTCGATTCTTGGACATTCAGTGTCAATCGCTATTCATTTTGGGAAGATTGGCATTATTCGATATTTATGTAACTGATTTCTTTCAATCCCCTTCTTCTAGTGCGTCGTACAAACTGCACAGTGCAAGCTGATAGCATACTAGTCCTCTACAATGTTCAACCTGAAGTTTTGGTTCATACAAAGTTCCGCTGCGCCTGCTTACAATGACGCGTACATGTAGTTCTGTGGCTGTGTTTTGGCCCCTTATATCCTGTTAGAGGTTCTTGTTGTTTTATACCTGCTTGGCGTAGTGGAGAGAGCGCCCCTTTTAGCCCCCAAAATCACAGCATTGTCAGCAACCAGATTAGCCTGGGCACAAAGAGGATTCCTTACCTTGTCGAGTTCTCCTCAGACTATCCTCAACATGAGCATGCTTACGAATATCCGGTAACAACTGGGTGCCGCATGAGCCTCGTCAACGCAATGTGTCTGGCTGAAAGTTATGGAATCACCAGTTTCGTCGGCTGGAGCCAGTCAACACCTGAAAGGGGGTATACGCCCTTAAATACCTTCACCACTGCTCACCACAACCAAGTTCGATATGGCTCTTCACCAGCTGCCCTTCGTTCCTCCTTCTTCGACTGCACTCACAGTAGAAGCAGCACCCGCAGCATCTCGAAACCATGATCGCAACCTCGCAGCAATGGGCCCTCTGGTCTTGCGCTCTGCTCCTTGTATCCCCGACCGGAGCCTTCTTGCCCCCTATCCACCCACGCCAACTTGATCCCACCACCTTCAACTGGTCCGCCATAACCCCAACGGCCGACCTCCGATACCACCCGTGCTTCGACAGCTTCAAATGCGCCCGCCTGCGCGTGCCGCTGGACTGGTCCGGCACCGCCCAAAATCTCACCTCCGTCACCAGAAAGTGGCGCAGAGATGAGGACGGGGGCGCGTACGCGGCCATAGCCATCACCGTCCTCCCAGCCGTGGTGCCGCCCACGGACCCGTCCTATGCGGGGCCCATCCTCATCAACCCGGGCGGACCGGGCGGTGCGGGCACCGACATGGCGCTGGCGTACGGGAAGGCCCTGCAGCAGCTCGTTGACACGCCGGGGGAGAGGCACTTTGATATCCTGGGCTTTGACCCGCGCGGCACGGGCAAGAGCACCCCCAGCGCCATGTGTTATCCCAGCGAGTTTGACAGGGCGATTGGGGCGTTGCAGCTGGCGTCGTTCCCCTCGGTGAGCACGGAGATCGGGTTGATGACGCAGTTTGAGTATCTTCGAGGGGAGGGGCAGTTGTGCAAGTCGAACGAGGGGAATGGGGACATCTTCCGGTATATGTCTACCGCGTCGGTCGCGAGGGATATGTTGGAGATTGTGGAGAGGTCTGCTGTGTTGAATGGTAATGGGACGAGGGTTGGAAGGCGTTGCGCTGAGAAGCCAAGGCTGCAGTACATTGGTTTCTCGTACGGCACGTTCCTAGGAAATACCTTTGCGTCGATGTTCCCTGATAGGGTCGGGAGAATGGTGGTGGATGGAATTGTCGACGCCGATGACTACATTGCTGGGGTGAGTGCTAATTGTCAGGGGTGTATTCGGGCATACCAGATAAGCTAACTTCTCGGTGTGCCAGATCTTCTCTAAGAATGCGGTCGATGCTGAGAAAGCCATTGATGTTTTCTACCAGACCTGCTTCGACGCTGGCGAGCTCTGCCCACTTCGACAGACGCAAGATGGAAGCGCATCCGACATCAGACAGCGCGTGGACAGCTTCCTCCGATCGATCGAGGAATCTCCCATCTCTGTTGTGCAAAACGGCGGCGTCAATCTGATAACAGCATTCTTCGTCCGAGAGATGATCCGCACGGCCCTGTACAACCCCATCCGGGTCTATGAGACCCTGGCGAAAACTCTCGCCGGCATCCTGGCAGGGAACTACACGGGACTATTCAGCCCCAACACCCAAGAGGCCCTTTGCCAGCAGGTCCCCGAGACCTCGCCGCCTCAGACGTACACCTGGGCGAGAGAGGCCACGTCCGGCGTCATCTGCGGCGATTCGTACGCCTTGGCTGGCGATCGTAATGTCTCCTGGGCGCGCAGTCTGGCCGCGCGTGTCATTGCGCAGTCCCCAACCACAAGCGATGGATGGCTGCGCGTTGCCTTGGGCTGCGCAGGATGGGACATTTCTCCTGACTACGTGTTCCACGGTCCCTTTGGCAGTCCGGCGCCGGGCAACAAAAGCGCGCCGGCCGCTCCATTGCTGATTCTTTCCACCGAGGTGGACCACGCAACGCCGCTGGAAAACGCTTTCACGCTCTCACGGTTTCACAAGGGATCCTCGGTTGTGGTGCAGGAAGGGATTGGGCACTGCGCCCTCCTGTCATCGACGAGCAACTGCACGTCCGGCATCGTCCGTGAATACTTCCGTACCGGAACGGTACCTGCCAATGGTACATTTTGTGCGTCAGACTGTAGGCCGGAGATTCCTTTCAAGGGGTGCCCAGGCCTTCCGGGCTCTGCCTAGGGAACCAGGATGTTTTTTCCCAAGGGGTCCAGTTTCGGAACATCTAGGACCCAGGGGTGGTAGTTTGAAGGGATCGGGTTCTGGAATCGCTTTCAATTCTAAGCATACAGACCACACTCAGCAGTGTGAAGCTGTGCCGTGGTTGGCGTATGTCCTGTATGTACTTTAAGATATAGATTGATGCCTGTGTCATCCGAGTTATAGACAACAGCAATACTTTGGAGTAGCAGCGGAACTGCAAGTTGCCAGCTTTGTGTACCGGTCAGGACAATGAATCAACATATGATGTGGGCTGGCGGTTCAGTTCCCTAGTTGCATTGTAAAAAGGGGTCTCCTATTCGAGCTGCTGCTGCCAAGGTTGCCGCCGTCGGAAGGAAGTCCGAACGACTGAGAATTGCAGACCGTGTGTGAATTTGCTCCTGCAACCTTATTGTCCTTCCCTCAGGCGCGTTATGGCCTTCTTGATAGAGGTTCTACCCAATCCTCATCTGGAAAGGGAGCCAACAGGCCTAGCGATACCGCCGAGAGCGCCCGTCTCGAGAAGTCGTTGCAAGATCTCCAAATCCCCAAGCGCCTCTACTGGTGTCTGGAGGGGATCGACCGCCTTCGCCTCGATGGCCTTTGCAAACGCGGCAACCTCGGGCTTGACAGCCGAGTCGTACGGGAACTCCTCGATCTTGTCGACCTTTTCACTGCTTCCCTCTGCTTTCCTCGAAACAGTTTTGACCTTGGTAGGCTCCCACACAACAGAGCCGTTTGTCGTCACGATCTCAACTTCCAGCCCAGACTTGAACTCAGTTCCAAACGACATTGCAACCATCCCACTTTTGCCGCCCTTCGTGAGGGCCACCGCGTGGACGGTATCGACCGGGGGCAGCGCCTTATCGAGGAGCGTGCTGAACCCTACAAGCTGCTTAACCTCGTCGCCCGCTGCGCTTAGAAGGAGGCGCAGCGCGGCTACGAAGTGCACGCCGCCGTCCAGAAGGAACCCACCCTGGTGAGAGGGAGTCTTTCGCCCTGTCACGCAGAATCGTCAGTCACCTCGTATCAGACACGGCTAGGCGAAGGGAGCAAGGGTGGCATACACTCAGTGTTGAGGTACTTGTTGTCTGGCGACATGGCGCCATATCTCTGCAACCGGAAGGTCGTCAAGCTGCCGCCAATCTCCGTCACCCGCTCGGCTGCATATTGCAGCGACTCCATGTAGCGAAAATTCTCAGCCACAGCCCAGAGGGGCTTGTTGGCTCCGAGCGCATCGTAGAATGCTAACAGGTCCTGGGCACCTTTGATGTCATCGGCGATCGGCTTCTCAGAGAGGACGTGCTTCCCCGCTTTGAGGGCCTTCTTGACCACGCCGGGCTGGTTGAGAATGGGCAGGGCAATCACCACGGCGGAGATGTCCTCCCTGGCCAGAAGGTCATCTAGTGACTTGTTCTCAGTGGCAGGGCTATCGTAGTAGACAGACACGGAGGAGGGGTCCTTGGATGCAGCAGCCAGCGCCTCGGCCGATTTCTGAGAGCGTGAGTAGACAGCTTTCAGAGAGAGGGTGGGGCAAGCCTCGATGGCGGGGAGGTGCTCTGATGACGCTGTTAGTAAACCAGTTGACCGTCACTGTACTGAGAGGTAGGATGTGTGACTTGCCCCCCTTCGCGAAGATGCCCGCTCCGAGCAATGCGATTCCAGTCATCTTGTGGCTTGATGTTTCTTTGGGACAAATGACGCGTAAGAGATGAGTCGAAGCAGGTGGTGCTTATAAAGCAGGACGCTCACAGGAGGTGGAGAAGTCTCTTGAGGAGAATCGGGCCGTGGCTGCCATCGCTATGGAATGATCCATTCCATTGTGGATATCATGCGGGGGCTTGTGGTTGTGCAGTCGATGAGTCTAAGCAGCCGGTAACAGCCGTTGGCACCCGGCACCAATAACTGCTCAAGTGAACGAAGTGAAGACATTCAGATAGGCCAACAACGCTTGAGGCAGAAACGGGGTATTGGTGCCCGGTAGGAAGAGTAAACCGAGTCACTAGTGAGAAGATCTTGAAAGAGATTATCTTTGAGATGAACCCAGCCACCCAGGTGTTCGTTTGTGCTCGTACGGCTCAGATGGCGGGTAATGGAGGTGGTCGGTCGCACTTGCATTCATGATTCAAACAACCACAAATTCATCAAAGTCGACTGCTGTTGTAAATACCACCCCTGGGCACAGGCCACGAAGTGGCCTGTGACGTCCGAAATTACTGCTCCTACGCGCCCACCAGGATACGGAAATTGGCTCTAGAGAGCTCCTGAGATTTTTAGGATGACTTTGAACAACAAAACACCAAGAATTCCATCGCCACCGGGCAATTCGGCCTATATTTGTGCCTCACTACTGTATTTCCAACAATTGCTTGAGTCCTCAACAGAGAATCAGCCACGGGGTGAGCACATCAAAAATTCACAATGAAATCACACTGCAGGAAACCTGATTGAACTTCTTGATTTGAACTTCTTGCTAACTGACGCGATTTTGTTCCTATCAACCACCTTATCTCACACACTTTCCTTTCATTTAGCTTTCGAAGAAACTCGCCTGGGCTGTTCCCCAATCTTGTCACCTTGTGTTTGTTGTCTTGGCCAACTCGACTTACCTGAGCCAAGCTTTTTCATCGCCCCAAACGTCAAGCCTTTCCTCGATTCCGACCGACCCAGCAAGATACTCTTCTCCTCGTAGCTTGGGCTCGTTGCGTGACACGACCATTTCTCTGCGTCGCTGAGTCGCCTAAAGTGTAGAGAGCGCTGTACGAGGTATGTATGTGTCCTTCTTAATCCCAAGCAGCGCCGTTCCGCAATGGGTCCGCAATTGCTCATCACCCTGTTAGAACATCTGCCGTCACTGCTGGGAATTCGCTTCTGGATTCCTTAGCCGCTCAATTCGAATCTGCAAAGAGCACACGCCCAGGACCGGTGACGGGCAACCTATGGAAATGGACGGCGAAAACCGAAACAATCCCACCCCAGGTTCCAAGCGAAAACAACAACATCAACCATCCAGCCGCTCAGAAGAAGAATCAGAGCTGTCTGGCTCTGATGAAGACCCTCCCAGCAAGCAGGTCATGCTGAGCCCGGGGCCGTTGGCGGGCTACACATTTGGCTTTGACCCTCGCATTAACGTCAATATCAAAGTTGTCGAGGGTGAAGTGGTGAAACTCAACTTTGGGGTTAAAGAAAGGGATTCACGCGTGCTGCGAGGGCCCAAGGAAAAAGTCCCAGCCCTGTGGCGAGATACCTAAGGGGCCCTTGTCCAATTTTGGGACGCAATATATCCCCAGAAGCCGCGAATCCTAGAACGGTGCCAAAGTTGGGAGATACCCGTACTCGAAGAATGGAACGAGGCGCTCAGCCGCAGGGTGGTGGGCGCTTTGCTGTCCGTCGTGTCTCCAACAGTCCGGTTATTCTTGGCGACCAACCCTAGGGGAAGGAAGAACGAGACATACAAGATCATCCTCCTTCCCGGGGCACAGGTTCATGATCTTTCGGCCTATGACAAACGCGTGCTGCTGGACCATTGGCGATGCCTGATCAAGTGGGCCAAAACCGCTGTCATCTCCCAGCTGACCGAGACTGCTGTGCCGCCACTCGATGAGTTCATGACACAATACTTCGAGCGGTTGTTGGAGCCCGGAGATCATGGAGCCGGCGCAGACGACTTCACAGAGTTCTGCAAGCTTTTAAGCAGCATTGCCGAGCCTAGTATTTGGAAGTGGAAAACGCGGGAAGCACGCGCGCAACGTGCCTTGGTACAAACCTGAAGGGCTGAAAAGTTAGAATATGGGTGATTTGGCTCGGGCGACAGAAGTCAGCAGAAGACTGATGCTTCATGGCATTCAGTCATACGAGGACTTGACCACTTGGTTGTTTCGCCAGAGCCTTCAGGACCCCCTGAGGTTCTAGGGGCAATAGCAACGTCACATAACCAACATTTGTGTTCAGAACAGCGTACTGGTGTGAACATGGTCTCTATTCAACCTTGATTGCATCTACAGGGCAACTGAGATGATGATGTAGCCGCAGAGCTTCCGTCGTCTCTACATCTACTGCTAACACCCTTGTATATCGGATCCGTAGGAATCGCACGGGACGTACTTGTGCCACTACCACTCAATACCCGCTCGGAGCTCTTGCAGATATGGTTGTGGTGTTCTCTCTTCCCCTGTCACGCCCCTTCTAGCACTTGCTCAGGAGTCACCTCCCCCTGACATGGGGAACTTGGCCCTCCACCGGCGACCCCAGAGCTGTGTTGCAACCACAGCAAACGCCGCGCCCACAATCACAACAGCCTGGCAACCAAAGCTCAGCGCGGGACCGTTCCGGTGCACCCACGGCATCTGGAAGTACGCCACCGAAAACCCACCCACAACCCGCCCGAAGTTCAGCCACGCGCCTGTGATGTTGGCGTGGTGCGGCAGGCAGTCAAGAAGGTACGCCGACACGGCCGTCATGTTTGCCAGCGTGCAGAAGCAGAGCATGGCCCACCCGAACGCCAGACCGACCCACGACAGATGGCGCTCAATGGTCTGCCCAAATAGGACCAAGCCCGCAGCGCCAACCACAACGGCCAGATATGTCGCCGTGAGACGGCACTCGAATCCGTACCTCGCCATGTGTCGCCTGGCGAGGAAGTCATTGAACCAGTGGCCCCACGCCTCGGCCACGAGCGTGCCAACAATGGGCGCCCAGTAGAGCATGGCCAGGGCGACATGGTCAAACCCGTACCCACCGGCCCTGACGGGCGGCAGCACAAACTGCGAGATGGTGGCCACGACGCCGATCGTCCACATAGTGATGGGCATAACGAAGAGGGCCGTGGGGAGGAAGACATACGGGCGGATGAGCACGGCGCACTGGTCCTTGAAGACAGACCACATGGTAGGCCTGCCGGCGCGCGTCCGGAAGCCCTCGATGCCCAGGAGCAAAGAGACGTGACGCACGAGGGAGAACGGCCTGCGCTGGCCCGAAAACTCTCCCTCCTGGTCCCGCTGCGGCAGGTTCTTCCTGTCAAACAGCGTCTCATCGCCAAAGATGACCACCACGAGCACGCTAAAGGCGTAAAACCCCGCCAACACGGCAAAGTCAGGCCGCCAGCCGATGCGCAGCAGGAGCAGCGACGAGATAAGCGGGCCGAGGTACGGGCCGATCAGGAAGGAGGCGGCCCAGATGTTGACCTTGCGGGCGCGATCCTTGAAGAAGAACATGTCGTGGATTATCGACATGCCAATCACCTGCGGCGGGGCGCCACAGAAGCCCTGCAGGGTTCGCATGGCCGTGAAGGAGGCATAGTCTGGTGCGAACGTGGCGCCGATGGTGAAGGCGAGGGAGAGAAGTTGCGACCAAAAGAGTACGGGGAGTCTGGGACGAGTTGTGTCAGTTACGCTCGCATTTCAGGGGTTGAGCGCAATGCAAGTTCTTCAAGGCTCACCTGCCGAAGCGCTCACAAAGGGGCACCGCGATGAGACCTCCAGGACCCTGCATGAAGATACCGGGACTGACAGAGTGTGCTACCTCCTCGACGCTCATCGCCCTGCGTGCTGTCAGCATCAAAACAATCGATCCTATTTCCAATCCCCACACATCCAGGGTGCTTACCACTCAGGAGCTTGTAGCTCAAACACCGTTGTTCCCCATGTCAACGTCCAGTCAGTGAGCAGACATCCGGGGATCAGAGACAGCAGGACGGCATGCTTCTTCAGCCAAGACCAGTTGAGAGGGTCATCCGGGCTTGTTGACGGCCTAGGTACGAGGTCGGAGCCGTGTACCGTTGGCTCTTTAGGGGGCGGAGAGGAAGAAGTGCTGCGAAGGAAACCCCCTTTCTCAATGACTGCCTCGACGTCGCTGCCGCCTTGGGTAGACATGGTTTTCTGGACGGTAACCGAAGTTTGCTTGACAATGCCTTCATCTATCCTTCGGCTCAGGGACTGTGCAGAGTTAGTGTTGGCCATGGTGTTCGCGCAAACGAGGTCGGCAAGGGCTTAACAGATTCAGAAGCGACAATCGGCCCCATACCGAACCGTCTTGTTTCATTATCTTTATATCACGTCACTACATCCCGTCATCTATCATCTTGAGACCCTTGGCAAACCTTGTATGCTACGCTAAGTCGAGTGGTGAGCTGTCGTGTGCCCGGACGTGGGGACGTCCGTCGGCACCGGGCCTATCCTCGACGACGGCGCCGCTGACCGCCTTCAATTGGCCATCATGTAAGCTGAGACCAACGATCGGGTCCTCAGACTGTCAAATAATGTTGAGCAACCGACTCCGGAGCCCCAACAAGTAGACCGCTTGATGTCTGTGCCAATCATTATTGCATATCTGCGAGAGCTGGGTAGCAACACATGTGCAAAGATTCCATCACTCCCTTGAACAGACCTAGATTCGTGCATCTCAATGCCGCCTGCCAGGTCGACGACAACAAAGCGCATAACGCAATAGCATGTCAAGGAAGTCCAGTGGTCCTGCGATAACGCCATCCAGCAACGCAAAAAAACCTAAGGCAGAGAGGCCCTGGAGGACGCACCCCATGAGAGTTATCGAGCCATGTCCGGTGCTTGGACGACCGGCATCAGACCGGATTGACAACTGACATCCGGCGTAAAATGCGGCAAATCCCTTCAAGCAATAGCAAAACTTACCAAGATCATGCAAGATGCCATGGCATGCGGTGTCATCCCCCAGAAGTTACCGAGCTGTTCCATCTTCGGGCCCTAGTCCGATGTCTCTGCAGAGCCTCACACAAAGGTCACATAACCCCTGAACATGTTTACAAGCTCGGGATCAAACTGAGCAACCCAATCAGGCTCGTTGTCCTGCTTTAGGGTCCTGTCCGATCCGAACTGATGCGTGACTGCCGCCCGGGCCGTTACAGACTCGTTCATGGCCAATGTCTCGTCTGGCTGTTTAGTCGCCATCTTTACAGGCGTTTGTTCAACGAAGAGCGTCGAGCTTTGTTGAGAGGACGCCGGCTTCTCCGCCACGCCTGGCATAGCCTCCGAGAGAGCGGTCTTGTCGGACATTGGGGCACTGCTGGTTTCTGAGAATCTCTTGCAAATTCCCTGGTAAAGGACTTCATCGCTGGCTCCGGACTTGAATGGGGTGGTAGTGGGAATGTGTGCAGTCGTAACCGGTGCTGAGAGCTCTTCATCGAGGGAGAAATCATCATCATCGAAGTAATCATGAGTGCGAGCCCCAGAGCTGGGCGGCCCTGAGGGACGGGCGGTCTCGTTCGGCGTAAGCGTCGCCTTCGGCCAGTTGCTCTGCCCGCGGAGCTCTTTGTGAGCGTGTTTGTGTGCAGTTTGCTGAGGTGCTTTTCTTTCCTTTTCCGGGAGCTGATCGGAATCGTTTGTGCGATTCTTCAGGGCATCAGTATCATCCTTTTCTTCATCTGTGAAGGAAAGATCAATGCAATCAATGTCCGACAAGTCCTCCCAACCGCTTTTTGAGGATATGGCAGGCCGTTCGGACAAAGTCGCGAAGCTTGTCTCAGTTGATGATTTCATCGGCTGTATCTTCCGGCGTTTCGTTTGGCCCAGTGCCCTGGAACTCGGAGCTACCCCTGATTGTTGCTGGCGTACATTAGACTGCCCAATTGCCGCAGCGTAAGTCGCATGCCCGGGGACTGGTTCGTCTGCATTCCTCTTGGGCCGCCGCAAAGGGCGCCTTCGCGGTTTGTCGATGCCCTCCTTGCAGCACCGGTGGGTGCATGGCTTTCCAGATCTGGTTGGAACACCTCCACTGCAAGCATGATTACACCTCCATCTGCCATTGGGCAGTTGTACCGGCTCGCGCATGCTCGTATGCGAACTCTCTTCATCTTCGCCGTCGAAAGATGCGTCGAATTGGAGGTTGGCTTCTTCGCCGTCTTCGTGGCTTTCCGCCGGTGAAAGGTCGAGCAAGTCCTCCACGGGCGGATATTCCTCCTCCATCTCAGTAGTGTCGTTCGCGTGTTGAGACAATGCTCGTTCAGCAGCGAGTAGGTCAGAGTCCTCGATCTCATCACTATTTGGGTAGTCTCGAGGGCTGGTCTTGGTCCGCGGCACTGGCACCAAGTTTCTCTGCGCTGGTGGGGTCAGGAAGGCAGCAGCCGGAATCTTGGGCTCGAGTGTTTGCGATACGATTGTTCCGACTATCTCTTCGCAGCTGAAGTAGCAGGTGACGCAATCGCGGCCATCCCGGAGACCGACCGAGAATTTCAACTCCAGGCCAGATTGCTTGTCCAGTTTTCTCATACTCCCGCGCCAGAAATACACCAAAGTCCCATCATTGGACTCCGCCAGGAATGTCAGGGCTGGCACGCGCTGCAACCAGACCGGTAGTCCTTTGTGATTCAGATAGCGAACTGTGGCTTTCACATCGATGACGACGGGATCCGGAGATCTCGGCTGGATTTTCTTGTCAACCATCACCACGTCCATCGCTAGGCGAGGAAATTGTTCGAGATGACTCTGCAAATTCTTCCCGAACGGGGGTTGGCGGGACATCAGGCGCTCGATCTCGTCATGGGTTTTGTCCGCTAACTCGAGGACAGTTCGGATGTCCTTGCTTGCGAGCTTCCTCATTCCCGCGGGACCAATATTCGGGATCTGGGTGAGTTGCGTGGCACGACCCTCCCAGGACCCGGCAGCGAGTGCCCTCGCCAGCTCAAGCGCGTTTCTCACGCCTACTGAATCGCGGTCATAGCCTTTGCAGTCGATAACGGCGCGAATTAGGCGATTCAACCTTTCAAACACAAGCTTCCTCTCAACCATGAGCTGCCGCCTTACTTTCGCTGCCTCGCTTGAGTCTGGATACTGCACACATCCGAGATGGGCCTGAATCATAAGCGAGATCTTGTGTCGTGTCTGGTTCACCGTTTCTTTGATCGGATACAGAATCAACGGAGACTGGTTGATCTCGCGGAAAAGCGGCCGCTCGGCTGGTTTAAAACGGAACTCTTTGAACTCGCTTGCTTGGGACAAAATCGTAATCTATACGGGGTCAGCAGGTATGCAAAGAGAAGGGATGGAGGCGTCCTGACCAAGGCTTCCATTCCGACGGCGCGCGGAATTTGCAAAAGCAACTTCATGGTGTTGAACTCGACCATGTACTTAGACATGGCAAGCCCATACTCGGTGCATTTGAACATGTTGTTGTGTTCCGTGACGAGCTCCGCTTCTTGCAGCTGTTTGATGTCCCGCTCGCAAATCTCTTCCAGCTTCTCATCTATTTGAGAGAGAGCCGTCGCCCCACCGGTGAGCTGATAGTAGGCTGGATTGCGTCTCAGTCGAACGCTTAGGAAAGTCCCGCCAAGCCATGTCTTGGCCGTCAAGAGGCTGTTGATGGTCCCCAGACATATCTCAGAGTTTAGATGCTCGATGAGGTTGAGATGAAGTGTGCTCTCCAGGATTTCTTGGCCAGACACCATCTTCTCATAACGCTGCTTGTTTGTGGCGCGCGTGAGGATGATAGCCGTCGCACTGTCGTCAAACTGAGGTCGGCCTGCACGACCGAGCATCTGCATGACCTCAAGATCCGAGTATTCTTCCAGCTTTTCATCGGTAAATCCGACAGTCCCTTTCAGCACAACAGTATGGCACGGAAGGTTGATGCCAACAGCCAGTGTTGAGGTGCAACAGATGACGCCGAGCTGACCTTTCAGAAAGTGCTGCTCAATGGTGGCTCGATCCTGCGCGTCGAGACCAGCATGGTGGAATGCGACGCCAAACCTGACAATTTCCTGCAGGTCCCTGTTGACTACTGCAACCCGTCCCGTGGGAACCGGCCACAGCTTGTCGCCCTCTGACCTTCCAGAGGCGTACTCTGCCAACATGGAAGCAGTACTCTCGCATGATTTTCGGGTAAAGCAGAAGACGAGAATTGGTTTCCGCCGCGTGTGCTTGGATATGAGTCCAGGAAGCTTTTGGTCTAAGAATTTATCGAAGATGAAGTCATTGCTGCTGCTGTCAAAGCCGTAGACGAACTTTTGCAATTTGACGGGCCGAAACTCCTCACCGAATGCCTCGCGGTGTGCGGGCAGTTGCTGATTGGTGTGGTTCCGGCCCAGCCATCTCGCTATGTCGTCTGAGTTGGGGACGGTTGCGCTCAACGCTATGAAACGGACGTTGGCTCCAATCGTTTTCATCCGGGATACCACGGCTTCAAGAGTCGCGCCGCGTACGTCCTTGAGGATATGGACCTCGTCAATCAGGAATAGCTCTACCAGTTGAAGAAGCCTCCGGTGATCCTGCCACTTCCGGGTAATCGAGTCCCACTTTTCAGGGGTAGTCACAATGATGGACGCGTCGCTAACTCGCCTCATCTCAGCTTGTGAGGTATCCCCGGTCAGCTCAGCACACTTGAGATTCATGTGACTGAATTTCTTCTCCCAGTCCCGGGCCTTTTCGGAACATAGGGCCTTTGTCGGAGCTTGGTAGACGATCTTGAAGTTCTCATTGCCCCGGTCAAGCGCGAGCTTGCAGATTGCCAACTCCAGGATGGTCGTCTTGCCGCTGCCAGTTGGGGCTGCAACAACGACGTTGTCATTAGTCCCGTAGACAACATTGAAGCACTTTGACTGCACCGCATTGAACAGCTCGTATGGGAATATCGTGCGGAATTTGTCGGGGAGGGCTTGACGCAGGCTAACGAGAGGGATTCCGTGGACGACGGGGGTCGGGAATGTAGGATCAGACTGGCTGACTCTGGGAGGTTGGCCCGGAGGAGACAAATCCAAGGATTGCGACGAATCGCTAGCCGGAAGCGTTTGAGCAGTCTTTTGCTTTCGTGCACTGAGCCTCGCGGTGGGGCTTGAGCTACCCAGAGCTGGAAATCTGCTGGTGGTGGACCCCGTGCTCGGAGGATCAAGCTGGTAGGACGCTACAACTGTCAGCGGCGTGGCATGGTATGGCTGGGCGAGAGCGCATCCTAACCAGATTGCAGCGCAGCTGTCTCCCATTGAGACGATCGGGGAGGCTCTCTCAGGTGATATGCCGGCGCCCTAGTCATGTTGCTTCTGTGTGGCACCTCATATGCTCTGTCCTGCAGCGCTGGCCGGGGTTGAATTTGGGCCGCAGGAAAGGGATATGCCGGAGGGACACCGTAGGGTGTGCCATACTCATTCTCTCGATCTAACATGCGAGGATGACTGATGCTGGAGGGAAAACCGGCTGGCCGGCGTTGCTCAACAAAGCTATCGGTCTGGTAGAAGGGCAGAGGGGGCAGACCGAGGACCTCGCGATCTAATCCATCCGATATCAGCACTTGCTCACGATGAGAAGAGAAGGGATCATACCGAAGTCATCCAATTCTAACCGAGCAGCCATGACGGTCTCCATTCAGCAGCACGGCGTTAGGTAGAAAGGTTTGAGAGGCCTGTCTCAAAGAAACGGTTTCGCCAGCGGGATACTGCATACGTGATCCAGGCCTGCAAAATGCATTGCGAGCGCAGAGAGACAGAGCACGACTGCGCTTGAAATCCAGGCAGCCATGGTGAAGGCAGGAGGGAGAAGTGCTCCTTCCCTAAGTTGTTCCGAAGAGACCGCGCCTTCCATATCCAATGGAGTTCAGATTGGCCGTTCCTGCCACACGTCACGGTCCTGGTTCGGTCGTTGGGAACGCGATGGAAGCGACGAGCCGCAGCGACGAGCTGACCATCTCGAATTCCGAGTTCCAATGTCGATTGACTCGATAAGAATTTCGAGCCCTCTCCGTTGGGGACATCGCCGATGAATCGGACGACAACAAGGGACCACATCACGCCCCTTTCCCCAATCGAAACAACCTTGAAAAGGTGATTGTTTTGTCAATCCGCCCATGGCCTGGCTTAGCTTTATTTTGATTTCCAAATTCCGAACCACCAGCGATCGTCAAGCATACCGAGGCAACTTCAACAGTAGCCGGAACTCTCTGTCCGGGCTGGCGTTGCGCGCCTCTGGTCGGAACAACGGAGCACGGATACATCCGACGGGATTACCGAAATTTCTCGGACCGCATCGGCGCATCCCGACCGCGCCGCATAGCGGCATCCCACGATAGTACTCCGCGACAGCACCCCACGGCAGCACCCCGTGGCGGCACTGCACTGATGCCTCGTCAGTCCGACCCCGTTGCCGATATCGTACCCCTCATTCCCCCTCTCCGAAACCGCATCAATTTCACGGCCACAGTTTACAAAAGGAGATAGTGCCGAGGAGCATACTGATTCGCCGGAGCTTAAGATTTGCTGCTTGCCGTCCCCAGATCTAGGCGGCGTAAGCGGGCGGGCTGAGGAGCCGACGTTCTTCGCATTGGTCGCCTGAATTTTGCCGCTTGCGTCGATAGGGCAGGCGATAAAGGAGTGCCCCCGGTAGTACCTGTCCATTCAGGAAAGTCGCTTGCGGCAACGTGCTCGGCCGTGTGGGCCAATCAGCCCCCGGTACCCCTGGAAATCATCCAGGTCAAGACTCTCGAATGTAACGGTAGCAAACAATGGAATCGCTGTTTTTGGACGTCGGTCTACGCGGGCAACACGTGCGGCTAGAGCTCGGGAAATATAACTACAACCTCCATCTTTGCGCTGTCGCAATGGGGAAATCAGCGTCGCTCTGCAATGCCTGTCCGCTCGCTGCTCCTACCAAGTGCCAATGAAGTCAATCCCTGCAGTTTGCTGGGCCTTCGCCAGCCTGCAGCCGCTGGCTGCAGCCCTGACCATCGCCGAGATCAACGGTAACAAGTTTATCTCGCAATATTCGGGGCAAACGGTGACCAACGTAACGGGTCTGCTCGTCGCAAAGGGACCAAACGGCATCTGGATCCGCTCGACCACACCCGACAATGACCCGGCCACCTCAGAGGGCATCTACGTGTTCAGTAACACTGTGGGAGCAAATCTGACCGTCGGTGACATCGTCACATTGGACGGGAGAGTTCAGGAGTACAGGTCAAACGCCAATTACATTTACCTGACCGAGATATCGTCCCCGCGGAATATCAGGATACAGTCATCTGGTAACACAGTATCGCCCCTCGTCATTGGCCAGGACACAATCTCGCCGCCGACAGTCCAGTACAGCAGCCTGGATGGCGGAGACATTTACAACCTGCCCAACGCCGCGGCCAACATATCCGCCGTCAATCCTGTGCTGGATCCCACCAACTATGGACTGGACTTCTGGGAGAGCCTGTGCGGTGAGCTGGTTACAGTGCGGAACCCCCGCGCCATCAAGGTGCCGAACAGTTACGGCGACACCTGGGTAGTCGGAGACTGGGCTGTCACCGGGACCAACGCTCACGGTGGTGTTACGATGTCTGATAAGGGTAGGAAGTGTCACAGTTACTCAGTCTAGGCTCCCTGCTAACACTGTGTAGACTCCAACCCGGAGGTCATCATCATCGGCTCCCCACTTGACGGCACCAACAACCCTAAGGGGTCCAAAATGGGAGACCAGTTCGAAGACATCACAGGAGTCGTGACGCAAGCCTATGGTTTCTACGCCATCCTACCCCTCACAGCGATCAAGACTACTGTTCCCGCATCAGCCGCTGCCGATCCCTCTCCCTTCACCAGCCGCAAGCACTGCAAAGCCATCACGGTTGGCAGCTACAACGTTGAGAACCTGGCACCGACCTCTGCGCATCTCCCCAAGGTGGCCGGCCATATTGTCGACTACCTCAAGACGCCTGACCTCATCTTCATTCAGGAAGTCCAGGACGACAGTGGAGCCACAAACAACGGCGTTGTCAGCGCCAACAAGACCCTCACCACCTTGGTCGACGCAATCAAGGCGCTCAGTAACGTAACTTACGCATTTACCAACATCGACCCCGTTGCCAACCAGGACGGCGGCCAGGAGGGAGGCAATATCCGCGTGGCATATCTTTACCGTCCCGACGTGATTGATCTGTACAAGCCGAACCCGGGTACGGCCCTGGATGCAACGCAGGTGACGCCCAGGAACGGAAAGTGCTCGAAGGCGCCAATGCTGTCGTTCAACCCCGGCCGGATCGACCCTACAAATGATGCATGGACACGCAGCAGAAAACCGCTCGCTGCCGCGTGGAAGGCCAAGGGGGCAAGGAAGCCGTTCTATACCGTCAACGTACACTGGTCTAGCAAGGGCGGTGGTACGTCTCTGCATGGGGACATGAGGCCGCCAGTCAATGGTGCCGTCGAGTCGAGACTGAAACAGGCGAACGTCACCGGGGTGAGTGCTCTCAACTTCCAGCGCACGCGTGAGATTGGGCTTCTAACCGTGTTATAGTCATTCATCGCGCAAATCATGGCCATTGACCCAGAGGCCAACGTGATTGCAGCCGGCGACTTCAACGAGTTTTCCTTCGTCAAACCGATGAGCGATTTTTCGGCCATTTCCAAGATGGTTGACCTCGACGAGGCTGCTGGGCTTCCCATCGCGGAGAGGTACACCTAGTAAGTAACCCCTGGCCGCGGAACAGAAGGAGAACTAGTCTAACAGAAGGCAGTGCCTATGACATGAACGCCCAAGCCCTCGACCACATGTACGTCAGCCCAGCGCTGGCAAAGAACAAGCCCGAATTCCACCACATCCACGTCAACTCGTGGGCCGCTGACGCCGATGTCGTGTCGGACCATGACCCGAGCATTGCACTGTTTGACCTTTGTGGACATTAATGTTAAACTTAATACGACGGGGTTGGTGGTATATTCAATGTCATATCGTTATGATGTCCTGTAAATAGACTCTCTTCTGGGTATCAGCGCTGCTTGCTTGAAATCTCATGAGCGATACTGAGTAACTGAACAATGTCAAGAGCATGGCCTGCTCCATCTTCATCGATCAACCTCAAAGGATGTATCTAAAATACGGATTCTCCATATCCGTCAAGTCGTGGAAGGCCAGCTTCGCCCGCTCGGCCTCGTCTCCCGGCACGGCCTCCTTCTTCCTGTTCGCCATGACCAAGATCGCGTATAGGGCCACCGACGCGGCAATGCAGATCACGTAGCATATGATTAACCCCAGCCATAGCTCAGGGTAGTGCTGCTCACGTGTCTGCGAGCGAACGAGCTGCGGGCCTACAATGTTGCCGACGCAGTAAGCGACAAAAATGGTGGCCGCCATGAAGCTCTTCTTAGTATGCCCAGCAACGTTGGACATGCCGACGGTGATGATGAGACTCACGGTCCCACCAAAGAAACCCGTGATGGAGTAACCCACCAGCGGCGCCGCGGCGTGATACGTCCAGGCGCTCTTCCAGATGATGGCGCAGCCCGCGATCACGGGCATGCACGTCAGAATGAGCATGATGATGCGGATGTTGGGGAATCTGGAGCCGAGGTATCCCGTCAGGAGAATGACGAGGAAGCAGAGCCCGCCGAGCGGGAACTGGAACAGGATCGAATGCAGCGTGCTCCACCCAAACGTCGAGACAATCAGCGGGCCAAACCCGCTGACGGCGCCGTTCATGGTGTACGCGGACGCCATCATGACAAAGATGAGGTATGTCTTGACATCGAGCAACGACTCCCTGACCTGCGCCATCTTGATCTTTGTGCAGCGCACGCCCGTCTGGCTGGCGCGCAGCCTCTCGACTGCGGCAAACCGCTCGTCGGGGGTCAGGAACCAGGCCGAAACGGGCGAGTTGGGCAGGGCAAAGCAGGCCAGACCAAACAGCAGCGTCAGCACGCCGGCCAGCAGGTAAATGTACTGCCAGCTGCGCAGGCCGCCACCGGAGACCTGGGCAAACCCGTAGTTGAGCGCGCCACCGAGGATGGTGAACAGGCCGGTGCTGCTGAACCACCAACTCTGGCGCAGCGACTGCTCCTGCTGGGTGTAGTACCCGGAGACGATGCACATGAAGCCCGTGGGGACGATACTCTCGACGAAGCCGAGAAAGAACCGTTGGGCGTAGAGGCCCTGGTACGATGTGACGGCGGCGGTGAGCATGCACACGCCGGCCCAGAGGCAGACGACGGCGCCCAGGATGCGGCCCATGTCGAAGCGCTGCAGGGCGAAGGACATGGGGTACAGGCCGGCGAGCATGCCAAAGTAGAAGAGCGAGGTGGCCCACGAGAGGCGCGACGTGTCGGTGGTGGCCGGCGTCGTGGAGCGGTCCGTGAGGGTGAGCTCCAGGTCCGTCGTCATGCCGAACAGGACGGCCGAGCCGAGGATGGCCTTGTCATAGTACACGATGCCGTCTGTGGATCCCCGGCTCAAGGAGACTTGAGTTAGCAAAAGTTGATAAACTTGGGAGCGCTGCTCGATGCACATACAGCCGAAAATCATGGCAGGGATCAGGAACCGGTCAATCTTCCGGACTGCCCGTGCCGCTACCACGGGGTCGATGGCGTGCGGTTGCTCCCCGACCATGGCCATGGCCTCGTCCTTTGCGAAAGCGTCTGGCATTCCGCCACTGCCTGCCGTCGGGTTCTTTTCGTCCGCCATGGTCATTCCGGCCAGACACAGGCCAACGTCGACCTGGATAGCTGCTGTCGGCGGACTTACACTTACTCACCTGTTCAACTTATGTAGATCGGTGCGCGACATTTTGCTCACCCATGAAAAGAATTTCTGGCCTTGGCGGTGTGGGGGACAACTTAGCGTGGTGGATCGCACGCCGAGAGCGGTGATCAGTTGAGCTTTCGCCGCTTTCGGTGGTGAAAACAAGTGCAAGCAGCAAGAGGCAAAGAGGACGCCTCAAAAAATATCCAAGGAGGTTCGGGTTAGGTTTGAAGTTAGGGTTGACGGAGATCCATTTTAAACGACCGCTGGAGCCACTGGACGCGCCAAACCCCAGTGAAACGTCGCAACCATCGACTTGATCACTCACCTTCTCCGTCGCGACGCAACAGCGATTTGGCATCACCATCGCTCAATACACAATCTAAACCACCATATCCAGAAAAGACAACCGAGGAAAATGCCCACCATCGAAGCGCCCAAGCAGCAAGAGCCCATGGAAGCCGTGAGTCGGCAAGAGAGTGGCTCGGGCAAGATCATCGCACAACAGCCGGTATTTTCCACCCCTTGCCTAATAACAGTCACTGGGCCGAGACTGACTGGAGACATAAATAGAAGCGCGAACCACGCCCACAGCTCGAAAATGATATGTCGTTGCGAGGCGGTGCCATGACGCTGGGCTGTAGCTGCTGTCATGGAACGTTTTCATTCCACAAAAGGTGCTGCTGAGGCGTGGGCTCTCTGGAGAGATTCATATCTGGGGTGGTTATCGAAGGGCCGGCGACGGCATGTAGTTATGTTAGCGACTGATATTTGAATGCCTTGCCTTTGCGGTGCTTTGGAGCTGGAACTGTTTGGGTCGCTTGCAGCAGAAGGATTCGCTCTACACCACGCAAGGCCCAGCGCGCTGATCGCTGGATAACGTACCCTTGAGAGTTCCACGTGACAGAATGCTGGGCCAGCAAGTTTGATCCAATAATTTTGTTCGGACAAACTGTCGTTTGCTATCTGCGCGATCTGGCGATGCGGGACCCGATGGTGTGGACCACGTCACGAAGACGCTGGTGATGTCATAGGTGCTATGTACCCTGCTACCCGAGATATCAAAACCAACTGATCACAACAACGTTCCTTCAATTCGTATCTCTCCATCCATAATCACCTCGATCTTGAAGACTTGTCCTCGAAAAAGTGAAAAGCACACTCGCTTCCAAGATGAACGTTGCACGAACTCCCGTTTTCCGCGCCGGCCTCCGGCAGATGCGACACCTACAACGGTCCGCTTCGCGTCACACACGGCTCGCCAGCACCGGCCCCGGATCGCAAGACCAACTAGGTGACAAAGGCACGGCCAAGGTGTATAACAAGGACGGCACGAACCCCAACAAGAATCTGATGTAAGCTTTCCCCCCGCGTTCGCAAAGTCGATAACTTCAGTGGGTATGGAGCTGACCGTTTCTCCCCTATCCAGATACTTCGGTATCGGCGCACTCGGCCTCGGGGGAGTTTACGCCATGTTCATGGGGCGCCCGGAGAAGGTTGCTAGCAAGGCGGGGGAGAGGGATCCCGAGGGAGTCGCACGCCAACGGCCGCCGAACGCGAGTGCCGCTCGCTGAGTCGTTGATGGATAGGCAATGAAAGTTGGGGGCTTGGGATTTGGGGATGGAATCATCGGGGAGTAGAGGCTTGAGTCGGAGCCTGCCTCGTCCCGGAGTTTACCTTTTGTACTACATGTATTTTCAGAGCGGTGTTACCGGAAAACTCCAGATTATTTCTAGGCTCTGCATGCGTGCAATTCAAAGCCTAATGGATTCAAACCACTGTCCGATTGTGTCTCACGGTCTCACTTGACGCTTTTTGGCCGGTCATGTAGGGTGCGAAGCCCGCTGAACATTGGTGTGTATGAGACTTGTAATTTGAATACACATCTTTCTAGACATGCAGCCAGGAGACTCCTACTCTCTATGTGGCTCATCACTTAGAGAACTCAACTGCCAGCTCCGAGACTTGCCAATGCCCCTTTCAAGCACTGGAAGGGCCGCTGCGTCTCATTGCTCGACATCACAAACTCGGAACAGGTCCAAAACGCCAAAACAACGGACACCAGGACTGCAGCCACGCCGGGGCTTTGGCATCACCGAAGTCAAGGTAGCTTCCCGGGTAAGTATACGGAACGCTGTTAAGCAAATGTATGTACAATGTAGCATAATCGAGGCTTTAGAGACGTCTTGCTAGTTACTATCTCTGTCCGTGAGATGAATGCAGGTGGGTATCTTTCTCCTTTCCGCCTTAATCTTCACTAAGTGAAAAGGGCCAATACAATGACTCACGTCAGGATGTAACCAAACGCTGCCAACGCAGCAGCTAACCATGTCGTGCCTGCAACGGCCAACCGTCGGGCGGTATTGTCCTTCGGGCAGTCCGCCGGGGGGTCAAAGCTGGCGCAGAGGTCGGCGACCACCGAGGCTGATATGCTTGCGGCCGCGGCCGAGTCGATTTGAACCTGGCAGGGATGCGGGCTCACGGTCGGGGTAGAGGACGCCAGCACAGCACAAGTCCCACCGTCAAAGTTTCTCGAGGAAGGAACTTCCATGCTTTTGTCGGTGACGTTAATGGAGACCCCGAATTCCTCGTCACAGCTTTTGTCGTTGTCTGTAGCAGCGACGAGTTCCACCGCCTGCCCCCCATCCTCGATGGTGAACTTGATAGCCCGATTCGTACTGTTGACGATGATACCGGGCTCGAAGTCGTGTACAAGGTCTGGCTCGTCGCAGCTCATCCAGTTAACAGATCAGAACAGCTCCCAAATCCCCTCCCTGTCAGCCTCCATGGTATGGGCCTTGTATGCGAAATATGGTTCGTGGCTAGACAAGTTTGCCTCTCCCAGGTCATGCCGCCACCTTTTGATCACGGTGAATTAGTGCCGTTCCGTATCATATAGGCAATAAAGAGCCGGAGGTTCTGCGCAAACTCGAAATTTTGAACAGCAAAGACGGCGGGCAGTCTGTCCGTGGGCGCGTTTGTCTCGTTCATGCGCGGGAAAACGAGGTCGATTTCCACCACGTCGGCAGCGCCGCCAACAGTTCCAATGTAGGCCAAGGCCACGGCAGACCAGGCCATTTGGGAGAGCAAGTGCATGCTTTTGGTGTCGAAGAATACCTTTAACTAACAATTGTAGGCGATGGTGAGCGTCGATGACGAGTCGTGTGATGAAGATTACTAACTTAGCTGAGGGATCTCAGAGACTGGAGGTCGATTTGTCTTGGAACCCCGGTACAGTACAGTATGTACAGTACATATACTGGCAACGAGCCAGGGAGGGAAAAGCAAGGGAAGCAAGAAAGTGTTTTGTTGGAGTGAGAAAGGCCCTCCGGTGAGGTCGGGTTTGTTGTCCCCGAGTTGACTTAACTTGACTAAAACGACGGATGGTTCCTGGCTAAAGCGACGGGACGCTAGTCTCTGGTTCTGTTAGAAATACATAGCGAAGTGCAACAAGTCCACTTAATGATAAGTGGGCGCCCAAGTTTTCAGCTCAGTGGCATGCTGTTGCACCAACAGGTTCATAGCCCAAACAAATCTTCCGTTGGACTGCAGTTGGGGGTTCGGAAGGTTCCGTGGCCTGTGCGCTTGTATACTGCGGGTCTCCCCAGTCTTGCGTTCAAATTTATTTGAACCTTGTGTTTGCTGGGCGCGAGAGACTGGACGCGGCGCGACTAAGCTGCTGCTACGGGGTATGGTTGTATCGATTGAATTGCGAAGGTATGGTAGTGATGCTTGAAGTTGAAGGCGCGAGGAACCTGTTGCCTTGGAGCGAGAACCTAACGAAAGGGTCGCTCCTCTTGGTGATGTGTGCGCTGGATCAATCGTTAGCACTAAGGCTTGACCGACTGATCCAACGGTCAATTGAATGCGCGGTATCGGAGTACTAAGACTGAATACGCCGCTGATTGACTGATCCACGAAGGACTTGGTGATGAATGGTATCGCGAGTGTAAGAAGCACTTACGCGCCCACGGTCGCGAAGGGTGGTTGGATCATGGATGGTATCACGGCCAAGTCGCTCTAAGGCGCTTGACCGCGAAGGTAATATTGCGACAAAATAGTCGCCGGCGACTTGCGAGAACAGGTCGCAGCTACCATTTGAAAGAGGAGCCCAAGGCCAAGGGTGGATAATTGGATTGCAAGTTGTTGAGTTGAAGATGTGGAAGGTCAGGCCCTGGCGTGGTGTTGAGTAAATACGCCAAGACGGGGCAGCTTCCTTATCTTATCTAGGTAGTTAATCTACAGCATGACGCCTGACGCAGGCATGAAAGTTGTGAGCTTGGGATTTGAACATTTGCAACCCAGAAAGTGGATGGACGACATACTAAAACGAGGCTCAGACTGCTTGTTTCCATTCCATCCCAACACCCCCTATTTCCCTTCTTTTCTTTCTTTCTTCAGTAGCCCTGAAAAATCAAAGTGACAGTTCCACTACGTTGACCTCTCTTCCACAGTTCCACCCTCCGTCCCCTCCGAACCTTGGAATGCCAACTGACTTGTACACTCCAATTTCCGGCGTAATTCACCGCCCTGAACCAACATCAATGCTAATGTAGTAGTAAGTACTTAACGCTATCCAATGCTGCCATTGATGTTCAGGTCATCCCAACGACTCGCAGACTGCAATATTCAATCTCAGCCAACTCGCATAGGAGGTCGTGTAACCAACATCTAATGCACAGTACGGCAACTGAGTGCCACTGCAACACCCAACGTCCTACTCAGTACTATTACCAATACGGACGTATTGCAACTTGAACTGAACCAACACCCAATATCAGCCAAACGGTGCAACACCGGGTAATACCCTAACTCCCTAAGCAACAGTAACTATCAACCAACATTCTAATAATAACACGGCCTCGCATATTCCCAGCTTATGGATATCATACTTTACGGGAAATAGGCCCGAGATGAGGAACGTACGGTGATAGAGTGAGGTTGGGCGCTAGTGTAAGGCAGATTTGACCGGTGGACCCGACGTTGGTGTAGTGTAGGATTGTGGATGTGACATTAGATGTCTACTGCGACATCGCATTGATTCGTATCCAATGTTAATGCGTGTTGGTTGTTGGTGGTACTCAATGCCGCTTCTAAAATTTCGCGGCGTTGGTAGGCAGGTAATTAAGGTGAACTAGACGGGACTGTGTAAGTTGGATGCCGGACCCGGAACGGCCCGGGTTGTTGGTTCAGGGGTATGGACGAGACGGACCGACGGAGCAACAACCCGGCTTGTCTTTTACGGCGAGGTTGGACAATGGTCCGTTACGGGGACCGTGTGCTCCCTCGTATCCGGTATGCCCGACTTTTTCATGGCTTTCTCAGTAGCGACTACGCGGTTTTAGACCCACGGCAACTCAGGCTCAGGGATGAGTTCATGAGCCGTGACGGCAGAGTCGTTCTCGTCTCATCACCTACTCAACATCATAACAAGAAAACGGGAAAATGTCCACCCCAGGATTTGAAGTTTACAGTTACACCACAACTTCGGTACCGCTGTAGCCTACGGCCACCGAGACCATTCAACAACGCCGTAAAGCGGATGTACAATATAGGTGACTAGGTATTAAGATTATAGGATGTCCAGGCCCTACATAGCCAATTCACGAGCGCGAAGCCGGGTTCGTTCCCGATTTCCTGGCGTGACTGAGTTGATCAGCTACCGTTGGCAAGTCCATGCCTCCCTACGCAACCTAAGTCCTAATGCAAATGTAATATCCCAGCCACAAATTGGTGCATCCCTCGTCGATTTGCGTGTTCCACGAGCGGAGCTGGTCAAACGTGATACCTGCCGCCGTATAGATGGACCAGCAGCTGTCGCCAGATTTGACTAGGTAGAAAGTCTTGCAGTTGTTGACAACTCCAGGCATCTGGGGCGAGGGTTCAGATGGCTGACCGGTCGGTTGGGATGATCCAGATGATGTAGTAGTCGCACCGGGCACGTGGACGCAGACATAGTAGCCTAACCAGAGGTTGGAGCACTCTGCGAGATGCTGTTAGCGGATGATAGATTTGTAAACTCGGGAGTTGAGTGTTGAATCAAGATGGAACACGCACCAGCGTTGATGAAACTATTCCAGGTCAAGAACTGGCTCGTGGTGATGCCGTGTTTCTGGGCGATGATATCACACTGATCGCCTGACGCAACTTTGTAGAACCGGTCACAGTTCTCGGCCAGACCTGGCATGGCAGGCGAGTTGCTTGGGCTAGGCGCCGAAGTGGTTGTTGGAGTCTTGAGCGTGGTGGTTGGGGAGCGCGTGGACGTAGATGTCGATGTGGACTTGGGCTGGATCCTCAGTGACGGTGCCAATCACGCAATACGCTTTGCTGGTATCGAGCCCAGGGCAGACGATACCCGGGTTCAACTTCGTGAGGTCGTCGACAGAAAGTCCCCAGGCGGCCGCAAAGGTCTCGCATGTGGCATCGTGACTCGTAGGAGATGTGAAAAACATACAGTCAACATCGCGGCCCGACACGGCTTGGGCAGAGACCATTGTCACTAGTCCCGGGAGGTGCCCAGCGGCAAGGAGTGTCAAGACTGTCGGCTGCATTTTGTGGACTCGACACGAGGCAATCACGAGTGACAAGGAAAGAGCGATAGAGTCCAAGAGCTAGTAAAGCCTGACCGAGGTGGACTCAATGAGCACATCTTATAGTGCTGAGCTGCGAAGTCCATGTTCAATAACACCACTCACATTCTGAAAGATACCCCTAACCCTTGGTAGGTAGCCAAGCAAAGCTTCAGGAGAGGCCTTTCAGGAAGAGTGAAGAGAAAGTCTTTCAGGAAAGGTCTGTACTGTATTTATGTACCTTACGTACTATACTGTACTGTATACAACTGTACTGTACAGCATACATACAAGTCCCTAAGTACAGTACTTCCTAATGAGGTCTTGTGACACTCAATATATTCAGTACCGGAAACCTAGTACGGTACTAAGGTACAATCCCCTTACAGAACAATTACCTGGTAATTGTCATTCCACCCGACCAACAAACTTGCAACCGCAACTGTCACAGATGGACACAGTTACACTACAGTCGCGGCCCGGAGGTACTATTGGATAGGTAATTATCCGCGCACCTGCCGTATAGCATCTCCATCCTTATGGTGCCAACAATTCCACTGGGGCCCGTGGACACCTTTCCATTCTCTGAATTTCGTTCCACCCCGGAAAAATTCCCCTAACCCATCTTCATGTCACTCTCTTTCCCTGACGCGCTGCAGTTGCCTGCGGCGTAGCCAAAACAAAGGGTTCATCAATCATTCAAAAGCGCTCAGCTTTTATCATACAACGCTCAACGTCGCCCATAATTGTTAGTTCTTTAGTCGACATCAACCAGCATGCACTTGCTCTCCCAGTTGGCCTGGTCCACCGTGGCCTCGCTAGCCTTCCTGGGACCTGTTGTCGGCGCCGGCGGCGTGATGGAATTCGACCTCGTTTTCCCGCGCAACGAGACATATGCGCCTACGGGGATGATGCCCGTCGTCTTTGCCTTCCAAAATGCCGAGCACTCGGAGCTTGTCAGGCCGTATATTGTCTATTCAATTCGGAACGCCTCGGACCTGACCAACGTGATACCGGCATACGGTCATGAACTGAGGTGGGCAAACTCCGAGTCGTCTAGCCAAGAGCCATACTTTGCCTACAAGTCATGGGCCTTAAAGGCCGAGGGTACTTTTCAAGTGCTCTGGACCGTAGAGTGGCTGGGCTGTTACGAGCGCGACTCCGAGGACTCGGACCTGCCCGGTTTCGTTGCCGGCCTGAACTCGGCAACTCGGACTATCGAGTTCAGTATCAAAAATGGCGGGCCGGCGGTGGATCTCGTTGCTGCCACAGCTAACGACAAGACCTGCGCCGAAGAATTTGGAGTCGCCATCAACGCTACTGGCCCGACGGCGGAGCTTGAGCCCGGCGGAACTTGTGTCGTCTTGGAGACCCTTTCAGCGACCGTGACCCCGAGTCCCTGCCAGGTCAGGATCGGCTCAGCCGCGGCCGCCAGCATATCGACCGCGGTGAAAGCGGACCTGTGCGCAAGTGCCACTCCCCCGGCCGGCCTCGACTGCACGAAAGACAGCGCCGCGCGGCGGCTGGCTGTTGCGGGTGTGGCGTGTTTGACGGCCGCATTGGGGGCACTTGGCTACCTTCTAATGTGAATCTCTCTGCGTCAGTTGTCGACTGATCATCAAATTAATATCCGATCTTCGTTTCCTTTTTCCTACGGCGCGGGTATCTGTTGTATGATCGATGAGAGAAACAACCGTTTTGGCTTTTTGCTTGGACCCCTTCAATGTTCATGTGTATGTATTGTACAGTACATACATGCATTGCATTGGGAATTTCGGATTATGGGGAATCTTGGTTTTGACGGTTGTTCATGTTGCGTTGAAAACCGGGTATTACCTAGTCCTACTGTAGTCTCCGTAAAGTTCAGCCAAGTTAACGAAATGCATGAGAAACGGCCTTCGGAAATGCTGTGTTCTTGTCAGAAAGCACAGTTGGGCACCGTATACGCGTACGCTAAAGTGGTGATGGAATGCGTAGTAGTTGTCAATTAGTAGATAGAAAAGTGGAAAAATTCTCTGCAGGAAGATGGAACCCCTAACTGGGGCTTAAAACCCGACTAAGCTTACAGGGGTTGTTTTTCCAACACACTTCCCTAGTTGAGCCAATTTCTAGCGAAACTGCCTAATTCCTAGCAAAATTGCAATATAGGCCCAAATCGCTCAAATCTAGGGTCTTTTCGAATGAGCCAGAAAATGCACGCGTTTTCAGCATTATAGGATTTTCCCAGTTCCAAGCCTGCCTAGGCCGGGCCTCTATT